TGGAGCAGAATACTGGTGCTGATGGCGTACTCTTCGGATATCGTCGAAGGAGGGCGTGGGCAACTAGGATGAGTGATCGTCAGGTCCGGGGTACGTAAATCCCCGAGAATATAGGGCTAACCTAGCTTTCTCGCTGCAGATCATCTTCCCTAAGGGGACTACGGGTTCGATTTATCACAAGAATGTTCCTCTTCCGGCCGTCTGAACGACATTTCAAGACAAATCGTTAAAAGTATGGCCGATATGAGAGGGGTTTTCTCAGCTTGCCAGAGCATCAATGATCAATGTGACGTAGAGCCCGGCCATGTAGTAGAGGATGCACCAAGCTGAAAGTTTGTCTACCGTGCCGATCGGCCCCGGAGTTGGAAGAGCGTCTCAAAATACTACCCTCGGCGGTTGAGTCGGTTTTTTTTTCTTGTGAATCTTTGATGTCGGGGCTTTTAGTGGAGCCAAAGTTCTCCGGCGCCGGCTCCGGGTCAGTGCTCCGTCCAACGTTCGGCGTCGGGGCGGCGGACGGCGCTTATCCCCTTGCCGGATCCTCCCAACTTACCGTAACCACGGGAACCTGACTACAAAGCACAGCTCTTCGGTCAGTAATTCCCGACCTACAGCTTTGGTGAGATGCGTAAGGATACATAACTGTTGGCAATCCGGGCGAGCCCATCCGATAAATTCGTCAACGATCAGTCCATCCTGCTCATGAACCTGCCCCCAACCCTGTGCCTACGCGGAAAAAAAAATGCCGAGAATAATAATAACAATATACTAATGTTTCTTATTACTTCGTACAAGAGAGCTAACTGTGTCCGCAACTGTTTGATCGAGGCCATTACAACCTAATACTGGCTTGGACCCAATAATACCTACCTTACTATGGCGTTCCGTTAGTGAACTCGCCTGGCCAGCCCCCGAGTCTTGGCCCCTATGGAGCGAAGAGTATTCCCAAACTTACAGGGATCATGAAGTGTCGCCATCTCAGAAGTTGACAACAGCTATAAGAGTAGGAGCAGGGACCGCAAGGCTCCGCCGTCCTTGACACCAAGTTGGTCATCGCCATGCAATACAATGCAGGCCAAAAACTTTCCAATTCAATAGAAACCTCTTCTAGCACTAGCGCAGCCTTGCGCCCAAGTGGTGCTTGTGCTACGCGAAGATGGGATAATGGATGAGGGAAAACGAGGAGCAGAACTCTTCACATCGGCACATTCTCTCACTTCTCCCCCCTTCCCTATCTTCGACTTTTCCTCATTTTCGGCTACTTTCCGTTTCAAGTATTAGTCCGTAATAGCGAGATTCTTGATTCCATCCTACACAGATAGCTTTCGCCGAAGTGTGACTCAAGGACCAAAGAAAATGAGAGCCGCAATGCGACTTGGTGCGGTACTTTTCGGGGTCTTCAGCATCGCGAAGTCTCAGGCCTTGATCTGGAATCGCGACGACGGATCTTCGTCGTAGGCTCCTGCCGAGGAAACGGCTTATGCTGTACTACTCACGAAGCTATACGAGACCGGCCCTGAACCTACCTCGCCACCTACTCAACAAGATGTTAAGGCTCGACTCGAAAAGCGTCAATTGCTCAGTGATGTCTGCGGCTATGCGGACGGGAATATATGTGAGTTTCCTGTCCATTTCTCTCTTTTCCATTTCCCTTCAGCGATACTCACAGCTGCCTAATCATGATGACTTCGTTGATGACGAGAAACTATACTCAACTATTAATCAAACTTAGCCTCGGAAATCGGTTGCCACTCGGGATATACGTGCGCATATGAAATAATCGCCAGCATCGTCGGTTGCTGTACGACTTCAGGCCGGTGCTCTCTCAGGACCGATTGCTACGACTACACTCAATCCTCTGCATACTCCCGTCTACCATCTCTTTCGCGGGCCCGCGTCCTCTTGTGGTAAGTTCCTGAAACGAGCGAGCCTCCACTCTCTCTTTAAGCCACCTCCTTTTCCTCTCCTTCTCGTGGCTCGCCGGACTATTGTGCCATGTCGCTGACTATTTTGGACTTTTGATTTAAAGCCCTAGTTATTCATCTAGATGCGTTACTTATTTTCACAGCGGAGGCATCAGGGATGGTATGATAGGATATGGGTGCAGCACTACGAAAACCATAGAGACTGTCTATGCGCGGGCGACAACCACTCATACCTCTCGACAACCGCCAACATCACCGACGACGACGCGGATTGTCGATCCGACCTCAATATTTGAGCCGAGAACCCCGGGTCCTGTGACTGCTACACCCACACCCACACCTACGCCCCCAGCTCCGAATGTAAAGTCAAGTACGTGTATCTCAAGCGCCATGAAGAAGTCGGCGCCCTCTGACTTCAGACTTTTATCACTTGCATGGAAAGTTTGTGCTGATATTCGAAGATAATAATGATACCGCGAAAATCGTCGGCGGCGTACTCGGCAGTATCAGTAAGTCTCTCAAAACGAACCTACTTACAGAAGGGTTTGAACAAGAGAGAGAGAGAAGAAAAAAGAAGAAAAAAAAGAGGAAAATTCTCTAACCTCTCCCAATAGTTGGCCTATTCCTCATTGGCATCGCAGCATTCTTTTTCTTGCGAAAGCGGAAAGCAGCCCAAGCCCAACAGCCTCACTCCCAGCAACCGCCAATGCAACAGCAGCAGCCTATCGTCTCTGCTGACTCCGCTCCGAGGCAGAGCCAGTATTCTTTCCTGCAGTCTCTAATAAGCCCTGTGTCCCCAGGACAGCCGCAGCCGCAGCCCACGAGCTTTATACACCTAAACCCTCAGGGAGCTCCACCGTTTATGCAGATGCAGCCATCGGGTCCTTATCCGCAACCGTATGACCCGATACCGCGTCTCCCCGCGGCGGCTGGGTATCGATAAACATAGTGATAAGCGGAAGAGAGAAGCGGAATGTAATGAGGAATTAACGAGCACGACGGCGGAATAGGGTTCTCAAGTCTGACTTGTGCGATAATATTGATAGGAATCGTACGTACTCCCTTGAGTATAGATGGACATAGGGGGTGTATCCCGCCTCAGTCCTCCGTGTTTGTCCGTGAATCGCGTACACAATATTAACATCGTGCCGTATACGTAAATGAGGAAGCCAATATATACCGTGGTCCTCCAAGTCCCCGTGAAGCATGTTCGACACCGCATTCATAGACAGAAGTGACAAGCACGAACCGAGAAAAGGCTATGGCAATACCTATACGGAAAGACGTTCACTCCATGAAGTAGGTATCTACAATTTGCTCGGAAACTGACGATCATAATGAGGAAGGTGACTTTCTGGACACGGTATTAAGTGATCCACAGCCAGAGTGTTCAGATACCCTGGGTGGAGCTCCTCCAGACTTGTAACACCGCACAATTTCATCGTCGTCTCCAGTTCATCTTGGAGGACTGGATAATGATATCAGTGGATGTTGCAAATCTTGGGAGATTCGCACAAGTGCATTTCTGTTTCAGGGAAGGGGATGACGCTTACTGTCCACGAATTTCCGGACACCTTCCGCGCCATAATTCAAGGCATATAGGAACCCTCGACCAAGTCCAACAGCTTTTGCCCCAAGACACAGAGCCTTGAAAATGTCGGTCCCACGAGTTATCCCTCCGTCGATGTAGACTTCCATCTTATCGAACACCTCGGGACAGTTCTTCCTTAGCTCGAGCAACACCATGATGGTCGCTGGGGCAGTGTCTAGGTTGCGACCACCATGATTCGACAGCACGATACCATCGACGCCCATTTCCATGGCCTTGACCGCATCCATTGACGTCTGAATCCCTTTTAGCACGATAGGGATGCCAAGGAGATGCTTCCGAAGCCAGGGAATATCGTCCCATGACAGTGACGGATCGATAAAACCACCCATGATCCGGCCTAGGGCCCCTCCCTTTGCGTCATTGCGAGCCTTCAGGCCAGATATGGGAGAGGAAAGCGACTCATCCGATTGTATTCGCTCATCCGCCTCCCTCTTCCCCGGCAAGGCAGAATCTACAGTAAGGAACAGGGCATCGATACCCTGCTCCTTCGCATTCTTCATCAGGTTCTCGGAATTCGACCGATTCCTATCCACATAAAGCTGCAAGAAAACCGGCAGTTGGTCGCCATCGTGTGCCTCAGTCCCTCGAATTTCATTCATAATATCCACCAGCGGAAACGATGCGCTGGAAGAAACGCACATGGGCACTCCCGTGGCTTTCAAACCTCTCGCTAGTTCCTTCTCACCTTCGGGATGAATCGTTCGAGCCATTGAGGTTGGCGAACAAAAGATGGGAAGACGGGTGGTCCGACCAAACATGGAGCATTGCGTGTCGACGGCACTGACGTCGCGAAGGACGCGAGGGCGTAGGGTTATTGAGGAGTAGGTGGAGCTGTTGCGGTGCTTGGTATAGAGGTCCGTGGCGGCGGAGGTGACGAAGGCCCAGGCTTTGGGGGTGAATGATTTCTCGGCAGCGAGTTGGAAATCGTGGACATTTATGAGGGACGACAGAGGTGGTTTGGGTGGTTGGTTTTTGGTGTCGAATTTGGTGTCCATGATCCCGGCATAAGTTATTATATGCAAAACAGATCAGCTGGGTGTTAATACAATCCAAGTAATTCTTGACGACTACTTCGGATATTGGCGTCACCGCGATATACTACTGCAGTGTCCGCACTCGCCCGGTTCTTGGCTTCAGCGTCGTTGTCGACTTATTTATAAAGATCAACTACGGTTCCGCGATGTTGTCGATGGTCGTCGTGATTGGCGATGTCCCACTCCGCAGCCAATTTCTCCGCATCTCGGAGAAGCTGTCGGTCCTAATTGCACCGAACCAGAGGCATCGGAATTCCTATTACGCAGAGTTTGCGCATTGGAACATTCGATACGACTTTCTAGCATCTTATTTGGAGATGCATGCATGTACCTCTCTGTAGATACAGCAGCCAGAAAAAAAAAAATAAATAAATAAATAAAGAAGGATAAAGAAGAAAAAAAAAAAAATGAGCAAACCTTGCTTGTATTTTCTCAAGATTCTAATGCCTTTCCAATAAGCGTCTTCGCTCTATCGCTGAGCTCCATCCCCAAAGCCAATTCCTTTCCCTTGTCGCTCATCTTGCCCCACGTCTTCCTCAGAATGCCCACCATCTTCTCCTCGTCAATTCCGGACGACTTCTCAAATTCGTCAAACTGATCGTCCAGGAACACCAGGCACGCCACGTCCTCGAGCACTTGCGTCTCCTCGTTCGTCGTCAAATTTTCCTTGCGAATGAGCCCCGCGATACGGGAAACGTCGTCCGCGGGGATCGGCGGCTCGATTTCCGGAGAGGCCAGGAGCTCGGCGACTTGGGTAGCGGCGAGCGATTTAAGCTTGGCGCGCCAGGTGAGATAGCCGGCCCTGGTCATGGGGTAATTGCTCCGGGGGTTTTCCCATCTGGGTAGCCAGAGGTTCGAGACTGTAAGTTAAACTGCATTCTTCCTCTGCACATATAGCCATGCAATTGGGCCATGTGCTGCTGTCCGAAGGTCTTTGGAGGTGGGGTTATATTTACCGTCGGAAGTGTTGCGCTCGACAGGCGAGTTGAAGCGCTGGTGAGGCATCAGGACATCTCAAGGTGAGCCATTGAGTCATGTGTTTGGCATAATGAAGCTCGAAGGGACTTGTGTCTGCGGCTTGGCGAGGATCGAGGGCGTGAGCTGCATCGATCAGCTCCAAGGCTTTCGCATAGTTTGGAGGTAGGTCGGGTAACTTGGCCATAGCGAGATATTGATGGGACGAAGTAACGTCACCTTTCAGTAGATTCATTATTCTCAATCACCGTCAAGGGTGCATTCAAATTTGAATGTTCGGTTGCGTGATTGGATGAGTCAGCGGCAGCATCTTCATCCCAGGACCGTGTGTCGCAACTCATGCATAAACGGCAGTTCTATGCATAGCACAGACCAGAGGCTCTCGGGTCTTGGCAAATAATTTTAGTCTTCAATGAAACTGTCGGTTGCTCAATATTCCTATCCCCAAATCATGGAAGTGGACGGCCAAGACTACACTTGGTCCAAGCCTTGCAACTCTATCACCCACCCCGGTTCTCGCTCACTTGATACTCCCCTTTCCTCTCAATGTTCCAATCCTGTTTCCGCCGTTGGCGTCTAAGAATTAGAGACTTTAAAGGAATAGGATCCAGTCATGTCCAAGGTGAGGGCGCTTTGGAGCAGGTTGATAGCGGTCTATGATCAGAGGTGGCTGGTATCTGGAGACGACAGATGAAAGGTCTATTCCACTGAATGGAATTCCAGAGATTCCATGATTTCTGAAGAGCTGTGTTGGTCGCTCAAGGTGGTAAAATCTCGACCGAGGAACCCGATGATATCGTCCCCCTCGACAGCACCAACTAGAAGAATACAAGTTTCTCCGGATTCGTCAAGAGAAACGTCTTGAGTCCATTCTCCGGAGTAACACTGACATGGACTTGGTATTTGAATGGGATCGTCGAGGATCATCGAGACCGAGCACTGAGGAGATCACTTACATCAAATTCTTTAACAATGCTTCGTTGTTAGTTACTTTGGGGTAGCCTGATGTATTCCCAGGATGGATCCCTCCTTCCTGAGTAACAGCGATGGAAGTTGCAGGGTTGTGCTGCTTCCTTTAGATCTCTACATTTCTTTTGGGGTAGGAACGCCCCACGGGAGGACATCAATGATGACATGTGCGGCACTCGATACTCGAAGGATTTCCCTATTCCTTCATTCGCGTTGAATGGGTCCTTCCTGCTTTGTCCCCAATGACTTGAGAGTCTCAGCCACGCCTTCTCCAAAAATAGAAGCGCCTACCCGCTTCAGCTTGCCACACGCGACGCGTTTACTTCCTACATATTTGATCTCACCCTGCCTCATTTCCTCGTTTTCGATCCTCATCGCACAATTCGATCTTGGTGTTTCAAGGACTCCTGCACGTCACTCACCACGTGGCATTGATCGAAACCCCCGATCTTCCCCGATCTTCCAACAAACCTCGACTCAACGTATAATTGGGCTATAGTTAATGCTTCTGGGCTATTCGATCTGCGCATATCACACGACCGCTCCCTTGTCGGAGCCCAAAGCCCTTCCATCCTCAGGTTGGATCTTTGTTGAGAACGACTCACTTCACTGGCCCCCAGCGCGCCTTCCCGCTCTGCAGGCCATCCCAATCGAGTGATTCCAACGTCCAATCCTGGTCATGCCCTCTCCACATTCCCTCATTCTCTCATCATCAACAATCGCGGAAAGAGGAACAATAGCGATTGAGCTATTGCGATAGGATTCGACCTTCGTTTGTAAATGATTCAGTCTTCGCGGGGCTTGAACACTCTTCTAATATAAAAGCAGTCACTGTAACCGCCCTCTTCGACAATTCAACATCCCCACCATTCTGCGTTAATCTCTCTCCGAAGAACTAGCCTCACCCTTCTCCCCACCATAGATTAACCCGCGCGCTACTGAAAGAAGCCGCGCATACACGTCGTCTCGTAAGTCTACTAACGGTCGAGGTCTCTTTCCCCCGGCGGTGCAACGCCCCACGGTGTCACACAAGCAATAATCCTGTAGCATATCCCATCGTTTTACCACCTTGTATGCTGACGATCTAGAATAGGACACCCGGGACGCTACTCATTCCATACTGGGAGTGCCTGTGCCTTCTGAAGTACGGCGGGTTCAGACCTTGAGCTTGTTTTATGCGCATAACCCTCTTGGAACGTGAGATCATGGCGCCTCACACATCGTTTGTTGTGAAGTCCTATCCCCGGAGTCGGGCTTCGGAATCTCAGATCTCTGGATCCACAAAGGTTGTATTTTCTTTTCGTCACAAAGTGAACAACCAGGAGTATAATGGTACAATGGTGAAGAACTTCCCCAGAGGTCATCGTTTCCGTACACTGTCATTCAATGGCCGACTGCCCCACCACGACTCCTCGTCCAGCGACACTAAATCCCGCGAAGATGAGAATGAGGAATATAAAGACAGTGGAGAAAGTGACGAGACTTCTGATCGGCGTTTGGACTTTGACTCCTCCGTTGTCTCCTCAAGCGCAGAATCAAGAGAGACAGGAGAGCAGGAGACCCCTGACATTGAAGACTCTTCCGAATCCATTGCTGCTTCTCCCGGAAGCAGCCCTCATGCCAACGACCATCATCGATCCGCGTCAGAGTCGGCATCACTTTCTGGTTCCATAGACAGCGAAGGCGAATACTCGAGCGAACGCAAGGGCCGCTCGGTATCCTCTGGTGCTGGCGCCGCTGATTATCCCCGTGACAGGTTGAAGGGCTCGCGAGGCCAAGGACGCAAAAAGGCCTAGAGTGCCTGGACTGAGTCCCAGGACGCACTCCTCATGAGCTTGAAAGAAGATGGTGAGACCTGGTCATTTATCGCCGAAGTCCTGGGAACCGGAAAGAGACGGGCGCAGCGACGTTTCAAGAAGCTCATGCGGAAGCTCAAGTCTGCCGCCACCCAATGTCGGAAAACGAATTACCACTCGAAGAGGTCGCAGGATGAAGAGTCTGACGTGGGTCGGCAACTGTACGTCGAGAATCAGATTAAGGAGAATTTGCATCCTCCATATCTGGGCAGCCACTACACAAAGCGCGATTGCGAGGTCCTCGCGTCCATGGACAGTAAGATGAAGCGAGGAAAGTGGCTGGAGATGCAAGCAAACTTCTTCAATGCTACCGGACAGATGCTCCCACTGAGTGTCTTCCGCGATAGATGCGAGGCTGCCGAGGCTGAGCAATATGCCGTCGTGCGAGACGGCAAGATTTCAACCTGGATGGCTGGACTGGACCAGCATAAACAACTTGACCCCTTCGAACCTTCTGACCGCGGCACGATTTTATCCTGATTTTCTTTAACTTGGTGTCTCATTTGAGAAAAAAAAATAGAAATGGTGGCGACACGACAAACCGACACACTGTCATTCAAGACGATGGGGTTTGCGATAGACGATGGCGGAGAACTCGGTTGACACGGCGATCTGGTCCATTGATCTTTTTTTTCGATAAGAGCGAGAACCTTTGGCGGACAGATCTCGACGGCATCACGGATCCATCCTTTTTCTTTTCTTTTTCCTGTTCTCGAAAGTTGGCATAAGATGGTGCATCTCGAGACGGGAGAACAAAATAAGGGGTGAGTGTAAGATGGGTGGGCATTTCTTAGACGGCGGCTTGTGTCCTCCCACGAGGTTTCGTTTTTCTCAAAATTTCCCTGTTTGTTTTCTTTATATGTTATTTTTTCACTGAAATTGTTCCTTTTTTTCTCTTTTTCTTTTCATTCCCTTTCTTCCCCAAGAGCATCGCATCTTCTCGGCACCATACAGCATAGAGTTAGAACAAGATCAGGCGGAGCAGGGGTGTTTAGATGGTAGACACAGAGACCAAGTCCTCGAGGATGAACAGTTATCATTGACAGTTTGACAACTCGCTGTCTCAACTGGCGAGCAAGCATATTACATCTGCTTCTCTCGAAGATAAGCATCATACATCAATTCAATCGAGACGCTATTTAACACACAAGTATTTCTTTCTGCCGTGCGCTCCTCTCGCGTAGCATTGGTGATAATACACAAACCCCTTGTAAATGCTAATGAATCGTAAAAAGTCACTCACGTTGTCTCACAACAGGATGTCGGAGTAATAAAAAAAAGGGACACATCGAAGACGTCGGGGGTTGCATTGACAAGGGACCTAGGAACAATCTTGAAGCGAAGCTAGGTGAAGACGAAGAAAGTTCGCTTGGGAAAATAGAACGCGGACATGAAGATCCAAGCTCAACAAACCAAAGGTGACGCCCTTCGATACAGGAACAAGTTTGGGTATCAACATAGAACGAGAAGATCGAAAAACCTCCCGCGCGAAAAAGAAAAGGGGCAGAAAAACGGGAAACACGAATAAATAGTCTATACGACATTTGGTCCTGAAAGTATTAAAAAAAAAAAAAACGTTCCCCTTTCCCTTCAAACTTTTTTTTGGTACAAAATCCTGTTTGCGAATACAAGTACAAAGCCAACGCTCACTTGATGTCTGCAACAAGTTTCTTCCACTGGTCCTGCTCCGGTTCTATGTGTGTGAAAAAGACCTCGTTGCGCCGTGCAGTATGCTCAATGTAAAACAGAAAAGAAAAGAATAATAGATCCCAACTGCTCAAATACTATTGTGAAGGATAGATGCGAATATATACGGAATCGTCATGGTTGCTTAGTCGACTCCGGCTCAAATTAAGGTGGTCCAGGCGGGGAGATGCTGGGGCCGCAGGAGATGGTGATGTGATGTTATGCAGGCTATGCTGTCGCGGAGTATCGTATTAATGGACGAAACCCACTGTCGGTACGGAGTCGTCGAAACTAGATACTAGATATAAGTGCGGAATCCGCCAAACTCTGAAAACCCTTTGGCGCTCGAAATACGGTTTGGGCGGGTGATGGAAACGTCATATGGGATTCTCCATTCCGGGAGGTGGTCCTGCTGGCGTTGGGGTTTGTCGATTACTAGGCGTGTTACTCGCTCCCAAGCCCCTCTTCATCATCTTTCCGAGGACGGTAACAAGCTCGCATGCATCAGCGAACATATCATCATCCATCCCTTCCTGGGCATCATACACTTCGGCAATCGTCTTCTTCGCTAGGGCCCGGCTTGCCTCGGGGTCGTGGACGCATTCGTACAGGAAAGCAGCGTACTCCGTCTTGACAGATAATCGGAGTGAATGAGAGCCCCATAATAACTCCTCCGCAAGGACAACGGCTTCTTTGAATGACTTGTGCGCCACTGGAAGATAATCCGTGGCAGGGATGAGAAAAGAGGCGGGTGATTCTGCCGCAAAACCAGGTGGGGGACCGACAGGGCCGCCTTCCATTGGATGAGTTGGCTGTATCGAAGAGTTAAGAGACTCTAGATCGTCGTCCCGGGCTATTCCCTTGCCTTTATAGATTTTTGGTGGCGTTGCAAGGCCGGCGGCAGCTCCGGCAAGGATATCTGGGGTGGAAATGGCGAGGTCGGAAACTGGTGGGCTGTTGTGAAACAAGACAAATATGTGGTAGAATGAGGCGCGGAGCTTGTACGCGAGCACTCTGAGTTCGACCACTCCATGACCAACGCTGGGTATCACATATTGATCGAGCATTTTGAGGCCTTCCCTTGATAGCCAAATGATATGGAGAACAAGCTTGAGGAACTCTGGTGTCTGTTCTGCCTGGTGTCGGCGTTGCTTCTTTGCGGTGACAAGTTGGTCAGCTAGATTAAGAGAAAGACCAAGGATCTTGAAGAGGATGGAGGCTAGTAACGGGTTGCTTGGCTCGACCATCTTGGCCAGTTTGCCCAGAAATTTCTGGTCAACCTCGGAGGAAGCCATTCGTTCTGAATCGGCCCCGCCCACGGTCGTCTGGTCAAAGGATCGTTGGATGGTGTGGTGGATAATAGGTGCTAGTTAGGTGGTGGCGAGTGTTAGGGGAACGAGCGAAGCGAGCCTAGATTTCGGAGAGGAAGCGGATGAGCAACGGGTCAATGATGCTAGGGGACAACTAGCTGTGGAGTCTCGAGGGATCACCGTCGAAGCAGGCAAAAGAGTCGGGCAGAAATATCAGACTGGTCAGGGGCCGAGCTACTAAAGAGACCGAAGGCGTAACGTATGGGGCGCAGTAAGCTCTTGGTGACGGCGTCCGTAGCAAGTAAGGCGTCAATTGAGAAGGTGAGGATGTCGGCAATAAGTATAGGTGAGATTAGGGGTGAATATGAATAACCTCACACGTAGCATGTCGACGTGTCCAATGTCAGGGAGGTGGTGATTACACGAAGCTCAACAGAGGGCGGCCTTTGTTTACACGGCCACGGTCACGGCCACGGCCACGGCCACCTGGTGGATACAAAAATTCCGACAACCAGGAGAGCTACCCTCAGCGGCCGGAGGAACCGAGGCCAGGTTTGGGTTCAACGCGGGGATAATGTCGGATTGGCCTGGTCAAATAACGGGACCTGACGCGTGCGACTCGGAGAGGATGAGTAGCTTTCCAAAATTGGGCAGAAAGAGCGAGGCGAGCGCCCCGAACACGAAGGTCAAGTGCTCTGTGCCAGGACTCTGAGAATTGGGTGGCAAGACGGGCGATGCAAGTTGGGCTTTGCGTGAGAGGTCCTGATGGGAGTTGATAGTGCCAATCAATGAACTAGATCAAGGCATTGGGAGGAGAGCTTGGTGGAGGTGAGTAAGAGAGGCTTCCGTACGAAGGAGATCACGGATTGCCAACCAAGAGCGTCCAACGACAGCTCGGCTCACCCATGAACAAGTCGGTTTCCCCGGGTTCCTACCAACGTGTCGGGAAAAGAGGCAGGGGCGAAGAGTGAGGCCTTGCTGAGATCAATTGACGCGACGCACGATGAGATGCGGGCCAATTGGGAAGGCGAGTTGTCTCCGAGTGGCCTTCCAAGGGTTAGGGCTGAGAGTTTGGGGGGCTCGGCGAGCAAAAGTAGGAATCCTGGGAGAAGCGAGGACACGGAGGCAGTTCACGTTAAAGGGGCAGCCAATGCAGTCCTCGTCATGGAACGAGCGACGGGCCTCAAGAACGAGCAAGCCCTTGCAGACGATGGAATCGAAAGTAAGAAACGAACGTGATGCGCTCTAACCTGCAATTAGGGACTCCAAGAGACACGAAAGCATAACACCCAAACGAGTGACGGGCGAAGGTCAAGCTTCGATGTTCAATTGGGGGTTCGAGACGTTGGAAGGCAGGAAGGCACGGTGGATGGTGGAGGGTGCGGTGCACCTGCACGATGAGTTGTTCAATTGCGTCGTGGAAAGAGCAAAGTGAGTCTTGTCAAATAAGAGAAGGGGAAGGAATTACTGGACGTGTTGCGCTGAAGGTGGGTGGTGGGAGACGGAGTGTGAGCAGCCAGCAGGGGGTGTGTACGAAGTACTGAGGAAAAACATTGGGAAAAGAGCAAGTGTGTGCCAGGACGAAGTAGGAAGTAGGAACGGACTCGATTAGATGTTGCTTCCCGCGAAGTACTCATGCTAGGCTAATGTACGGTCTGTAACATTCGTTCATAAAATCAATACTGGACAACATTATTATGTTCCAGCATTAAAGTAACCATTGCAGCTGATCCATTCCTCTAGTGTATTACCACCACCTCCACGAAAAGAAAGTACGAAGTACGAAGTACATTAAACATCAAATCTCGGCAGACACGTCACTGTGACGGAGATATGTGGACTGGCGGAGCTTGGGAAGGTGCCGGCGAGGGGGAATCGGGAGGGAGCTTATTCAAGAGGCGATGAAAATGATAAACGCGTTTGTTCAAGACAAGGATGGCTTAGATGAAGAAACAATATTACTATGACAGCTCTCTCCCTTGGATGAGTGGAATGAAGGGCACCACAAACAAAGTACTTCGTAGACGTAGACCTAAAAAGCAAAATCACATCCAAAGAACAAGTACTGTCCATCAATAGTAGTTCCTGGCGTCGAAGGGTAACCCGAACCAGGATCAATTGATGCTCAGCGCGGGATGACCTCAATAACCTTACTCGGGAGGGAGCAGGAGCAAAATACGAAGGAGGTAATTTTATGGCAATCAGACTTTGTAGGAGTCTCTACTTGTAGTCTGGTAAGCCTCGGCAGTCTCGAACGTGGAGAAATGAATTTTCATACTTCGTAGACACCGCTTTCCGCTCACATCATGTTCATTCATCCAGGATCACGCCTGTTCCATGCAATGTGCGATGGGGGCAGCTACGACGTACGAAGTATGTACAATCCCTACCGCGTACGCATAGGTCTAAATCTTCCGCGATTGGAATCGCGTTCTCATCAGATTTGATATCTTCTACCCCCTGTCACCAACGCGTGTTATGCGCCGCAAATGCCGCAGCGCAGCATATTCTAATACCGGTGATTGAATGTACTTCGTACCACAGGCGAGAGCAGCTCTTTTGTCCCTTTTCTCTTTACCCCTGGCACGGTTCAACCCCCTGGCTCAACATTGAAGCTTCGTTGGTGGCTTCAATGTCACCCCCTGGGCAGCCGTTTAAAGTGCTTCACTGAGTGAGTTATGTTGTCAGTCACTTGTCAAGTTATCATCATATCTGAAAGGCTGAGCGGTACACAGGTATTTCGTGTTAATACCCGCCTTCCCTCACCCCTCGACGATGCCATCCGCACTGACCTTACTTATATATACTTACAGTAGTAGTTTAATATACCTCTGTAATAGTGTAGGAATTGTGGTAGATGAGGTATGCCAGCCCGGAGCGAGAACAATTGTCATTCAGCGACATCCACGACCTTTCTTTTTCTTTCCCCCTGGACCCCCTACCAAGAAAAGGCTTCTCTTTGCTAAACCAGCAGTTAACATTTTCTCGGACGCCGCTGTCTTATCCGGATAGACGCCATCTAATCTGTCTCGCCTATCTTACAGCGAGTTTGGGTAACTACGTCGTACCGATGATTCATTCTTGACCGCACCATCAGAGAGTTCATTCGCCCGAGACATTTCCCGTCCATAACCTGCAGGTTACCTGGGGTTACTTCCAGTTGAAACGATCTATCGTCAGACATGCTCACGGCTCACATGCAGTGAAGGTGCTTGCAGGAGAGATGCGGCGTGAGGGAACCTGGCCTGGTAGAAAGGAACGCTAAAGAGTTGGACTGTTCCGAAACCCCAAGCTGAGTGCGCCCTGGGCTCCCCGCAATGTCCCTCGTACGAATCGTCGAGGTTCGTGATACTCGCGTGACATTGCGATTGCGGACAAATGCGGATGATGGAGCCGCGAAGAGGATAGTCTCATTCAAACGTTTTGCTTCTTAGTCTGGCGGTGGTGGTGTTTGACGAACGAACCTACCCACTACTAAGATTGATGGTGCTCCTTCTACCGAGGAGCCAGCTCGGGAGCCTTTTTAGGTTGAGCAAGCTGGACAGATTAGTGGGTAGCGTGCCACCTGCTAGTGGCTTCATTTCGCGCTTCACTTCAATGTTCAACGTGAGGCGCTCCAGCCCAGTAAAAGTGGAGATGGAGCGCTGCAATCAGAGTATTGGGAGGTATGAAAGACACGAAAGGGTCATGTTGAAAGTTTCCCGAGCTGATGTCTACGATTGACACCCGATGCAGCTGAGGCCAAGGCATTACGGGCTCAATATTGCGGTACAACCCGGCTTCATGAGCACCACACACCACCCAAGACGTGTCCATATCAACCCACCACCAGCCACCTCTTTTTTTCCGTCGCGACTGGGTGCCTCAAACGACAGCACGAATTTTCGCAATACCTGCTCCCAAGAATGTCGCTATTGCTCTTGGAAGCACCAATAGATGCATTTGGCGCAAATTCCACAGCAGGAGTAAACTCGCCCATGACACGCTTCGGATTGATTCGTCTGAAGCGCCTCGATCTCTAGAAAGGTATCGAGTTCGGTTTCTGTCAAACTTACGAAGCAGACACGATGGACTCGAAACACTTCAGGTGGAGTCGGTGTTAATTCTAGCGTTATCAGCCAGCCCAGTGCAACATTCACTCCACCACGCTTGGCCTTTCGAGATGCGACCATGCGCGCACCATTTCTGCCGCATGCAATCACCGGTCGTTTGCCGACCTGGACTGGTTTGTGGCGGAATTTACAACTGATGAAAAGGTGGTTCAACGATCACCCTGTTTGGAATTCTTTGCGAAGGACATTGACGACCCAAAGACGTTGCGAGCAATGACAACTGATGCACATCTGTGGCCCAAGAACCAGGTCTGAAACTGGCGGTGAGGAAATATGGCCTATGCTCCCAAACTCCAGCGCCGGGGGAACGGCTCGGATTGCTTTCCAATGAAGCGAAGCCGTTATTTGAGGGAACCAGATCGCGGCCCGTTGAGAACGTTTGTGGAGGGATCTTTGGTTGGTATATGCTGTGTAACTGACATCTTACGCTGCAGCGAAGGAGAGGGGTTGCTGAGACTCGAAAGGGCTCTGACCTTCCTTTAGTGGGCTCATCCAGAGCACAATCGATTCCGGATTCCAACGCTTCTTGTAGCCCAGCCCTATCGGTTGTTGATATGGTTAATGGCAACGGATGGACACCGAGAACCCAATCTCCACGTCTGCCCGCTCAATGGGGACCATCAGATGAGCCAATGATCTGATCGTTGTGGTGCTGCGGGCTGACAGAATGTAGGTTAATCTGGGGTACCGCACTTGAAGTGTCAGCCTTTGCGATCCTTTTTATTTGCCTCCCAGGCCAGCTCTGGAGTGGGTCATCTTGATGTGCGCCCGCTTAACTGCCCCTCGCCGCCGCCGGCTCGGCCGTCGTATATCTCTCGTCAGCCCTGGATGATGGCTTCGCATAGCATATTTGCTTACGGGGGCATTACAGCCTCTGTTATATTGCTATTGGATTCTTCTTCTTCACAGTACCCTCTTTATGGGATTGTACGTCCGACATTCCCATGAAACGCTGGAGTCGAGTCATACGTGAGCGCTCCTTATGCTCGGTCACCTGGAAACAGGCGGTTTCTTGGGCAATATGGATTTGGCTTTTCGATTCCCATCAGCCCGTGCCCATCAGCGCGTGGTAATATGACATCTTTTTATTTTACTCCGAGATCCGACCATTCCTCTTTCACTCTCAAGTGAGACCACTAAGCAAACCTCGCGGAAGCTATGCGACGGATGGGAAACACGACGCAGAAAGCCACGTTGAAGAACCTGGCACCCAGTTACTCCCGGACACCATGTTTCGAATTAGATTCTGGTGTCGAGGTTCGTCTAGGGCTTGTAGTGCTAAGAATTGCTGTTTGCACATTCCTGTCTTGACATCATTTCACGTGGGGGTTTTGTCTCGCTGTTAGACGTGCTGTCGAGGTTTGAGGTGAGTCTGGAACATAATAGACTGATGTGTTATATTTAAATCTCCGGCTTATATCAGGATAGAGTGTGATATCCTGAATCCTCTCGTCATAGAATCCAGGCCGTGGTCTTGCCCTTCTCATTCTTCCACACCCGGGTCGCTGAGTGCGTATGTCTAGTTAGACTTCAATGAATATTTGAAATAGGATTTTTTGCACTAAATTATTCAAGATCGACAAGTTCCCCGATGAACTCGGGTTGCGGTAGTTGGTGATGTTAGGTTCACAAGCCGTTGGGCTTGAGAAGTGAGGATGAACCCTAACCCTTTCTCTAGGTGGGACGGAAATTTTCTCATCAGGCCATTTCCATCATCCATCACGACGGAAACTCGAATCAGCACACCTCTCCGAAGCAGGTTACATATGCGAATCCCGCAAACCAAGTAGAAGCAGCTCGGCGCAAAACACAGCTCTTTGAGCCATTCCGTGCAGTATTCCTTTTTTCCGAATCAATGACCCCGCAGCACACTAACGCCGACGCCGGGCCGGGCCGGGCCCCGAACCCTCTCCTCGGAGACCTCATCACCACGTACAATGACCTGAATAGCACCGTAATCGACGAGCTAGATGAAGAGCCCAGCGCGCTCGAATTCATGCGCTACGTGGCGCGCAATACGCCATTTGTCGTGAGGGGCTGTGTGCCAGACTGGGAGGCGTTCCGGCTCTGGGACAAGGAGTTCCTGGTTGACACTATGAGGGGTAGGAAGGTGAATGTCGCCGTTACGCCAAGGGGGTGAGTGAATGATTGAATCTCCCTCCTGGACAATGAGACTCTGCGTCCTTTCTTCTTTTGTTTTGAGATTGGGTGTCGGTGGGATGAGAGGATTGTGAGACTGAAGATTCCTTGTTTGAATGGATAGGAATGCCGACGCACCGACTCAGATGGAAGACGGTTCCCTCGTCTTCGCAAAACCGCACGAGGAAGACCAAGACTTCGAAGAATTCCTAAACTATGTCATCAACCAAGAAAAGAATCCATCCTCCCAAGGCTCAGAAATCCGCTACGCTCAAACCCGTAACGTCTTCCCCTTTCCTCACGCCCGTTCTCGTCGTATGCAATATCTCACTTACACATACATCTCCTCCAGAAAACAACAACCTCCACGACGAATATTCCCCCCTTCTCCCCCACCTCCCCACAACCATCCCCTTCGCTCGCATCGCCCTCGGCCGTGCCCCCGACGCCCTAAACCTCTGGATCGGCAACTCCCGCTCCGTCACCGCCATGCACCGCGACGGCTACGAGAACCTGTACGTCCAGATCCGAGGGCGGAAGCACTTTGTCCTCATGCCGGCACTGTGCGCCCCCGCTGTGCGGGAGCTTAGGTTGGATCCGGCTACGTATCGGAGGGAGGAAGGGACTGGGAAGTTGGTGCTTGAGAGGGACGTTGTTGAAGGTGGAGATGAGGATGCACGCGTGCCGTTTCCTACGTGGGATCCTGATGGCGTGGCGGTTGGGGGGCGGGAGGGGATTGAGGGGAGAGGGACGGTTGAGGGGAATGTGTTTGCGGAGTTCGTTCAGCCGATGAGGGTTACTTTGGAGCCAGGGGATATGTTGTATCTCCCTGCCATATGGTACGTGCGATGTTATCACAGAGTGAGCTGGGCTGGGATATGAATCGTCTAACGGGGTTGATAGGTATCATAAGGTGTCCCAGTCGTGCAGCGAAGACGACGAAGGTTTCGTTCTTGCAGTCAATTACTGGTATGTTTCCCATCTCCCTCGCTTATTTATCCTTCTACGTGCCTCATCTCACTCTGTGACAGGTACGATATGGATTACAGCGGGCCATTGTATCCTCTTACCAACCTCGTGAGGACCATGAGTTCTGCTTTACAAGGTCCAAAATGAATATCATGCTTAACCCCTATACACCTAAAGAGGCAAGGTCATGTCCAAAATCATTTTATATGCGCCCGTCCTATGCCTAGAGTAAAAAGCCTCGTACACTTTTCTCTTCTTCCATTTTACTTCCTCTTGGCTATCCTCTTCTGCGCCCTCAACTCCTTCTTCATACGAGGATCCACCATGCGATATCGTCCCTTAACACCCTTCGGCCTACCCTGAATACCCCTATTCGCATTCTTCGCCACGACGACCTTGACAGGCTTCCTCGGCTTCTTCTGGTTAGCCTTAGCCATCAGCTTCGTGATACTATCTGCCTTCTCCCTCTCCGTCATGCCCTCGTCGTCGTTGAGGAGATCCGACTTCTTCTTCAGCTTCTCCAGCCTCTGCGCTGCCTTGAACTTCTTCCTCGCCTTGGCCTCCTGCACCTTCTTGATCGGTCGCGCGTTCAGTGCTCGTAGTTTCTGCTTGATAGCTGCCGCCGCCTCCTTCGTGATGGGCTTGAGAGGCTTGTCGTGCCGAACCTCGTCGTCGAGGAACCAGTCGGGAAGGCCGTCGCGGTCCCGGAACGCCCACTTGTTGAATCCTTCGTCGATGAGATCGCTCTTCGTCTTCTTGCCAGTGGCAAGGTCATGGGCTAGCGTCATGGCTTCGGCAGTCACGATATCAATGTCTAACCAATAGTTAGTATATCCCATGAGTGAGGCGTGGGTTAGGGGGAAATTAAATAACATACCGATCTTGCCATCTGACCGACGCTTGTCTTCTTCTTCCCAGTCATCATCCTTGTTATTCTTTACAACTTCGAAAGTGTCTTCCTCCTCGCTGTTCTCCGAATCGGAATCAGACTCAACGGCTTGGGATTTGGCTTTAGTAGTCTCCTTGGCAGAAGGGGCAGCTTCGGCCTTCTTCTTCTTAGCCTCCTCCTTCTTCGTCTTCTTCTCCTTCTTGGGGGCCTCGGTCATTTCCGTGTCTTCATCATCTTGGATGCCCAAGACATCTTTAAAGATGTCCTGGTTGAAGAAATTCCGCGCCCGCTTGGACAGGGCACTATCCGCCGGCTCATCATCGAGGTCTCTTAACAGCGACTTTCCAATACCCTCCGAATCGTCACCCATCTCATCGCCACTCTCTTCTTCGAGCTCGGAATCATCGCTTCCCTCGTCCGCACTACCCACAGCCGATAGACCCTCCCACTCATCGTCAAACTCCTCCCGGGACCGCTTCGCACGGTATTTAGGGTCGGCGTCAGACTTTCGCTCCCTATACTGATCGTACATGGCATCGAGCTCTTGCTCGAGACGATCCTCCGTCTCGTCTTCCTCGTCGGATGAGCCGATACCGCTGTCGAGCTCGGGTTTCTTCTCGGGTTTGGTGAATGTAGCCATCTTTCCGCGGGCAATATGCCTTAGGGCGTCCGTCTCATCTATCGACTTGAGCCTGAACATGGAACCCTCTCCCATCTGGTTATCTTGCTCCATTCCGATATCCATGGGCGCCGTCATGTGCATTTGCATCCGGACAATCTCCTTTTGCTTTCGCTCATTCTCCTTGCGCCTCTCTCGCTTCCTCTTTGCACTCTCCTTATCTTTGAGATTCTGAAGCTCTTCTTGGATCTTCAGCTCTTCGTCCATGGACTCCACCTCGGCGACCTCTTCTGTAGTTTCCTCAGTCTTCTTGGTGGCCAACCCAAATATTTCTCGGACCCGAAGACGCCACTTGAGCAGCAGCTTGAACTCCTTTCGGCCAAGGACCTTAAGGTCCGCACAGCAGTTCCGGATGTCCTCCGTGGTCTCGGGGAGCTTCTCCAAAGCTGCCAAGGCAACGTCGCCGTTGGGGGGTTGTGCAAAACTCAACGTGTTGCAATTGGCTAGGATGGCTAGGGGATCTGTCGTCTGTATGAATTCACTAGCGGTCACTTCCTTAAACTGAGTGTAGTCGCCCTCCTCGTAACCCTCTCGCTTTCGCTTCTTCGTCTCGGGGTTGTACACCTTGGCCTCATTGTTGGGGGTGGGGTTGGAGAGTTCGGCAAAGACTGATCGGGGGTCAAGGAAGCGGGGATCAATGCGCTTGGGTGCCTTGAAGCCTCTGCAGACGACGAAAATTTCGGCGGATACGTTTCGAGAGGAGGGTGGCTTCGTGGCCTCGACTTTGGTGAAGAGCTGGTTGAAGACCCAGAGAAGAGGGTTGTAGTCCTTGGAACGGAAAACTTTGGTGACGAAAGTACCACCCTCCACCAAGAATTCCGTAGCGAGCTTCATTGATTGTAGGACTAGTTCGGCCTGGTTGAACGAATCCTGGTTCCAGGCAGTACCAACGTTGGGAGCACCATCGTGCAGAACGGTATCGGCTTTCCATGTCTTGAGATGCTGTCGAATAGTCGCTCGGCACTTGTCTGTCGTAATATCGCCTTGGAAGGTAATGACTCGGGGAATAGGCTTGATCGGGGACAAATCGACACCGACAATCAAACTGTTGACCGGCATCGTTTCGGCTGCAACTTGACACCATGACTGCAGAGATTTAAGCTTTAGCATTAGAACATAAGGGGGAGACGAAAGCTAGGCTGATGAACATACACCTGGCGCAGCGCAGAGATCGATGAGAACTTTGCTCTTCTCGAGGAAGCCATATTTCTTGTTGAGTTGGATAAGCTTAAAGGCAGCACGAGCACGATAGCCCTTTTCCTTTGCAAGCTTGTACCACTTGTCGAGACGGCCTTTGCCGTGCTTCTTTTGGATCGCCATCTTCCGTCAAGCCGCCAGCTGATAATTGGTGGATGGAGGGCCGAGTTGTAGTTGAGTTCTGGGACGGAAGGATGTGATGGCGGCAATCTCCCAGTCCTCCTTGTCTTGGTTCTCTTTGCAGCCCCGCGAGGTAGAGACGTTCGAAATTTTTTTTTTCTTTCAACACTGTGGCTCGTCAGTGCGATAAGAAAGGCGGTGGGTGCGATAACGGAAAATATTCGGTTTAGAAGGGGAATCGAGTGGGGTTGCCAGTCAATTGAGGCTTGAGGCTTGTGTGTTGAGGCACCTCGGTACCGGGTACAGCTACGCTACAGTGGGCTGTACCGCGCCGACCACCTTGCTAAAAGTTTCCAATTTGGTCCCTGTCGAAGTGGGTCCTCGCGTCGCCATTGGCCTGTCACGAATCCACCTCATCGCGTTTATAGTGGCGTTCAGCACCCGCACCCGCGTTAAGTGTCTCCTCATATAAGTCCACCAACTGCAGCCTCTAAGATTTGTTCTGTGCCCTGCAAGTCCAGCCTCCCAGACTGAGATTTGATCTTGAAATCCGAAGTTCAACCCCAACCCTTTGTGGAATTCTTTTCTAACCCTAGATTGACCTTTTCTTGTAATTCTGGTATGACTTGGTGACATATATTTTAAAAGTAGGACTGTCTCTCGGCCACTATCCTTCCGAGCATTCAGTCCTCTCAACATACCTCCGTGCCCTTCCTCCGACCTCCGATATCCCACACTCCCCTCCTTTCTCACCACCATGACCGCCACCATGGACCTCGACGATATTCCCACGTCCTCACAAGAGCCTCCGCTCGCTTCCGGGGCAAGCCATAGTACCCCGAATCGAAATGCCTTTCTCTCCCCTCCCAGGAGGAGGGAAAGGAGGAACCCTTCCGTTACTCCCCGGAGATTCGCCCGCTTCTTCGGTCCCATGCTTGCCGGGAACTCTTCTACGTCCGGACTCGATCCCCGACCGGCATTAAATGAGATGGGTGATTCTGTGACAAACCACCAGGGTTCTACAGTCAAGAGGAAGCTGTTTGAGTCCAGCTCACACTCGCTCACTCTATCTCTCCCGGAACCCGAGCCCTTGATGAAGCGTGTGAGGGTTCAGGACAGCAACCCTCATCCATTCAGCGATGAGAACATCCCGTCCTTCTCCCACCGTCTTTCTGGAGCCCAGCACACTCTTGAGGTATGTCTGGTTCCCTCCAAACCCTTGGTGGCTACTCTCGTTGCGCTCGCTGACATATATATTCATAGGACGATGCAATCCCATCTTCGCCGTGTGTACCTTCGAGCCCTCCACCCTTCCCCCAAGACATTGATGATCTCCAACCGAAGACTCTAGTAAGTCTGCTTCCCCCGTCGGGTTCTCTAGTTTCGTAGTTGACGGATGAGAATCAGAATGACTTCTGGCCGTGTTCGAGAGGAGCCAGAGCCCGCCGGGAAGGTATAATGAAGTCTTTCGGCCGCAGCTTCGAAAACACCTCCGATATAGACGCCCTCGATGACGAAGGAATGGTATGTTTTTAAAACCTAGCTGCAGTTATCCACATATCTCTAACGTTCTAATGCTCGCAGGATATCGAAGAACCCGTCCCCCCTCCCCAGCCCATTAAACGATTCCGAGCCACAAATTTCCACAGCCGACTACTCGTTCGCGAATTTGGCCATTCCACCCGCATGCTCCCGAGCACCTATCAATGCCCCGTTCCCGATGTCCACCCCGATCTCTCCTCTTTCTGCAGCAGGAGTAACGACGTGATCCAATGTACGAGTTTCAAAAACGAATCGCAACTCATCCCGTTCAGCCTAGCTACCTCAACCAGTAAGTGCCCTTGAAAAGGAGTTGTTTCCGGTCAATAAGACTGTTGCTAAATAGTGACGGTAACAGATCAAGGGAAATTGGTAACGGCAGTAGGGGATGAGGAAGGTTATGTCCGGTTTATTACGAGGCAGAACGATGATGAGCTTGCGCCTGAATATTTCTGGCAAGCCCATGCTAACGCTATCATGGACCTCGACTGGTCACCCTCCGGTACTCATCTCGCAACTGCTGCCGGAGACAGGAGCGCGAGAGTTCTTGACGTCGTGTCTCAAAGCTTACTCTTCAACCTTACTGGGGGACATGATAGCTGCCTGAGACAGGTCAAGTTCCAACCGGGAAATGGCGGCGGCCACATCTTGGCCACATCCGATCGAACTAGCAGGATCCAGATATGGGACACAAGATATAAGCGGTCAGTCAGCACAATCCCGGAGGAAGTCTTGGTCCAGCCCGACGGAACCGTCCTTTCAGAGTCAACCTCCTCGACCTTCGGTGACCCCATCAACACCATCTGGGCCGGCCACTACCGCAAGCGGGACTACAACTTAGCCTCCGTGACATCTCTCCAGTGGCTTTCCCCGGGTCAAAGCCACCTTCTCCTATCCGCCTCCGAAGCCGACTCGACAATCAAGCTCTGGGACTCCCGCTACATCAGCTACACGCGGGACGACAAGCCGAAGCCCCTAGCCTACACGGCCCAGCCTAGCGACCACATCCGCCGGCCCTACGGCATCACCTCCCTGGCGCTCAACTCGGATGCCTCGCGCCTCTACGCCGTCTGCAAGAACGGCACCGTCTACGCCTACTCGACCAGCCACCTTATCCTCGGCCACGGGCCCGAGCTCGCCACGCTCGAGACGCCGCGACCCCGCAACGGGCGGAACGTCGAGGGCCTGGGACCCATCTACGGTTTCCGCCACGACCGGCTCAAGGTGAACACATTTTTTATCAAGTGCTCCATCCTGCCTCAGCACGTCATGGGCACGGAGATGCTCGCCGTCGGAAGCTCAGATAACTGTCCCATCCTCTTCCCCACCGACGAATCCTCCATCCGCTCCCAGTGGCCCCTTCTCGAATCCCACCCTTCCTCCACTTTCACATCCTCCTCTCAATCCGACCCCACCATACCCCTCTCCTTCTCCTCCCAAACCTCAGACCTTACCTCGTCTTTCTCACCCTCCCGCACCCCCATCGTCCGCAACGGCGTCGCCCTCGTCGAAGGCACCTCCCGCGAAGTCAGCTCCGTCAAGTGGACCCCCGACGGCCAGCTCGTGTCCATTTCGGACGACTACTCTATTCGTTTCTGGTCCGCCGATGCGGAGCGGGCGCGGTACTTGAGGAATTGTGGCGATTTTGGAGGGTTGCGGTTCGGTGCTGGTTGGGCGGATGTGGTGGATACGCCTTATGATGAGTGATCGATTTCTTTTGTTCTCGACTCTTTTTTTTTTTTTGGTTGGTTCTTCACAGGTAGAAGGATGGTTTAGCGTCATTGAAGCATTGCATCTGTAAATATGGGAAATGGCGTTTTTCGGCGTTAGTAGGGATTATCTGGGACGGGTTCTGGGCTTTTGCATGTTGCGATTTAGATGGTGAGAGTGGGAATCACTGAAATGCCAGCCAACTCAACATTCAGTCCTTGTTCAAGAATCAAGCACTTCTGTGATATCGAATGCAACGAACTGTATCTGAAAGTATAGAATCAATGCTGATTGGGTATAACGACTAGGTATGAACATCAATCTCTAACTGCTATACAATAAATGATAAGTCTATTCCTCGAGAAATTCCCAGCTATGCAGAATCATTGCTGCTTGTCCTAAACCCTTCCAGGAAGGCCCCCTGTTTCTCTTCCCAAAAGAAAGAGCACACCCGCTTAGCGATATCCAAGTGTCTTGCATGGTCACAACTCCAATTGACCCATCCCAGCCGCCTCTCGTGCAGCAGCTTCGGCAGCAGCCTTCGCAGCAGCCCTGGCGATGGCTTTCGGAGTTCCTGGCCTCCCCATGTAGTAGCCCGTGATGATAATCGCAGCGCTGAGGCCAAATCCAATCAGTGCGGCCACATAAGCCAGCACCAACAGGACCGTCCTCAGAACCGCATCGCTCTGATACCTTGGTCGAAGAGCTTGGTAGCCCTCAGCAGCTTCGTCGCCTTCATCTTGCCCGTCGTAGGTGAAAGCCTGCTTACGTTTTTCCGAAGGAGGAAGCTGATCGACGAAGCGGACGGATTTCTTGGATGCTGTGCTGTCTTCGCTTCTCCTTCCAGCTTTCTTTAGGGTACTTGGGATAACTTTTGGCTCTGATATCTCGTTTTCGCAGGCGTAAGACTCTTCACTACTTCTCGCGGCTCGTCTTTCATTGCGCTCCTTTGTGACGACGACACTGTTACGGAGCCGTTCGGAGCGCAGTGAGTATTCGGGATTCAGGAGAGCATTGGCTTGGGTGTCGGGAGGAGTCAAGAGGTCGTCGAGCTGTTGGAGGACGGCTTGCATCTGGCCAAAAATGACCACCACTTCTTGTGTTATCTCGTCCTTTTCAGCGGAGGTGAACGTGAACTCGGCGTCGAGGAGGCGTCGTTTGTATTCCTCTTTGAGCTCCTCACCATCGCGGGGAGTGTTGAAGTGTAAGAAATCAAGAGGAAGCCGAGAAAATGAACGCGGGCTATCGGTGAGGAAGGAACCCTCGTGTGTTGAGCTATGAGGGGGTAGGGAAGACATTGGAGAAACAGCTGGTGTGTCGACTTGATCTTGGGAGGCGGTTGTCGTCAAGCCAAGCCAAGAAGCTTTGTAGGCCCAAAACTCATCACCGGCAGCTTCGAGGGGAGCTCTAATATATCTCGCACGGGCGCACAAGGCCATGTGGAGAATATATCCATAAGCGATAAGAACATGGGGACGTTCCTGTATCGAGTTCCGGATGACGGATGTGAAATCTTGCAAGGCGCCCTTGGACGATACTTGGCGAAGCTGGGCATCCACTTCCGTGGCGGACCATCCCGTCATTCGTTGCAAGTCACGCCACAGCGCATCCGCTCGTTGGAGGCCGGGTAAGCGAAGATCCGAAAGTAACGACCGTACTCTTTCAGGGACAGTGATTCTACCGGTCTCCAAGGACGGAAGCTGAGTGCTGCCAGAGCTCTTCAGTGGTTCCGGTGCAAGGTCGAGCTCCAGGCTCTGCGAGCCAGCTAGACTCGTGTTAGTAGCGGGCGCCCGACCAGCAGGGCTGTTCACAATCTCCTGCCAGAGGCTCTCAAAAGTAACATAGATGGGCGCAATATGGAGAAGGCCTGATGCGTATACGGAAGGATTGGTCGTCAGTGGCGGGAGCGCCAAGGGGAGGCGAGAGACGATGAACTTGTTAAGATCCTTGTGCATCGATCTCGTCGCCCGTCTTAGTGATGTGGAGAGAGTCTTTGGGCTTGCCGCTTGGGCGGGCCTCGTCGCGGGGGCCATGGTTTCGCAGATAGAATTGGGAGAGAAGAGTGGCAAGTTCAATGTCGCAAAGCAAGGGAGTAGGTCTTGGTCCAAGAGTATCCGGAGTTGGTGCGGATGGCGTGTTCTAGGAGGCGTGTTAAAGGAAGACAAAGGAAGTACAGGACAGTTCAAGCCCAGGTTGTGGTTCAAGCGTACAGGGCAAACGAAACTCGTGACGGGGTATCAGAAATAATCTATTGTAAAAAGAAATGCAAACAGTTGAGGAGAGTTGAAATCACAAAGAAGGGAGAGATAGAGGCATCATCGGCCTTGAGAGCAACAGATGAAGAGGTCAATGGAGGTGGAGGGTTGTACAAGAAGACAAGAACGATTGACAATGAAAGTACTCCGTAGTTTCGAGCTGGAGCAGCAAGAGGAAAAGGTCCCCCCACTCGGCTGGGGTTCTTGAGGCAGGTACAATGAACTGTGTGCCTGGGGATGCCCCTTGGGGTGGATGTGCGAAATGTGCAAAACTGGAAGTGTGGTGCGAGGAAGGAATGGAGAGATCCGAGCCGAATGACACCAGCATTCGGGGAAGGTGAAGGTGGGATGAAGCCACGGGCTGGACTTGGAGGGACTTGGAGACCCCAAGAGGCAAGGGGGAAGGGGGAAGGGGCAGGGGCAAGAAAAGGGCAAGAGGCTGACCCCAGCTGAAGGAAGACACAAATACAATTGTGACGATACTTCAGGCAGTCCCTTTCCATGAGGGGAAGTGGCCTTCCCCAGGCCACAAGAAAGAGAAGGAGAAGGTCGATATCGGAAAGCCGCTAGGGTGCAAGGGAGGCGCGACCCCGGTCGAGACCCGTCACCAGTCTCCCATAGTGAACGTGGTGAATGACTCTAAACTACTTCGTACACTACTTCGTACTTCGCACACTTCGGTCATTGCTTCGGCCTTTGCTACAAGGACGAGGTAAGCCTTCGGGGAAACAAGAAAAGGGACTGCCAGGCTGACGGCGAAACGGGATGCCTTTCTTCTCTTTCTTTTTTTTGGCTATTCGAATCTAGTAGTTAGCCAAAGTGCTCGCAGGAACCGTCTAGAATGTTACGGTAGGCCCTCCTCGTGTTTCGCTATAACCCGGAATACGCAGGTTGGATTGTGGGCTCCATCCTTGCCATAGCCTCTTCGGGATAAGAGCTGCAGGAAAAAAAAAAAAAAGAAGAGAAAAAAAAAAAAAATTGGGAAAAGACAGGGGTGCAAAAGAACTGTTGTTGACTCTCAAGCCAAACGACTCTTCCAGACGTAAAGAGAAACGAGTTTTCCATGCCCTATTACACTGCCACTACTTCGTACGTAGCGTACACTGCAATGGCTAATATTAGCTTTCAATTCCACGCTCCTTCGCAGCGCAGAGGTCTCGGGTCGGTGTGGTGGACGTTCCCGCCAATCTGTTGACGGAATGTGTCTTTGTTGAACCCCGCCGGACCGGAGCAGGCAGAATTGGTACATGAGCCCATGTCCTCTCAGCAGCAGCCTACAGTACATTAGCTCGGTGATTTTGCTTCGGGATTGTATCGATCTCTCATTCCTTCTCATCAATCTGTACGACTTCACGCCAGTACCCTTTATGCGCTTCACTTGCATCGACAGGGGGAACGGGTCTAAGCTTGATTGGTCGCCACTCTGCTGGACATCCACTGTGGATTATTCTCAGTCGAGTTAGCTGGCGACGAGTCCATTTTTTTGGAGACGGACTTGTTCGGAGTCGGGGAAATGGCCTCGCATTGGTTGAGAAAAGGATTGGAGTAGCGTAGTCTCCAACAAACCCCCTCATAAGTGCCTTCACCGCAAAATGCTCGACTAGCTTCATGATGGGCAAGAATTGGTGTATTTAGATCAAACCCAAATTGCATCCTGGAAAAGAAGCCAACACTGTTGATGCTGCCACTCGCATTAAATAAATACAACGGAGAAGAAAAGAAAGATAAGCCCAAGGAAAAAAGAGGTGACACCGAACACCACGAATGCGAAGGCAATTTATACCCCATCCACAGATTCCTGCGCCTTGCTTGCTGGGTCCTCGTGGCTCTCATGGTTGATAAAAAGGAAAGAGACAAAAACAACCGCTGCCCCAATCCAGTATACTACGCTCGAATACTGCGAGTACTGAATCATTTCCCCAATCAAGGAGAGCGGGATCGTCAGGGACAGTCCAACAGTGACCACGAGGGGCGTAGTCAACAGCATGGCATACGCCCATGAGATGTCGCTGACAAAGGAAGCCACCGAGTTACCCTAAGAGAGACAAGACTGCGTTAGCCCGCATTCTGTGATCGAGAACGGCGTGCAAGGGTAGGCTGTAGACTTACCAGGACAATTGCCCAGATCTTCGCCGACGGCGGCATCACAAACTATGATGATAGTTAGGATTCTGCTAAAAACCACACTCACTCCCTTGTTAAAGAGTGGACCAGTGGAACACGACTTACCGGCTCCAGTCCCGTGAAGTGAAGGACGAAGAACAAGGGCCAGAGCAACACAAGACAGTACACGCCCACCAAGCCAAAGAAGAGGGGCATGTTAACCCTGTCCTCGTCACCAACCCTTAGCTTCATCACCGTCACGTAGAGCCCATAGATGATAGCGCTCACAAACGCCATCGAGTCGCCGATGGCAATCTGCGCAAGCGTCTTATGCGGGAACGACCCGCGGTTCTCCTCGTTCGAGCCCGTCAGGTCCACCGTCGAAATTAGAACCACGCCAGCAAGGGACGCCAGCACCCCTATAAGCTTCCTCGTCGAGAAGGACTCCACGCGCATCAGCGCGCAGAAGATGAGCGTCCAGACACTGCTGGTCGACGTCAGGATCGTCACGCTGCCGACGCTCGTGTACTCGAGACACGCCGAGGCAAAGTAGTTCGCAGAGAACCATAACATGGAGAATTCGAGGCTGAGCTTCGCCGTCTCGAGAAAGGTCAGCTTGCCGTCATCGCTGAACTGCGGGTCGAAAATCTCGAGGCTGCCGTCCTCGTCGCCGAGGAGTTGTTCGCCGACCGTTAGGTCGTCGTCTTCGATCGTGGGGATCCTGGATCGCACGCCCGTCTTGTATTCTTGCCAGACCTGCGCCGCCTCGGACTTGAAGTGCGGCCAGCCATTTTTTATGATGTAGCGTATTGTCATTACGCCTAGCGAGATGGCAAAGGCTGAGCTATTAACGTAAACGACGAGGAAAGGCTTGTCGTAGGTATTATCAGAGTAGATGGACTATCGAGGGAAGAGCAAGCGTTGTTAGCCGCGAACTGTGGCCAAAAAGGGATCTCGCGGCGGAAATTGCGCAGAACTCACACTCGCCAGGAAATTGGCCAGAGTCCAGAGAAATACTGTGACTAGAAGCAGACATATTCCCAGTGTCCGCCTCGCGACGCCCCCTAATCCTAGACGGGCCAATAGCCCGTGGGCGCCGCCGTACTTGCGGGTTGAACTCTGCATCGACAACCGGTGGCCATCGCTACTAGGTCGGCCGACGGAAGTCGATAACCTGGCCTCGCGCGGTTCGGTATCTGCTGGTGTATATAGTATTGGCTCATTGGCGGCCATGGTGTGGAGATGTGTCGGCACGAGTGCACAGGGGGGGAGTTCAAGATGAGGTTCGAGGTCAGAGTTGCTATCGGGTCCACGTCGGTATCATTGGGTATCACTGTATCTAGAATACTGTTTTTTGTAACGTTTCTTCGTATAGAGTCGGTCGCCGAAACTCTAAGTTCCCTTTGATGGGGAAGTCTGTCGTCGCTCTGTCGTTGCTCTGTCGTTGCTGGTGAACTTTGCTCGTGTGGAGGTGGGCACACGAGTCTTTTCGAACCCGAAAACCGGCCTGCCTTATCGGGATATCAATCTAAAGTCGCTCCTATTTCGCGGTCGCCAGGCCTCAAAAATCTCAAGTTTAGAAACCAGCGCTTACTCGCCGTTCTGAAATCGCATCACAGAAGAAAGTAAATAGACGGAAAAGCGTTTTCCAAGTCTATAAGTTCGCAGATCGGCAGGGTCGGATTACGTTGCGTGGACCTGGATGTGGAGGCGGAATTAAATTGACAAATAAATTGGATCGAATGAAAGTTGAGGTGTCTTCAATGTTCTCAGCGTTGCTCATCGCTAATCTTGGGCTTTGGCTTGGCAACTGCCATCACTCCTGAAACACCCCCCCACTGCCTACAGTACGCAACATCAGTCAACATTGAGTTGATGAACGCTCATAAAGATGACAATTGATCGGTCGCTCGGCTTCCTGTAAAACCCCGAATTTATGCTGCGCCATAGAGGGTGCCCCACGTCACGTCCGGTCGTGATCAGGGGCCAAAATTGGCTGCCTATCCCAAGGACGATTCAAATGCCATGAATGATTCGGATCCTCTGTAGAAGTAAGGAGTGGCTTTCGTCTGGACATATCAAGCCCATAGTACTATCGGATCCAACTACTCAGTAGACCCTTTATTTCTGTGAGGGTACATCTGAATATCAATGTCCACCCCAGCACTACTTCTACGGAGTACGCCATTTCTGAATTATTGTTGCCATATCTGAAGATCTAGTGTAGATTACTTCGTGGGGTGGGGGGAATGGACCTGCATGTGCATCCCCAAGTGGTGCACCCTTGAGATCATTGATCCTCGTTGCAGGTCAGACGACCTTCCCGAGCTGGCAAACCTCGCCCCTCAACCTCTCCAAACAATCCATCCATGACCTCCCTGCCTGCTGAATCTCCTAATCTAGCAAAGGAGTCGTTTGATTCAGCATGCACTTGATGCATTATCGACGACATAACATCTTTGATCTTCACACTTTGGATCGAATACACGTATATTATCTAACAGAATCAACTCCAGCTTTCCTTGGTCAATGGTATGGACGTCTTGTACTAGCTAAGAGTGATATATGCTAACGCCCTTCACCCAATTACGCAAAAGAAACGGAAAGAAGAAGAAAAAGAAGAAAAAAAGAAAAAAAAGAAAGGGCAAAAGGAAAAGGGATCAAAAACCAAGTCGCGCCCATGAACAGGCAACCCGAGACAAAAACACTCCATATACTACATGCTGGCCCCTGGTTGGCACAGTTCCAGATTTGCTAAGCATCTTCTCAGGCTGCAACGACGGATCAGGCAATGGCATGCATGAGCAAACAAACTCGAACAAATGGTGAACCCGGAAAAAGGAAAAGAGACAAGAGAAAAATGCCCGATAGTCGTTTGATAAAATCACAAGAGGCCCCTCTTAGAACCGTTCATGTTTAGCAGGCACACCCGTCGCGGTCGGGATCGATGTGGATGTTGATGGGGTCCTGGAAGTCTCCGCTAAACTCTTCCGATTCCTCCTGAGCGAGGGCGTTACGAGCGATGACTTCAAACGCCTGCTCGACATTGATGGCCTCCTTCGCGCTGGTCTCGAAGTAGGGGATACCACCCTTGGATTGGCAAAAGGTCATCGCGCGCTTCGTAGAGATTACTCGCTTGCTCTCTTCAACGTCAATCTTGTTTCCGAGGACGACCTAGACGGGAGTTAGCGTATCGGTAGTTAGGTCTTGTTATCGCGGATTGGGCATACGAATGGGAAGTTATCCGGATCCCTAGGTGAAGCTTGGATGAGGAACTCGTCCCTCCAGCTATCTAGGGCATCAAAGCTCTTCGAATTGTTGACATCGAAGACGAGGACGCAGCAGTCGGCACCTCGGTAAAACGCAACGCCTAGAGACTGGAATCGCTCCTGGCCCGCGGTATCCCAAAGCTGCATTGTGACTTGGCGATCATCAACAAGGACCTCTCGCGTCAGGAAATCGGCACCGATAGTCGCCTTGTAGCTCGCACTAAACTTCTTGTTGACCTGTAATTGGGGGAGAATCCCCCAGCCGTTAGACTGGATCATTTATCGAGCGCGAGGGGAGGAGACCCAGTTTGGAGGTCCACGAGAGTTGTCGTACATATTGGTTCATCAAACTCGTCTTCCCGACCCCGCTGTCTCCAAGAATAATAACCTGCCAGAGCGCAAACGCCTCATCAGCCTCATAATTCAACGCGCAGATATAGTTCGTGCGTGCATGCGAACCTTGAGCAAAACCTTCTTCCTCGTCGCCATGTTGGGCTTCTAACTCGTGTGACTGATTTTTCGACCGATGACGTTATGAGCGGAGCTCGTTGCGATTTATCGCTGCTACGAAGGCAAGTGTTTCAGACGGAATAACAACAGAGGTTCGGTTCGCAGGCAGATAGAAATACGAATCGTCGGCAGGAGTGAAAGAAGAGATATCTGTATTCGAAGTTCGAAATCCTCGGGTGGGAATATCGTCGCAAATCGTTGAGGATACTAGTAGAACGAGCTTCGGGACTTTGGAGTTTGTTTGGCAAGGTTAAGGTCGGAGGTTGGTTGGAGACTTGGAGGTGGTAGCCAGCGCCACGGCAGTCAAATAAAGCCCGCCGCCTAATGAAGAGGAATCAAATGACTACAGCGTAATAACCTAAGGACGGAATTGCCCGGAGGCTGCTGGGACATCCCAGGAAGTTAGCGTCATTGTACCTATCAGTGGGATTCCCACGTGATTTACAGTGGAGAATGACTTCAATTTGTTGAAAGATAATAACGAAACGGCCCAAGACGACGCCTGCTGCAGACAGTGATCGCGGGCCATGCAAGCTCCCATCAGCGCAATTTGTTGAATGCACACCGACATCCGGCCAGCATCAAATGCTCCAAACGCTGCCCAGCCCGAGGTAGCGGCGACTGCTGCTGGTCAACCGATCATGACCAGCAGCGCTTCGGCTCTAGTACCTCTCCATCCCGGCTTTTAGTCTCGAACATGTCCGCCGCCGACGAGGGGCTGCTCGCCAAGGTCCAGGGGCTCAGTGACCTGGAGCTCGCCTTTCTCGTGAGCCTAATGAGTCGGGAGCACTGCATCATCACTGCGCATCCCTCAGCTCTCGACGACCTCTTGGAAGAGCTTCAATTAGTTCGTAGCCGCCCATTCACCGCCGTTGCCATCCATTGTTATTCCATACCGCGTATCTCGAACATTCACTCATTCTACCCCTCGACAGATTGCTTCTAAGACCTTCGGCCTCAACACTGTCATTGTCGACTGCCAGCCCACCACCACTCTCGACGACTTCGTCTCTGCCCTCCTCCTACCAAACCACCCGCCCCCCTCACGAACCCCATCCCCCTTCCTCCCGCGCTCCGACCCATACTTCCACTCGCACTCGCACTCACACTCTCACTCTCACTCTCACTCCCATACCCGCGGCGCCGGCGCTTCGGGCCTCGCACCTCTCTCTCCGATAAACCCACCGCTCTCACCTGCATCCTACACGCCAGGAGAAACCCACCCCGCCGCCGCTGCCACCACAAACCCCTTCTCCATAGCCAAAGTCGTCCTCGCCCGAAACCTCGACCGCGCCCCGAAAGCCGTTCAGATCCAAGCCCTCGAGCTCCTCCGCACGAGACGAGTCTTTACCCGAACCGCCGTGCACTCGGCCCCCAAGACGTTCCTCTTCGTACCGGTGCTCGCCACCGGACGTGGTCGCAATGGCAGCCGGACGACCATTGGGCTAACCCCGCAGCTGAACGATCTATTCTTCATCTCACATTATCACGACCTAGAGGATGGTTTCGCCCATCTCGATGACGAATTCGATGTAGGCGATGGCACGGAGACGGCGTCTACAGAGAGCGTGGTAGTAGTGAAGAGAGGCGCCGGCGTGGATCCCAAGATCGACCCTCTTCTCTCAGAAGCGGTATGCTAAATAAATCCCCTGCAGGGTTCCCTTCTACAAATCCGCACAGCCCAAGCTAGGTTTTAACACGTTTTAACACGCATGGCTCTTTCATACAGGATATAAGCCGCCTCTCTGAACTAAGCCAAAACGTCAAAATCGACATCGACGTCCTCCGCTACCAAATGAACATCATCTCCTTCCTCCGCATGCACCGCGCCCTCTCCCGCGGCGCCTCCCCCACCGCCACGAAGCACTTCGACCGCCTCGTCCGCTGCCTCGCACCCCTCCACAAGGTCGACTACGTCACCCCCGCCCTCGTCGCCCTGGCCGCCCGCAAGATATACCTCCATCGCGTCGAGGTCGTCGAGCCGGCGCACGAGCGGAGCGTGCAGTGGGGGAGTAAGATTGAGGCTGTTGAGGCTCTGTTGGAAGGGGTTGGACCGGAGGATGTGATTGAGGATGTGTTGGGGATGGTGGCACCTCCGTTATGATACCCCGTGCTGTTCTTCTGTCTTTCGTTATGAAGTTTCCATTTCCTTTAAATTAAGAGTTATAATATGATACATGAAGCCTTAAAGTGGCCGTCATACAATCGAATCCTTTAAGCTTGTGCCCCCATTGCCCATTGCCTTTTGCCTTTTTTTCCCCTATCGGTCGTAATTTTTTTTTCTGGCCCTGGCGTATGTTCAATGGCAAACCGGGCTGATCTTCTTATGTCGTGTCATGATTTAAAACTGTGAGAAACCCTCTCCTTTGTTTCAATGTTATTTCAACCCCAATAAAATTCCTGAATTGTATAATATAGAAGCTTGGCCACTGGCTCATGCTTTCTAGCAACAGGGAAATCGCATTTAGTGAACCTCGGTGATCCTGCACTTCCATCCCGAACCGGGTTCAAGAAGAGGGAGACTAGACACAGTCCGTTAGCAAAAACAAGCCGCGAAACACGAAAAAATGGAGCTTCGGGGAAAGTAACATACCTAGCGCCGAGACACCAACCCAATTCATTGCCCTTAATCTTCTTGGCAATGCGGACCTCACGCTCAATAGGCATATCATAGCCGGTATGAAGGAGGGCCATCATAAAGTTAAGGTCGAGACAGTGCTCGGGCCTATCGCGGAGCTCGTCGAGAGCCTTGGGGACGGTGGAGAAGACATCCCAGCCCTCCTCACCCGAGCAGACGCTGTTGGTGAGGTCGTGCATCTCGCGGAGGGTGAAGGAGTCGGGCATGCCGAGGGGTTTCGTGCGGTCGTAGAAATAGGAGAAGATGTAGACATCCTCGCTCGAGAAGGTCTTGGAAAGGAGAGGCTGGTGGACGCCGTTGAAGGAGCAAGGGGCGAGCGTGCAAGAGGCCTCCTTGTTGAGAATCTGCTCGGCGAGGTTCCTGCACTGGGCGGGGGCGGGGTGCGAGGGGCCGGTCATGTTGACGGTTACGGCCTCTCCGAGAGGGTGGCCGTCGCCCATCTTGACGGTGATCTCACGGGTCATGCCGGGGGCAATGCAGGGGTGAACAACGGGCTTCTTCATCCAGTTGCTGTCCTCCTCCTGGGCCTCGTAAATACCGTGAACCAAGGCCTTGTGAACGGCTTCACGAGCAGCCATCAAGCCGTAGCCAAGGTGAGAGTGCTGGTACAAGGTGAACTGACGACCTCCGAAAGAGAGCTCGTACTTGTGGTCGCCCTCAGCAAGCTTCTCGGGCATGCCACCATGAGCAGTCTCCTTGAAAGTAGGCTCGAAGACAATCTGAGTGGAACCACCGCCAAGGTCGAAAACGGCGGCAGTGGGGCTCTTATCCGGACCGCCAATCTTACCAAGGAGGTAGTTGGTAGTGATCCAAGCGTAGACACCCTCGTCAGATCCATCCATGATGTCGACACCGTGGTCCTCCTTGGAGACAACGGGGAACGGGTACTTGGTCTCCAGATGGGTGCGAACCGTATCGAGAATCTTCTGCGCGCTCTCGGCACCAATCATGCGAAGACCAGCGGTCGCCTTTACGGCAACGGGGCTGCAGGCCTTGAGCTTATCGGGAACAGTGCGCATGGCAACCTCCATAAGGGCGTCAAGAGTGTGAGCAGCGGCCTCGGGGTCGTCCTTATACTTGCTGAGGCCGCCGACCTCTTTCTCGGTCATCTTGAACTCCTCGTGCTCGAGCTCGGGGGTAGGACCGCAGTTGTTGAACTTGTAGACGTGGATTCGGGATCCAGTGCTACCGGCGTCGATCATCAGGACATATTGGACGATGGGCTTATCCTTGGAGCTGGAGCGCGTGCATCGATCCGTTCCGTACGACGAGTCGGAGGGGACCTGGCCCTGGGAGTTTCCGGACCCGGAACCGGAGACGGCTAGATGGGCCCAGTTAGCGTTTTGTACACACTCTGGGTGGCAGATTACGCAGGGAAGAAAAAGGACAACAAGGGAACGGCGCTGTACGAACCACCATTGTAGAGATCGACGCCCTTGGGAGAAATCCAGTAGAAGCAAGCCAGCAGGACGAATACTATCGCCGCTGTCTTGATCCACCGGGCTTTCTGTGCTTGAGACATCCAGATGGCCTTTAAACTGGCAAATAATCCGTGGTTTCGAACGCCGTGTCCGTATCGGCCGGGCTTCTCGTGCGGGTCGTGAGCTACGTGCTTAGTAGGCAGCGAAACTGACGTACGCCGCATAACCTCTCTCGTTGAAAAGGGGCGAAATGCTCGATTCGCGGGAGTCGGGAAATGAAGTTTACGAGGATGATCGTCGTCGATGGGTGGAAGAAAAGATAGGCATCAGAAGATGTCTTGGTGTAATGAAGCGAGTGTCAGAAGGAAAAGAGAAAAAAGAAGATAACGAGGGCACGAAAGAGGTCGCAATTAAAACGAGTGGGAAACTGAAGAGATTTCAGTGTCTCGATTACAAGAATTGTATTGAGAGAAAAAGGTAAGGCACAAGGAAAGAATGCGCCAAAATCAAAAGTATGCGAATGGAGAGAAAGGGATGGGGATGAGGAAGAGGAAGAGGAAGAGGAGAGTGCAGGGGAGATACGAAGTCAGGAAAAATCCGATGTAAAAATCAAGGCAAAAAATAGGGGAAAGCAGCCAGATTGATGAAGTAATGATTTCAACGTTGTCCTCACGTAATTCCTTCGTACTGACTTCGCACTTCGCCCGGACACGTCCAACAATCTCGCCTTCGACGTGGATTGATTTTAATTGATCCAGGGGCGCCCCATAACTGCGTGCGGAACTAGTCTAGCACTACGTAAATCAGAACCTCTTCAGCCAATCTAAAAGCGGAATTTCCCACCTAAAATATACCCCCCAGTTCCGTGAAACCATGGTGGGCGCAGACAGAGTGGGAATCGTGGCGCGATCAGATCACAGCCGGTGGCAGGTGGCCTCTTCCCGCCACTCGGCAGCTTCACGCCCTCAAACTTAAGAGCGGACAGAGAAAGACACGAGATTCGCAATTCATCCGTTTATACACAGGTATCGGCGCCGTCAACTACCTGATTCTCCTATAAGCTCTATGGACCCGCCTGGAATCGGGTAAAAATCCTGGTTTGACTTCTAGGGCAGATGCTGACCCGTGACGGCTAGCCCCAATCTTCTCTTGGCTGTCTTGCAGCAAAGAGACTCGCATAGCAAAGTTCCAATCACGATGAATCAGCTTCGCCATGCAAGTCCTTTGAAATGAAACTCCCGGACTTGGACTTCGCTTTGACCTCCCCTCCTCCTTGTTTGGACGGGAACAACCAGTTTGGTTCCTTCTTGGTCGTCTTCTTGCCACCCTTCTTCGTCGGAAAAGAGCGGTTTGGCTTTGCCTCGCCCGCTGACGGGCCACCTTGAAGTCTCTTTTCTCGTAGACGTTTCGTATGTTCCCATAAATCGGCTTGTTCCCATTCCGGCACCCAGCGCTTTACAATCACGTAGTCCGCGTCCTAACGAAACCGTCAACATATTAGTGAAAAATGGAAAGGCACGATTAGGCCTTATAAAACCACAACCTCCAGGAGAACATGAGAACATACCTCTTCGTCAATAGTATGTTCTATATCAAAAGTTCTTAGTGTTTCCAAAGAAACATGTCTTCGGGCCATCCGCGTATGTGTAGGTCTCTCCTCCATTGCATCGTCAGTGGCTTGTTGCTTGTTGGGGCCGGATTTACCAAGACTATCCGATAACGAAAGCCTGTATTTTCTCTCCTCTTCTGCCAGAGAAGTATCAGTAAAGTCCCAAAAACGATCGAGTACTTCGTCGGTTGCCTTGCGTCTCGGTTTTTGTTCTTCCGGCCCATGGTCAAGGGTCCTAGCCTTAGTGAAGTCTTCCTTCGACCCAGGAGAGTGGGGCCACAATGTCTGTCCAGCCCGCTGATGCGATCCCTGGTCCCGGCCGGGAGACTTGGTTGTGGTATGGCCGCTGTTCTGGGGGGCGGTCGCGACACCGCCCGAACGTATCCGGTCGTAACGATCATATGAGGTCGGCCCAAGGGCGCGTCCTAGGCGTGCAAGTAACATAGCGGCTTTGTCCGGTGGTGCAGATGACATTGACTCCATCGACGTCTGCCGGCTGTCGGTTAGGACGGGTTTAGCAGCGGAAGGGGCCGGCGGTCCCCACCTGCTAAAACGCTGAGCGGACCGGCGCCCGCCCCCACTTATGTTTTGCTGGTTTCCGGATAAGTTGGGTTTCTTCACGTATTGGTGCTGCTGCGAACGATGAAGGTGATGTGTCTGGACGTAGCCCATATTGGCAAGGTCTCCAGATGCTTGTACGGTGCTGGAGTTTCCCGGCCCAGAATTAGTTAGGCTGCTGGAATCTACCCAACCGATATTCGGCTCTCGTTTCATCAGCTCTATGTCCCCGAAACGACCCGTGTACGATGCCGACATCACATCGGAGGACGAGGCTTGTGGTAGAAGATCCTCTCGTTTCATCAGCCCTATGTCCCCGAAACGACCCGTGTACGATGCCGACGCCACATCGGAGGACGAGGCTTGTGGTAGAAGATCCTCTCGTTTCATCAGCCCTATGTCCCCGAAACGACCCGTGTGCGATGCCGATGCCACATCGGAGAACGAGGCTTGTGGTAGAAGATCCTCAGCTTGCTTCCTGCGACTCTTCTTCTTCTTCTTTTTCTCTCCCCTGAACATGCTTCCCCGCTCGTCCGCTACCGGCTCCCTGTCGAGCACAGGCGACGATTTAGATGTTGTGCCAGGGCCAAGTTCATCATTGGAACCTGGAGGCGAGTCACGGCGTCGGTACTCAGCGTCTTCGATGACAATATTATCATCAAATCCGGCAGCTTTTAAGCCCGCTCTTAGCGTTGCAGCGAACTCGAAATCGTCACCATAAGAAAGGTCACCATAAGACCCCGGGATCTGGGGAGTAAGAACGTCATACATAATTAGACATAAGTTTTACAACGGATGAATCTAAAGGGGGAGGCACAATTGGTTCACTTACATCTTTCGGGGGCCAAGTGACCCATCTCTGCTTCGCCCGTCTAAACATCATTTGCAGTGTTGCTTTCTCGGGCTTCCTGCCGAAGCGTTCGGCAAAATCAACCGCCATGCTATCCCACATTGCTGTACCCTTCTTGTCTTTGTGTTTCATGCTTAACTCCAGTAAATACCACTCTTCTTCAGGGGCAGTGTCCCCGAGGTTAATGACGCCGCCTAGTTCTCTCGGCGCTTCGAATGCGGAGTTGGGGCCACGGGCAGCAACAGATTCAGTTACGGGGTCAGGGAAGGACGGCTGATGGTCACTCTCGGCGGCCGCGCTACCTTCTCCGCCCTCGTGTGGTTGATGCTGGGCTTCTGACTCAACATCAATACCACTTAGATTGCTATTGTGTTCATCGCCCGTCTCGTTTTCGCGCGGTGTCAAGGACGGGAGAGCGAAAAGAGCTAGCTGTTCTTGATGGCGACCGACATGACGCTGGTATTGTTTAAAGGAAGACAGTGGCTCCTCCTCACATAGAGGACAGGCAATGCCTTGGTCCGAGGATCTAGGCCTCGCAGCGAGCCTTATCAGTGCGTTCAATTGGTCTCCCGATGCCGATTCCGGGTGAAATTCTGTCAAGTGGTCTCTGCATTTCGAGGCGGAAAGGAACCTCTTCCCACAGCCGTATGGGCAATAATACGTCTTCCAATGGTTCTGAAGCTCGTGAGCCGTCCACTCATGCCTCCGAGAGAACTCTTTTCCGGCTTCTTCGCATTCAGATGACAGGCAAACGTAAGGTCGCAGGTCTCCAAAAACATGCCGTCTATGACCTTTTGTTTAGCCCCGTTTCTGGCGCTCGAATAGGGCGGCCAACTCACCTCCAGGAGATAGTATTTGTCGCTGCAATCATCATAAAACAAAAAGGGCACTCAAACGGCCCTTTGTCGGCTTCTCTGGGGAGCGGTGGAACTTTAAGTTTCGCATCATCCGCATTCGACGATGCGAACGACGTCTGGGACACCCCAGAGTCTGAGAGGGCGTCCTCATCCATAGCCGAAAGTGTTGGGTTGAAGGAGGTTGTTTTCATCCGGTCCGGTATTGAAGAAGCAATGGTGCTCTCGGCATCCCTTTGGGTTTGGTTTTCCGCCTCCAACCCAGCAACTAGTTTGTTATGGTGGCTTTCCCGATATTTGAAATATTGTCGCCGCCTAGAAATCGCCTTTCCAAGTCTCTCCGCCAGGGAGTCGTCAACTTCACGGAACTTGTCTCGAACATACTGAATGTCGAAAGCTTCAAAATGGGAAGTGTCTACTGGGACCGATGCCTTGAAGCGATCATGGGGAGCGGGGTTTCTGATGGCTACGCTAAGGCGTAGGAGGCAGTTGATAACGTCGGCGACATCAGTGGCGATCTGGCCCAGTTCCGTTTCGGGGAAATCGTTGTCTCTACGCTCTCGCTTAGAGTCGCCGTCATCAAATACGAATTCACCGTTGTCGTCGTCATCATCCTCTAGCCTGTCCCACGGAATCTTGTCACCAGAGACTATAGCGACAGCATCTTCAAGCAACGCCGTGAGGTCGTCGAAGAGCGATACGACCTGCTCCTGTAGATGCGACGCATCTCGAAGACGGTACTGCAAAGAGCTTCTGCCGGATTTGTGCGCACCAATGTTTCCGGCCCATACCCTGCATCGGACGTGCTCTTCCTCGAAAGCCGCCAGGGCTGAACGCTCAGAGACGCCGAAAGTTTGCGGTTCGAGCGCAATAAGTCTTTCGAATAGGCGGAGGCAGGTCGTAACCAATATTGAAATGCTACTATCGCCCATACTCGTTCGACATCTCAGATTTCAGTTTCCCGTCGTTTCTGTGCCGGTAGTTGTCTCATGGGCAATGAGGACGGCAGAAGAGGCCGCGGAGTCAATGAGGAGCAAGTGGAAGTAGCAGCCAATCTACAGTCACACCTCGCAGCCTGATCCTCCTCCGTAAGCCCATCCAATCCCGTATCATGCGACAATTCCAACCAAGTTCTTCCCGCTTATACCCCGCACCGCCTCGTAAGTAGGCTCAGTCGCATCCAACTTCTCTCACCCAGTTTTCATTTCCGAATTAAATCCCACGGTTTTGCCATCGTCACCATGTCGGGGTTTGAGATTGCAGGGGTCGTGCTTGGGAGCATTCCCCTAGTGATCTCGCTCCTCGAGCATTATCAAGGCGGGCTGCGAACGATCCAAAGGTTGCGAAAGTACGACAGGGAATTGCAGAGTCTCATCCGAAACCTCAGGACGGAGCAAGCGAAGCTCCAGAATGTTTGCGAGAAGCTCCTTGAGGGGCTCGTCCCGCTGTCTCGCATTGATGAGATGGTTGAGAACCCTTTCGGAGATTTGTGGTCGGATGAAGAGATACAAAAGAAGATACGGGCTAGGTTATGGCGGTCCTGGGGAGTTTTTGAGCAGACCGCGATAGACATGAACGCTGCTATCGAGGAGATGATGGAGAGACTCGGAGGGAAAGACAAGGTAGGCTAAGTTGTACACACTTTGTTGCATCTATTGGCCAAGCGACTCTTACCAAGACGACGGTATTGTTTTAGGCATCATGGCTGGACGGCACTTCGATCTCAAGAGAGCTAAAACGAATGAACTTTACGCTAAGTCGGAGCGCTTATGCCGATATAATGTCGACTATCAAAGACGGTATCTCGAGCCTCGAGTCTCTCACAACCACAAACATCGAACTTGAGCCGCCACGTCGCCTAAGATCTCGTGTGAAACTGCTGTCTGTGCTGCGTGGCGTCTCGTCGAGCATCTATCGAGCTATCAGGTCAAGTTTAACCTGCACATGCAAGCACGACATCTCCCTGCGCCTTTCGAGCTCGCATGGCGAAATCACACCAGCGGATGACTTGGAACGAGTGATTCAGAGCATAAAGTTTCATCTCGCTCTTTCTCAGTCATTCGGCGGCGAGGATCCCGAGGCCGATTCGGTGAAACCCCAAAGTTGGGAGGAAGTCCTCATCCAAGCAAACCCGATTCCGAAAATCTCACATGTCCACTCTCACGCCGTTTCTGCCTGCATAGCCAAACCCACCGGACGCAAGAGGATGACCGTCTCTTTCGCCACTCGATCGTCTTCATCTTGTACCACTTTAGTGGAGACACCGACCACTACCTCTCTAGCCACTTCCTTGTCCACTTCGTTGTCTGGACTTACGCTGCAGGCAAAAAGCAGGTCCTTCTCTGGCTCCGATTCATGCCTGAAACTATGCGAGGAGCTGAAGAGGTTTCTTGCTCACGGCAAGTCATTAGACATCTTTGGGACGATCATTGATCGGCCATCTTTAAATCCACGGAGCTACAACATCTTTCTCCCGTCAATCCTCTCTTTCGAGAACCCAAGCCCCTTGCAAATGGTGTCCCTGCGCGACGTTCTAGAAGGTCAAGGAGATCTCCAACCGCCCACATATAAAGAGCGTCTTCACCTGGCCTCTGCAATAGCCTTGAGCGTGCTTCAACTCCACAATAGCCCATGGATGCCACCCGCCTTAGGCAGCCGCAACGTTTTCTTCCTAAAGAGGGGAGACTCTGTCTATTATGACCATGCCTTCGTTATGGCAGACAGCCCTCCCTCCCAAGCTTGGGCAAAGCCCTCCTGTATAATCCGTAGCCCAGCACTGCTTGCGCTCGGTATATTGCTTATCGAACTTATTCGCGGCCAGACCATAGATTCCCTCCGAACCCCGAAAGAGATGCTCGACCCTGAATCCAGTGTTCTTGCCGACTACATGACAGCGGAACGGTTGGTCCACGACATTTACCAGTCGAGCTCGAATTATGCAAGCGCTGTACGTCGCTGCATAAATCAACAGTTTAAGACACCGGATCTCAACTTGGAGGATGATGATTTTTGCCAAGAAGTGTATGCTGGAGTTGTGGCTCTGCTGGAAGAGGATTTGAGTTATACGAGATAGTGCGGGCCTGTCTATCACCTCGTCAGCCATATCACCTTGCATTTCATTTCACAACGGGTTGCGTCTCCCTTTCCTGTAATGAACGAGGCTGGTCCTGTATAATTTAGCATAACAGTCTAGAGGCATGAGTATATGATAATTATGAGAGAAAAACACAAACCCCACCGACTCATTTCGAACCAACGATCTCTACAACCTTCCACCCTCACCTCACCTCCACCCCAAGGATCTCCGGCCTCGAACTATCACAACCTCAACAGAGCCGCCTGACAAGAGATTCCCTCGCGGAAAGGAAGAAAAGAAAAATATCTAGCATAATATAGATAAATCTAGCCGAAAAAAAAGGGGGGGGAGATCCATTCCCACTCCTCCCTCCCCAGTTCCCAAAATTTCCTCCACGTCTCATGGTTTGACCAGATCGGGTTCCACGCCGGGGGCTTGCGGAAGTAGTTTACAAGCAGTGCGTCACCGCTCGACCGCTCGAGCTTCCATGAGAGGTTGAGAATCCTGACCCAAGATTTCATATATAACACATAGACACAAACAAGCAAAACTGCCACTCTCAAAACTGGGAAGGGGCGTTCCAAACGTATTTCAACAGCCTTGGGTTTATGACAAGGGCTACAAACATTGAATAGAATTTTGATTCCGCGTTTTCTTTTTATTGTGTAAATTGATTCAAATTGGGTGCAGTGGCGGATGGTGGACGAGAACCTTCTAGTTTCATTTTTTTGCGCAAGCCGTTGCTGCCTTTGGAATGACGAACGAGGTCACGTTGAGTGTAGAATACAGAAATGGCGGACGATTACGCCCGGTTTGAAAACCTCAAACTCCCTCATCATCCTCTCGCAAACATCACCAACCTTCATCTCATAATCGGAACCCGCACGTCTTTTACTGTCTCCCTCGCATCGTAAATCCGCCAGCATTTAAATTATCAGATCCCTCTGGATTGTACTACTTCCATCCCCGACGGCGCTTTTATCTCCTGTTGTTAAGACGCCACACCCTCACTCATGGCCATGGAGGTCCATCTCCTTGTCTATGACCTGTCCCAAGGTCTTGCGCGCAACATGTCCATGTCTCTCATTGGGATTCAACTCGATGCTATATACCACACATCCATACAATTGAACGGCCGCGAATACGTCTACGATGGCGGAATTGTGTCCATTATCCCGGGTTCTTCACACCTTGGCCAGCCGCTCGAGAGACTACTTTTAGGGACGACTGAACTCCCGATGGATGTTGTGGAGGAATATCTCGATTCGCTCAGGTCGATATTTACTGTTGAGGTAGTTTACCATCACTTCCGGCCTTCTTACTGTTTTTGCTATATTTCTAGTAGTTTGCTCTAACTCAGAAGCTAGGCATATGACCTATTCAAGCATAACTGCAACAACTTTTCTGATTCGTTTGCAACATTTCTCATCGGGAAAGGCATCCCCGACCACATCCTTCACATGCCCCAGGCAGTATTGGACTCTCCTATCGGCAGGATGCTCCTCCCGCAACTTACTCAAAATGTGAATGTGACCAGACAGACTGGGTCCATTCTCGGCATCGGGGAGAGCTCACGAGGCCCGGCTCCCATCGCACATGGCAAGCAAGGGGGAACCGTAAGGGTCGTCAATAATGTTCGGGAGCTAGATGATATATTAGAGCAGGCCAAGTCCTCATGTGCTGTCATCTTCTTCACATCAGCGACCTGCCCACCCTGCAAGATGATGTATCCAGTTTACGACCAGCTCGCAGCCGAGGTTGGTGATAAGGGATATCTGATCAAGGTTGACGTAGGCCAGGCCTTCGACGTTGGATATCGTTACTCGATACGGGCGACTCCTACTTTCATTACGTTTCTGAAAGGAGAGCAGGAAAATAGCTGGAGCGGGGCGAATCCCGCCGAGTTACGAGGCAACATCGAACTCCTTGTCCAGATGGCGTGGCCCGTACATCCACACAGGTCACTTAACCTGCCGAGTTTCTCAGGATCATCCCAAAAACCCGTCATCTACTCTAAGGTGCCGCCGATACCCAAACTACTGGCCAAGATGGGACCTACATCACAAAACCCCGCTGTTACTGATCTCACCCGGTTCATCGAATCCCGCCAAAAAGATGGTCCAGCCTCCGCTATTTTACCCGAGATGAGCACAGTCGCTGCCTTTATCCAAGAATCCACGGATTCGCTACCAATAGGAGCACTCTTTTCCGTCGTGGATCTATTCAGATGCGCTCTCGCCGATCCCAGGATCAGCGGATTCTTCGCCGAGGAAAAGGACCACAAGACAGTCACCAGCATCCTCACCAAAGTCAACCAAGCAGCCGAGTGCCCCTATGCCCTAAGGCTCGTCACGTTGCAGATGGCTTGCAATCTCTTCTCGTCACATCTCTACGCCGACGAGATCCTAGGTAAAGACGACCAAAGGGAGCAGATTATCCAGCTCATATCGTCCAGCTTTCTCGACGACGTGCATAGCAATACCCGTGTATCAGCCGCATCCCTCTTTTTCAACGTAACTCTCGCCCATAAGCAGGTGAGCCACGGAGGTCACGGGAAGCCCTTGCCTGAGGATGACCAGGTGGAACTGGCTGCTTCGGTGCTCGAAGCCATTGGCCAAGAGGAGACTTCTCCTGAGGCGCTTCACGGGATGCTCGCGGCACTGGGCCATCTTGCGTATGAGGCTCCTGTGGATGGAGAGCTTGCAGATCTGTTGTTGGCGTTGGATGCGGAGTCTACGGTTACTGGGAAGAGGAAGGCCTTCCCTGACCAGAAGCTCATTATCGAGGTCGGGTCAGAGCTATTGGGGAGAGGGTTTAAGAGGCCGTGAACCGGACCCCGTAATACCTGCAGGGTGAGATATATATACATGGTACTATGCGTTGGAATGACCTGCTAGTGCATGAGCACAAGAGAAGTTCTTGATGATAATACAATGTGTGATGAAGAAAATGATTCGATGAAGAGTTGCCTACGGAATACTCCTTCCGTGAATCGAGAGCACATTCCAGTAGCCAACCGGCACCAGCCGAGAATGCCGACCTCCTTGTGGGAACAAACGTTGTTGACCAGGAAAGGAATTTCCTGGTGGAACTAGGAAAAAACGGTGCCCTACTTGGTGTGAGGTTCGGCAGCTCAGGCCAGCTGGCGGCAGCCAGCCGGGTCACCAACACTCCTTGAAAAGTCCTGATTAGTCATCATCAAACCCAATTTTTTTTCCAATGCATAAAAGCACACACGCCTGCGCGAACCAGCGAAGCTTTTTCCTCTTTTTCTTTTCCTTCTGTATCAAAAAGCATTTCACTGAGCTGCCACGACCGACATTTCGAATCTACAGTGTCGAGTTGCCTTCCTCCCTCGAGGAGGATCGCTCAGGAGAGGAAGCCTACCCTTGATAGGAAGTCTCTTTCCGTTGCTATTCCGTCGGTTGAAGAGATGCCAAAAGATAGGGCACATGCTATTTGTGACAACTTTGTGTGTGCTATTTTGTTCGTCTTCGAGGACGAGGTGTCCTGGGCTCGTACGACAAGGCCTGGTTCCGTAATTGTAGAGCTTAATCGCTGAATGAGGGCCTCGATCTGGAGAAAGGAGATCGCTTGGCCGAGGCTCAATGTTGGATTGGATCCAGCAGGTTGTTGTTTCGACTTGCCGTGCCATGTAATCTTGGTGAGAGGCAGAGGCGCTTTGATGAGAGAGTTGGGCTCTAGAAATGCCTTGGTAGACTCCTTCATCCAAGAGGGCAGCTGTTACCTTCGTTGAGCTTTTGTCAGTTCGGATGTGCTCACCTTTCGTGTGTCTGAATTCGTTTCTTACGAACGAGACCATTGAAGTCTTTTCCTATCTATTCCACTGTGGCTCCTCGACGAATCGATGCCAAGAGCGTGCCCACACGTCGGCTCCGAGATAGCGGGTTACTACGCCTTGTTTCGCATCACCTTAGAAGCCAGAGGCGACTCACATGGCGCGATTTTTCTGACCGTATTTATTGTGAACCTCTCCTCTCCACCTACAATATTTTAGCCAGCTTTTCGTGAGTTGAAGAAAATATATCTCCTCATAATATCAATCCCCACGCAAGAAGACACTTTCTGCTTGGGGGCAACGATAAGAGTGGACATTTTCAGATCCCTTCGTACAACCCCACCATAACGAGGGGACCTGAAATCTCAAGCCTCCAAAAAAAAAGAGGGGGAAAAAAGAAGAAGAAAAGGGACCTTTTTTTTTTTTTTTTTTTTCTCCCTTCTTTCTTTAGAGAAAAGAAAACCATGCCCGCCATCCCCATCACGATCATAACGGGCTTTCTCGGCGCCGGAAAAACCACTCTAATCCTCAACCTCATCCCACAACTCAAGGAACAAAGCCCGGACTACAAACTCGCGCTCCTCAAAAACGAATTCGGCGACCTAGCCGTAGACTCGCAGCTCGCCTCATCCAACGCCATCTCGGGCGTGCGCGAGCTCCTCAACGGCTGCATCTGCTGCAACCTCGTGGGGCAGCTCAGCGAGGCGTTGGAACAGCTCCGCGAGACTGTCAAGCCCGACCGCATCATCGTGGAGACGTCCGGGTCGGCGTTCCCGGCGACGCTGGCGTTGGAGGTAAATAGGTTGGCGAGGGAATCGGGACACTACGCGCTCGACGGGGTGATCAGCGTGATTGACGTGGAGAACTGGGAGGGGTACGAGGATACGAGCTACACGGCGAGGATTCAGGCGAGGTATACGGATTTGGTGGTGTTTAATAAGTGGGAGCTGTGCTCGGAGAGGAGGTTTGATGTCTGTTTGGATCGGTTGGGGGATTTGGAGGTGGATGTTGCGTGGGTTAAGAGTAAGAAGGGATGGGTCTCGTCGGATTTGATATTCGGCGTGGACGGCGCACTTGCGAAGGACCTTACTGAGCACCATGATGACCATGGTCACGGTCATGACCACAAGCACAATCACCAGACTGAAGTGGAAGTTCTGTCCATTGAGGTCAAGAGCGCCAAGGAGGACTCGTCAATAGACACGGCGAAGCTCATGTCGCTGCTGAAGACGGCTCCGAAGGACGAGGTGTACAGGATAAAATCGGTGCTCACGCTCTCGAGCGAGCCTGAGAACTCGGACGAGGACCAGAAGATGCCTACGCCGCCGCACCCTCGGGGGAGATACATTCTCAATTGGGCGTTTGGTCGATGGACGTTTACGCCGGTGGCCGAGGAGGTGGGGGAGCACGAGTCAAGTGATAAGACTACGCTGAGGATGACTATGATTCTTGCTCGGTATGAGAGCACCAAGTGGAAGAAGAAGCTTGAGGCGGGTGGGTTCTTAGATGCTGTGGGAGATGAGGAGGCCCAGCTGGAGGTTACGAAAGTGGTGTAAATTCTGAGAAGCACAGAGAACAAGAGAAGGAAGGGGAGGCGCGGAAAAAGAAATGATAACAGATCTAAAGCTTCTGGCCCTTGCCACACTGAAACTGCCCATCCGTCCTCTCTTAAGACTGTGAAGACCTTCATATTGAAACAGAACTCGTGGGATGGTCCTTCATGAGCCTTTCCTAACTCTGAAGTGGGCTTCCAACGGGCTCGAATCCCTGAAATACTCCTACGGGCCATTGTGCTTTGCTGCCATGGCCCTTCTCGACAGGCAATGGGAGGTAACGGGTAAAGCGCCCAGATTAGAATATCAGCTCAGTCAACATGGGAACCTTTGAAATGAAGGATAAGTTTAATAGGTTTCTTTCCATGATCTCCCCACGACTCGAGACGCTCAAATATGGCCGATGATAGCCTGCATGAAAATGCGGCTGTGCTTCACCTGGTCCTGTGTGTTCTGGATGTCGCGCAGGTCCATATCTGTGATAACCGCGAAAACGACGCCATATCGTAGTATCCTCACCCAAGAAAGACGCGGGGGCGTTGAAAAGATGGCGTCAGATCAGTTCAGCGAGCTACGAGTGTTATCCAGATTCGATGGTTGGAAACGTCAAACCACTCGGCGACAAGTTGCCGTGATCTAGAGACCCGACCGCCAGCCTGTGAGATGTGTCGTTTGGGCCGTCAACTCGAGATAGGATCGAGGACTGGAGTCAAGAGCTCTCGGTCATCTTCCGTTGTTGATAGAGATAGAATTGGAGCCGGATTGGGTCAAATCCGTGGATTTTGCTCCCACAACCACTCGCCCAGAAAGGTTGATGTCTTGAGGATGGGAGCCTGGATTGCCGTGTTAGCCGGGGGGTTACAGTGGCTTGGTTGGGTGTACAGGAAGCCAAGACTCGAGACGCCCCCAATGGAGGGCATCTTTTTCCAAGCTGAAAAAGGTGGAAAGAGTCTGGACTCTTGAGCCTAGGAAAATCGTTTAATATCTCTTTGAGAAGCTCTTTCCCACCAAGACGTCAATGAAGCTATCATGACGACACCACGCCCCCTGTCGAAACATCAACCATTGCATTTCTCTCGCCCACAGAAATCACATAGATAAATCACTTGTTACCCCAATTGATTCTCTAAATTGATGCATATCATATTAGCGTGGGATGTTTCAATGTAGTCCGAAGCGTGGAGGTACAAGCAAGTATCCGACACCCAGTCCATTATCGACCAGGTTTTTTTTTTTTTTTTTTTCCTGGCGCTTCTTGAAACAATCCCAATGCAAGAGGATATCATCAGATCGGATTTCGGAATCCAATGGGCGACAAAAGCCTCAGGCCAAACGAACAAACTTCTGTCGGGAGTCCGGCAGGCAGACATTTCACGTATTCCACACTCCACCTTTGCGCCTTTGGGGCGTTGAAACTGCCAATCCGAAGAAGCCAAGCTGACCAAGAACGCAAACTAAAAACGAGGTAAACGAATTTGTGATCAAAGAAAAAGGGGCCATGTCTTGTAATGCTACATCATACGTATGACATGGCGATACTTAAATTCGTTGATGGAGGGTGGCGATGATCCTTCCTTCTCTTCCCTCCTCCCTCTTCCGGCTCGGGAAGTGGGCGCATCAGTCTTTTGATCCAACACACCAACCGAACCGGACTTCATCCAAACATCAGTTCAATGATTGGAACATGAAATTGGGGGGTGTGGACATCGAATGCGTCAGTACTTGTGTACCTAGAGTGCTAGAGCAAGTGCCTAACTCTAGCGTCGGCACCTTAACTCCGACTGCCCGAACGCGAGCCGGGTTTCCTGTTTCTTCCACAGGCAGTCAATTTTATCTCGCCAAAGTCCAGTGCCCGGCACGCGTTAAGAACTAAAAAAATAAAAATAAAAATAAAAATAAAATAAAAAAAATATCGGGGATTGTTTTCAATAGTTTAGTTCATTGATGCTATGATACAATCGTATATCAATTTATCATCATCGCCATACTTATGCGTACTCCTTACACTTCACTTCTCACCTCTCCTCGGTCCTCCTCCACTCATTTTCAGTTCCCCCAGACAATTTCGTTCCCTTCCCCGAGGCGGTCTTCATCCAGCGCCACCCGTTTCCTTTTACGGCTTCTAGCTTCCGGTTTACTTCGCATACGCATACTTGGGTCTCTATAAGTCTTTCTCCTTCCACTTCTAGCCCCATCGGAATGCCAGGTTTTTCGTAGCAACCCAGCGGAAATAAGGCCCAGTCAAAAAAACCCCGGACTTCAATTACAAATCAAGAAATCAATTGATCAATCCCTTCGTTTCCATTGTCAATTATCAAAGTCTGGGTTGCCGTTGGTCCCCACCATCCGCTGCCGTTGCCGTCACCGATAAAACGGACCTTGTGTCCTGGTACACTCACTTCGTACCTCAGTACTTCCCCATTGTCTACTTCTCATGAATACGTACCCACCTTGAGAGAGGAGGGATAGACTCAACCAAGTACGAAGTACGGAGTAGAAGAACCAAAAGTCGTGCAATATTATTGTTATTCTCCCGTGGCTGTCGTTGAGGGTTTACATCTTCACACCTCCCACCAACAACCTTCTTCCCCCCCAATCCTGTCCCATTCGTTCTCGGAGCTCGACTCGCCGGCCCCGGAACCGCGCTCGCACGCCAAAGAATGGTAGATCAGCCCAGTGATGCCAAGGCCCCGGATCCACATGTCCAATCCACCTCAAACTCAGACCGGGACCCCGATGAGGATCGCATTTCCGTCGAGAAGGAGGAGATCAAGGCCGGGGCCGAAGTGCGCCGTCCCGAGTTGAATCTCATCCAGAGCCATGCCACTGATGCCTCGGCCACCACTCAGGCCACCACCGTGCCTAGCCACACCGACCCAAAGAAAAAGAAGTGGTACAGGACAAATCCTCTGAGATGGGGAGAGTCTCCACCGCTTCCGACTGAGCGGCTGCCGTGTCCGGAGCACAAAGCCGGCTTCTTTAGCTTGCTAACCTTTCAATGGATGACGCCTCTGATGACAGTAAGTAAATGAATCAAACTGACATGTATTGCAAGGGGACAACCGCATTTATATCTCCTTCGCAAACACCTTTACTACTCCCGCAGCCTTTTCCCTTTCCTCATTCATGCGAGGCAGCTGACGCTCTCCTCCAGGTTGGCTATAGGCGGCCGCTTCAGGAAAATGATCTGTGGTCCGTCAATCCAAACCGCGCCGCGGAGCCCATGACTGACAAACTCCGCGCCGCCTTCAAGCGCAGAGTTGCCAAGGGCGAAAAGTATCCCCTTCTCTGGGCCATTCAAGAAACCTTCCGTTTTGAATTCTGGCTAGGTGGCCTCGTCCAGCTCATCTCTACCATCCTTCAAGTCATGTCACCCTTCACCCTCCGTTTCCTCATCCAGTTCGCCACCGACGCCTATATCGCGAACATCCAAAACCTTCCCGCGCCCCCCATTGGACGGGGCATTGGCCTCGTCCTCGGAGTCACGGCCATGCAGATTCTCCAGAGCTTGTGTACGAATCATTTCATCTACCGTGGCATGATGATCGGTGGTGAAGCGAGAGCGGTCCTAATTGGTCTCATCTTTGAAAAATCCATGGTTTTGTCTGGACGCGCGAGAGCCGGAGGCGCCAAGGAGCAGGACGCCGGTGCTCAGGAAGCCGAAGAAGATTCGGAAAAGAAGGACCAGAAAAAGCCGAGTGACGACGAGAAGAAGAAGAAAGGCAAGAAAGGAGCTGGCAATACACCCGGTATAGCTGGAGACGGTGCCGGTTGGGGAAACGGTCGTGTCGTCAACTTGATGAGCGTTGATACCTATCGTATTGACCAGGCTTCTGCCCTCCTCCACATTGCATGGACCGCCCCCATCGGATGCATCATCACCCTTGTCGTGCTCATTGTCAACTTGACATACAGTGCTCTCGCTGGCTTCGCGCTTCTTGTCGTCGGCGTACCTGCCCTGACTCGTGCCATCCGCAGTCTCTTCGTTCGCCGTAAAAGGATCAACAAGATCACCGACCAGCGAGTTAGTTTGACCCAGGAAATTCTGCAGTCCGTCCGCTTCGTCAAGTACTTTGGCTGGGAGAGCTCCTTCTTAAAGCGTCTCGAGGACATCCGAAGCCGTGAGATTCACGGCATTCAAGTCCTCTTGGCTATCCGTAACGGCATCAACGCCATCAGCATGTCTCTTCCCGTCTTTGCCTCCATGCTTTCCTTCATTACGTACTCTCTCACCGACAACAGCATGAAGCCTGCCCAGGTCTTCTCCTCTCTCGCTCTCTTCAATGGCCTGCGTATTCCGCTCAACATGCTTCCCCTCGTCCTCGGCCAGGCCGTCGATGCGTGGTCGTCCATCAAGCGTATTCAGGAATTCCTCCTCGCCGAGGAAATGGAAGACACGGTCATTCACAAACCCGATGCTGAGGACGCTGTAGAGGTTCGCGATGCGTCGTTTACTTGGGAACGGACTCCTACCCAGGAGACCGAAGTCAAGAAGGCGGCGGGAGACAAGGGCCGGAGACCTGCTTCGTCGGGGCACGAGTCCGACGGAACTTCGACCACACTCGCGGAGAGAGAGCCGTTTAAGTTACACAATCTCGATTTTTCCATCAAGCGGAATGAGCTAGTCGCCGTCATTGGAACTGTGGGGAGTGGAAAGAGCTCGTTGTTGGCTGCTCTCGCGGGAGACATGAGAAAAACAAGTGGAGAGGTTATCCTTGGTGCCGATAGAGCCTTTTGTCCTCAGTATGCCTGGATCCAAAATGCGACTGTTCGGAACAACATCCTGTTTGGCAAGGATATGGATAAGGACTGGTATAAGGAGGTTATCCGAGCGTGAGCTTTTTTTTTTCTTTTTTTTCCCCCTCCACCCCTTCCATCTCATCGTGAGGTACTCGCTGCTAACATTATTTTCATGCAGTTGTGCTCTTCAGCAGGATCTGGACATGCTTCCCAATGGAGACATGACTGAAATTGGTGAACGAGGCATCACCATCTCCGGTGGACAGAAGCAGCGCCTCAACATTGCTCGAGCCATTTACTTCGACGCCGACATTGTCATCATGGATGACCCGCTCAGTGCCGTCGATGCCCACGTTGGCCGCCACATCTTTGATAACGCTATCCTGGGCCTGCTTAAGGACAAGTGCAGGATCTTGGCGACTCATCAGCTCTGGGTCCTCAACAGGTGTGATCGAATCATCTGGATGGAAGCCGGTAGGATCCAGGCCGTTGACACATTTGACAATCTCATGCGGGATCATGCCGGATTCCAGCAGCTTATGGAAACGACGGCGGTCGAGGAAAAGCGTGAGGGATTAGATCAACCCGGCGCTGGAGATCTTGGGGCGGGCGATCCAGACAAGAAGAAGAAGAAAAAGAAGGGAGCCGCGCTCATGCAACAGGAAGAGCGTGCCGTTGCCAGTGTTCCTTGGTCCGTTTATTCCGCTTATATTCGCGCCTCCGGGTCCTACTTTAATGCCCCTATCCTTCTTATCGCTCTCGTAATAGCCCAAGGCACGAATATTGTGACTGGATTGTGGCTGTCTTGGTGGACTTCGAACAAGTTCGGTTTCTCTACGGGACAATACATCGGAGGTTATGCAGGTCTCGGTGCCGTGCAGGTGCTCCTCATGTTCACCTTCTCAGTCCTCCTCTCGATCTTTGGCACGACGGCCAGTAAGAAGATGTTGCAGGAAGCCGTCACCCGAGTGTTGCGGGCACCCATGTCCTTCTTTGATACGACACCCCTCGGACGAATCACGAATCGGTTCTCTCGAGATGTCGATGTCATGGACAACAACCTAACGGATGCCATGCGAATGTACTTCTTTACGCTGTCTATGCTTTTGTCTGTCTTTATTCTCATCATCGCATATTTCCACTACTTCGCCATCGCTCTCGTACCGCTCTTCTTTCTCTTCATCTTCTCGGCGTCGTACTACCGCGCATCGGCGCGTGAGGTCAAGCGCTTCGAATCAGTGCTCCGTTCTACTGTCTTTGCTAAGTTCGGAGAGGGTCTCACTGGCGTGGCTTCCATCCGCGCCTACGGCCTGCAGAATCGATTTATCAAAGAACTAAGGCAGTCCATCGACGAGATGGATGCCGCTTACTATCTTACCTTTTCGAATCAGCGTTGGCTCGCTGTTCGGCTCGACCTAATCGGCAACTGCTTGGTCTTCACGACGGGTATCCTCGTCGTCACCTCGCGGTTCAACGTGTCGCCTTCTATCGCTGGTCTCGTCCTGAGTTACATCCTCTCCATCGTCATGATGATCCAGTTCACAGTGCGGCAGCTCGCCGAAGTCGAGAATGGCATGAACGCCGTTGAGCGACTACGATACTACGGAAAGAACCTCGAGGAAGAGGCCCCGCTGCACACCATCGAAGTGCGCGACACATGGCCCGAAAAGGGAGAAATCATCTTCGACCACGTGCAGATGCGGTATCGCGAGAACCTACCCCTCGTGCTCCAAGATTTCGACATCCACATCAAGGGAGGTGAGAGGATCGGTATCGTGGGGCGAACGGGAGCCGGGAAGAGTTCCATCATGTCGACGCTTTTCAGGCTTGTTGAGCTGTCGGGCGGTCACATCACCATCGACGGTGTCGATATTTCCACCATTGGGTTACACGACCTCCGGTCCCGACTCGCCATCATTCCGCAGGATCCTACGCTCTTCCGCGGTACTGTGAGGAGCAACCTCGACCCCTTCGGCGAGCACACCGACCTCGAACTCTGGTCCGCCCTACGGCAAGCGGATCTCGTCCAGGACCAGCCTCCCGCCGCCCCAACATCCCCCACCACCACCACCACCGAGCCCAACCCCGACGGCACAACCGAGAAGGAGTTGCCCCCCTCCTCCCCCCAAGCCCGCGACCAACAACCCTCCATCCACCTCGACTCCGTCGTCGAAGAAGACGGCCTCAACTTCTCCCTCGGCCAACGCCAACTCATGGCCCTCGCCCGCGCCCTCGTCCGCAACAGCCAGATCATCGTCTGCGACGAAGCCACCTCCTCCGTCGATATGGAAACCGACGACAAGATCCAAAACACCATCGCCACGGGCTTCAAGGGCAAGACCCTCCTCTGCATCGCTCACAGGCTGCGCACCATTATTGGGTACGATCGCATCTGCGTCATGGATTCGGGGAGGATTGCTGAGTTGGGGACGCCATTGGAGTTGTGGGTTAGGGATGGGTTGTTTAGGGGGATGTGTGAGAGGAGTGGGATTCGGGTGGAGGATATCAAGGGTGCGGAGGTAGAGAAGGAGGACTAGATGGGTTGGGTGAGGCTTGATGATGAACAAAAAGGAGGATTGGCTATTTTCCGAGTAAATAATCTTGATTTTTTGCCCTGGCGTGGCGTGCATACATATCCCTTTCCCTTCCAAGACTACAAAAGAAAGATAGAAAAAAAAATTAGAAAATGAAGTAAAGACAACTTGGACGCAATACACGTGTTCGTCTCGCCACGAAACTGTCTCGGACATTCGATCGATACCGCATCCTGCATGCCACGACATCCATCTCCACCGCCCATACTAAGGTAACCCGAACGGATACAACCTCTCCCGAGGACCAGCGTCCAGGAAAGTAGCTAACATCATCAAGGGGGCCTGCTCCTTGTACTTCTATTTCTCGTTTTGTCTTCACCCGACATACTCGGTCCATGTCTAGGACGTTGGAAACAAGTTTGATTTCGAACATTTTATTAAACCATTTTAATATCTCCCCCTTCTTCCCTACTTCCAAGGGGAATCCTAACGCAAAGGGGAAAAAACTACCGCTGAAGCTCGGCTAAGCTTAAAGACAGGCGAGGACAAAAGCCACCAAAAGCAAGTAAAAATAAAAGGGGTGTAAGTACTAAACAAATATAGACGAGGGCCACTTTTCTTTTCAAAAAAGTAAAAGAGTATAGAAAAAAAGACAAAAAAGAAAGCGTTACCAGGGAAGACTAAAAAAAGAAAGAAAAAAAAAAAAAAAACCATGACTCCTATTCTAATGCCCTATACCAATATACCTGTACTATTACAGTACGGATTCGAAGGCCCTGTTTCCAGTTCCTGTAATGAAAGCGCCTCCCTCCAAGGGCTGGCATCTGTGGTGAGTGAGAAGAACCTCGCTGGGAAATGAGACGGAGAGCAGAGGCATGATTATCGCAGATGACAGCCCTCCTCCCCTGTCCTTCCTCGGAAAAGTTGTAAATGTGTAAAAACCAAAGCATACGTATCATCAACCCTCGTTGCCGACAACATCTGGCGCGACTCCTTCATCCTCAAAAGTTCAACAATGAGTGGATGCGAAAAGAGGTCATCGGGAGGGACGCGCCGAGAAGAAGAAAAAGGAAACATCCAAAACAAGCTCTAATCGCAGCCTTCGTCGGCGTTCACAAGTAGTCCACGAGATTCTCCTAATACCTTCCTTGCGAAGAGTGGCTAAAGTTTTGGTTATGTCTCGACGAGCCATGTGCCGCTTGGGGCGGCATCTGCGCGGGCGGGAACATCTGGGGGTTCTCATCGAGGAGGTCATCGAGGTAGGCGCTGGGAGCACGCTGGCTGGGAGGTCGGTTGAGGTTGAGGGAGCTCATGCTTGGATCCTGGCGAACGGCGAATTGAGGTGAACCCTCGGGGCTGTGTTCTCTCATTGTGTTACGCGAGTATCCGCCTCCGCCTCTCGAGTCAGGCCTAAGATTCGAGTAGCCCAGGGACGAAGGGGGTCCCATAGCCGGGGACGGGGAGGTGCCGGCAGCGTAGAAACCAGAGGGGAGATAGCGGGAGTCGCGGTTGCCACCCATAGCAGCAGAACCAGCGGCGGTGGGTGAGAAGAACAGGTTCGACTGGCTAGGCGTAGACGAAGGAATGGGACCACGGGTGGTTCGGCGGTTTCGACTGCCACCAGGGGGTGACGGATCGCGGTCGTTGTTCTTGTAGAACGCGGCGGGAGGTGCGAGATACGTCGACTTTTCGTTGGCGAGGTGCTGGGCGGCGGCGGCGCGTTCGACCGAACGGTGGAGAAGACAGGCGACGATGGCGCGCCATACGAGCACGGCAAGACCAAAGGCACCGAGGATGGCACCGACGGCGATGAAAACTGTGCCTGATGGCATGGTAGACCGCTGCATGAAGGGCGCGTCTACGGTAGGTGGCACGGCTGGCACAGGACGGGTGAAGCCGCCGTCAATGGTAGGAAAAGGAGCCCCCGTGGTATCGGATATAGTGGGCATGTCTGCGGTTGGAATAGTAGGCAGGGCCGCGGTAGGTGTAGTTTTGGTCTCGGTCGTTCGCGTGGTTTGGTCTCGCTGCGTTGGCGTTGTCGGTGTTGTCGGTCGATTGGTGTTCCCGTTCCCCTGTGTCGGTGTGGTAGTCGGGCGGTTGTTGGGCTGAGTGGTCGGCGTGTCATTGTTGTTGTCGTCGTTGTTGTTATTCCCATTCCCTTGGGCAAGGACGACAGCGGAGAACATCGACAGGAGAGCGACATTTTCGAGACCCCATGGTCTCATGGCAAAAGAGGGTCTCATTTCGACTCGAGGCTGTGACGATTGTTGTGGAAAACAACAACGCCGCGAGAATTAAAAGATGACGAAAGACGGAATAATTCGTGCCGAAGAGTCGGGTCGAGGTAGGCCAAAGCAAGAGGGTCGCCGGTTCTAACGGATTTTCTTGTCGGTTCAACGAACAGAGTTGGAATCGATCACGATCGGGCGAGGAAAAACAGGCGAGTTTAATGAGGTGGATGGGACACGAGCGATCAGAGAAGGATGTGGCGGAGTCAGGCCGAATAATCCGAATAAGCAAACACTGGCTGGGTGAAAAGAACGAAGAATGAAAATGAAAGACTACCGAAAGCAATTACACTAGAATGAGCGAGGAGAATAAATGTCTAGTATGGTCCCTGGGCGGGCTATTGAGCGATGGTATTCATCGTAAAATTCGATGAAGCGAGAGAGATTGAGGGAGATGATGATGGGGAAAGGAGGCAGGGGGATTGGACACTGGACGCTAGAGACTGGGCAGTGGGCAATGGGCACTTGACAGTTGGAATCGACAGAGGCCAAGTCTACTTCATCAATGTTCAATGTTACTTGTCACAATTGATGGTACATGGTACCCCCTTGCTCTCCTAGATTACTAGGGCTTCTTTGTACCCCAAATACGAGGATACCAATCTGGCAAATTCGCTTCCATTGTTCAGCTCCGTTCCCACTCTGCAATAGGCCCATATTTCGAAGAACCTGCCCTGGAATACCCATTCTGTGTCTGACGTGCTGTGTCGCATCGTCCGGAACAATAATGGGGGACTTGGGATGGCACAGTATCCAGCCAACTATGTTCACCGGGTAACGGTGGATCAGGAATGAAAAGCAAGAGATTTTGGCGACCCTTTCCGCTAAAATCTTGGGTCAGTATGGAGGCCAGGCTCCGTAAACCCAGATATTAACACTATGTTGTAGGTACCCTCTTAGCAACGCCGGACGCGGTTAAATGAAATCGAAACACACCCGCCAAGCGTGAGATAAGCTACTTGGTCCGTGCTCTTACAGCTGTCGGCACTGGCAACTCCCAGGGTCCGCATGACGCCGCAAATTGCCTTCATCGACCTAAAACCTCCAATCCGAAATTTTTATGAAATCTTCATCAATGCGATCAATCAACGACCTACCTCGTAATAGGAGCCGATCTCGAATCCGATACCATCAACAAGACACTCACCACTCTAGAGCGATACTGAGATTCTCCTATCTGAATCCTATTGCGGTTTCTACGAACAATCTCCATCATGGGTGTCGCCAAACGCACTCGAAAATTCGCCCAGGTAACTTTATCCCACCCCAGGTGCCTTATCGATAAGGAATCTTGAAAAGTGCAAGCCTCCGTCATGAGCATTCACTGATCCACGACACCGGACCTCTAGGTTAAGCGTATAATTGGAAAGCGTAAGTAGTAGTCATATGTAATGTTTTCTCAATTAGTGAATCCTCATTCTAACTCTTTTCACAGGCGATGCCAGGTTAAAACAGAACCAGGGCAAAGATGCGGCTATCAACAAGAAGAAGGCAGCTGAAGCCGCTACCGATGAGGTTGTGAGAGAAGTGTATGTCATTTCCGACTTGCTCAAAGGCTTGCATTCGGAAATCGACACGTATTAACATCGTTTATAGGAAGGAGATGCCTGTTCAAATGTTCTTCTCTCACAATACCGCCCTTGTTCCTCCCTACAACTGCCTCGTTGATACCAACTTCATCACGTATGATATCCAAAGACCCCCAACCGGTTCCTTGCTATCCCTCAGCTTGAAAACTAACACTTCCTTTCCAGGCACTCCGTCCAGCGGAAGCTGTCTCTTGTCCAGGCTAGCATGGATCTCCTTTATGCCAAGGTCAACATGTATATCACCACATGTGTTCTTGCCGGTAGGTTTAACCTTTCCCGCTTTCCTCTGGAGCGCCTATGAATCGTGAATGGCGCGCTGTGGACCTGTGACTGACAAGAACCCGCCCCTCTTTCTAGAGTTGGAAAAGCTCGGACCCAAGTATAGGTTGGCTCTTCGTGTTGCCAAGAGTGAGAATTTCGAGGTTCTCAAGTGTCAACATAAGGGTATCTATGCCGATGACTGTATCTTCGATCGTGTCTCGAAATCCCGCATCTTCATTGTTGGGACAGACGACAAGGATCTTCAGAGGCGGTTGAGGAAGATTCCTGGCGTACCCATCATGAAGGTAGGCAGGGGAAAGTATGTGATTGAGAACATGCCGGGTGCTCCTCAATGATGGCGGGGGTGAACCAGAAGACGCAGATTTTCGCTTATTGGGGCCCTGTTTTTCTCATCTTTCTCTGTGGGAGTTTTGGTGTTTATGCAACCCTCAAATTAATAGGGTTTAGGATCTTGGGGGCTTAGATAGACACAACATTTATGCTAACGATGATTTACGTCTAATCCTTCTTGGCTCACTATTCTCCAGGTGAGTAACTTCATTCAGATGCCTCTTTACAGACTCTGTTTCTGTTTCTACCACAGGGGCTGCTGGAGTCTGTTTGTGGAGGAGAGGCGTTGCAAATTTGAAGGCAGAGACGACGGCATTTGTTGGTATATTTGCGGGCCCGGATAGATCTGCCTGCCAAGCGCGCCTGTGGGTCACGCGTGACCGAGCGAAACAGTATCCCTCCTACTCGGCGGGCGGGAAATGGGTGCCTATCGCCGGGTGGTGGTTATGCGGCTCCAGATAGTCTCCGGGAAGGGGCAACCGGGACCCGGTGGTGACCACATGCCGCCTCCTTAGACACTTCTCCGTCCGCACCACCCAGGCCCGATTGAGATAAACTAGTTTACGATCCAGTTCTCGACAATGCGTAGGCTGCCAGGCTTAGACGCGAGTTCCACGTCTCCGGACCTGGCCCGCAGAAGCTCATCCATGCTGTACAGGGCAGCAGCTTCCATTAGCACGATATGGGCAAGTCTTGGAGCCAACCCACCCCATCCAGGGGTTGAGCCCCATTCGGCGGCAGGCTATTTCAAAGCCGGGCTCGTAATAGTGCCTTTAGCTCCAGACTCCTTGTAGGCTGTAGGACGTGATAGCTCCCGAGTGCCCGTTCCCTTTTCGTTCAGTTCGGTTTGAAAAGGACGGGAGAATTGTACGTCCGTCCAGGAAGGGAGATATACGTAGATCTTTGTCCCCCCCGGCCCACAAGTATGAAAAAGAGGCATCTAAAAAGTACATCGATTTCATCCCTACATCTCTAGTGTCGTTCACTATAACCATTAAACACTCACGGAATAATTTCAAGCCGAATACGCATTCACTCGTGTTATCGTAACCCGAAGCAAACCGCGTTGCCACGTCTCGAGATACAGGCCAGGGTTCATAACCTGTCTTGCCCCGTTCCTCTCACTGAGACCGCTGTCACTTCCGACGATAACCCTACAGCTCAAAACAACCCCCGAAGTTTGGACTGACCTTGGCAAGTGTAGTTAGCCGGAAAACCTCCATTCTTCCCAATCCCCATCTGTACCATGCGAAACGGCTCTAGGCTCGAACAAAGGAGAATGGAATATTCCGCAGCAATAGAGATCCCCACCTCGACAACGAATCCACTTGTTCGCGCGGAAAGCCCCGTCCCACCAAACGGGATGAGAAAGGGTCGAGAGCTGGAGGTAATTGATCTAGATTCCCAAAGACTATTGGGGCTCTTACCCCTGCTTATTTTTCCTATTGGAGGCTGAGGTGTCGCAGTTTCGGTATCCTTCCTAGTTAGTGTGCTAAGATTCGCCAACTGAAGAAGCGTATCAGAGGATTAGAGGTTTAAGGATTCTCCAATATTGTAAGGTGGTGATGATGATTCTATTTTGCTTGAATCATAGCTATGCTTTATAATAGCCTCTATAGCTGCAATAGATACTTGAGAAAATGGGTGTTACACTTAGTTGGTTGCAAACATCGAGTTGAAAGCTTATCAGCAGCTTTTTCGAGAGCTGATATCGGGCTGCTGATAAGGAAACTCCTCGAATGGAATTGAGTAACAACACCCCTGTCACATTGTAATACTGAACTCATCAGGCAAGAGGACAGAGAAGCCGCTCCCTGGCTATTCTGCAGTAACTCCCGGTTCAAATCGAATCGAAAACGATGGCGATCGAGGGGCCCACGATGATGGGATTCCACAGAAAACGAAGCAAGGTCGATGGAGGTCCCATGCGATGAGTTGTCCCCAAGTAGAACAGCAAGAGAGCGGATATCATTACGTACGAGATTCGGGCCAAAGCGGATGTCTTGCGTCGAGGAAAGAAGGGAGCGCAGCTCGAAGAGCGAATGGTTGTCAATTTCTTTGCTCCCGTGTGAGGATCCAGGTCTCGGATTGCATCGGTCATGTATGTGAGAGGTGCCCTGGGAGCTTTGCACGCACGCATAAAGAGGCCAGAATGGAGTAATATGATGACACCGCTATGGCTTTCCCCAATTCGGTTCCTGAATTCTGTGTTAATGCATCGTCAAGGAGACCGGAGAAAAAAGCCTGGGCCCGGATATCGGAGTCGGGTAGCCAGTCGTGTTATTGTTAGTCATACGAAGCAAACTCAGAGGACAACTGGGGCAGAGGTCAATTCGCGGGGGGTGAAGAGAAATGCCTGGGGCGTGCATTCAGTCTCTCCAGAGCCAGGTTGCGGGGTTTCCGTTATAATCCCCGAAACGGTGGATATCGTGATGATGACTGGACTGATGAGTGGTGGACTGTGGCATTGAGCCGTCCCCGGCATGTCAGGGACGAGTAACAAGCCCGCGTACCTTTGCGGCTTCAAGGTTTGGGATAACCTTCTCTCGTGCCCTTTTTCGCATCCGGACAAATCGACATCTTGATCGAGAATTTTTGCCTACAGTTTTGTAAGGCCTCCATTTCGGGCTGTCGCCATCAACACTACTGAGGGACTAGAAGAAGTCAAAGTGCATGTGGAAGTCAGGCACATGTACAAGCAAAGTTTCGTGGAAGGTGCGCTTAATAAGTGGCTTGAGCCAATGTTCGCATATTGCATAGTCGACTCAAAATGTCCGCGGAAATACCAAACTCAGGCCACGAGATGACGGCATCGAGGCAACTTGTACGTAATAGATTGGGGTAGATCAGAACTCCAACCCACCACTATAAGACCTTGTCCTTATCCACCTGAACGGCGGAATCTAAGACACCGAAAGCTTCTCGAACACGAAAACGGTAACAGAGAAGGGTGTACAGAGAGAATGTACTGAGTGTGATAATTTCCAGCCAAACCGTGCACATCCCCCTCCACTCCACTGCCATCCAGGGAGGCTGAGATGTCTTGAACGTGCGGACTTGACAGGCACCTGGATGTCGCCCGCGAGACAACCATCGCGGGGTATCGTGCGGGGCTGCGGACCCTGCAGGGCTTCCAAAGTCCGCGTCCAGGCGGGCGAGGAAGATTTGATTTTTTTTGACAGGACCAAGCAATGGGATTCAATCAGCAGGACCTCCTGCGCTAGCACGGCGTTGGGAAAAGGGGTCGTCGATTGGCCATTATTTTTTTACCTAATTTGAACCTCTTTTTGGCAGTTGTGGGCGATTCGGCCGATTAGTTCGAGGCGAATCTGGGGCCCGGTCGTCCAACAGAGCTGTGCAGTAGCGCAGAAGAGTGTAAGTAAACTCGTGTACACGGCATCAATACTTCGTACTTCGTGGTCTCCTCGATCTCACGCTATTCAGTGACAATGGACGATCCAGGTGGTGGGCCGGGTATCCACAAAGGTCCGCGAGAGACTTCAAATGTTGACCAAGACCTGACCCATTGTGGAACCACGACGCACATTCTTCAAAGTTCCTTTCACCGTTTTTACCATTCTTGCCTGCCACCTGACTGGCATCGGCGTCAGGTCAGTCGCTGATTCGTTTGGTTCCTGAGCGCGTCAAAGGAACCAGCGACGATAGCGTCGATTATTGAAGTCAAGCTCGAATACCCAAGACTTGCCGGGATATGATATGGAGTCGTTGGGTTGCGCTATGCTTCCTCAATGCTTCGATACTTCTTTCACCGCTGCTCCCTTTGCGCCGACGATATCGCCATATTTTATCAGCATTGAAGGGCAATACTGTGTAGTTACCTTGCCAGGCCGCACACTGCATATTATCTCGGAGGAATTCTGGGGGGTTGGTTTGTGGAAATGGTCCCATTTCCACGCGGGTAGCGGGCCTTGTGCCTCGACCTTGAGCAGTATTTCTAGTAGGGAAATCGACGTACACCGTGATTTGGGAAAGGAGTGTACACTACTTCGTAAACTTCGAGAAGGGTACGCATTGCTGAGAAGCGCAGTAATTACCTCTAATTTTACTAGCAGATAGCTAGTGTAGTTTAGAAAAACTCCACGGGGCAGTTGACCAGCTGACTCTCAAAAAAGGCAGAAAAAAAAAACAGATCTAAATTATCGTATCGTCTTCGCCTCCCCATAATCTCGGTGTCTTGTTCCATATTCCGTTTTCGCGGTCTCGTCAGGGACGGACCTGACGACATGCTGTGACATGTCACCTTCCTCGTTTTTCTTTTCTTTTTCTTTTCTTCCTTTCCCCCTCCTTCCCGGCCAATCATTTCGAATGTGACTGATGGGCGAAAGATAAGGATCTCGTGTAATCTTAACTCGTCCTTCTCAACCCTCAACCTGAAGGTGCACTGGACCGGTACTACCCTCTCTACTTCCTACACTCTCTAATAGTACGAAGTACTCCTTCAATGCTGTCGATAGTCTTGATAGAGCACGCCTCGGGAGCTATACAGTAGGCGTAGGTTATACAAAGTCCGTTTCCGCTCGATGCGCAGGTTTTTTGTCCCTACGACTACACTAAAATCGCCATTTACACCCGTTGTTGTAGTTTACAATGCAGACCACCGAACCCGGGGGTAGATTGATCTCGATCATGGGACAGATAGCCACTGCAGCATTGACGCTTCGCTAGGCTACTCGGTACTTCGTAAGTTTACATTTTATTTGAAGAAGGTGGCCTAATATCTCGTGATAACAGGGTCTCGAACGCTCCGCAACTTGTACCTCTGGGTATTCTCTCGGTACCTTGCTGGTGTTCATGCCACTCTCGGCAGCGAGACTCCGAAACTCGCTGAGAAAACGGAATGCACTTTTGTTAGATACTGCACGGTTGTTGATATTGGCATTTGGGCTTAGGATCAATCGAAGCTCGCTTCTTGTACAGCCCTCGCCCTACCCTTGCACTCTCCCGTCGCCGACTAAAATTTGAGGACCATCGAATCCAAATCCAACCAGTCAACAAGTCCCCCGTTGTACAAGCAGCGTACACTTACTACACTATATCTACGCGTGGCAGGTACGGGTGAGGAAAAAGTTAAACCACTCAAAGGAGCTAAGCTGGCTGACAAGCCTCGCTCATCTTTTTGAGGCAACTGAGATGGTGGCGGCTCCACTGTGAAATACTTTCGTACTACATTTGATTTGGAGAAGCGCTGGAGATGGGCTCTGGTACCCCTCCGGGTCCATGGTGTCACCAACAGTCAGCTCGGCTCCTTTCTACGAAGCAGGTCCTTGCCCCTCCGTCTTGAATGGACAAACACTGTAAAAAAAAGTTGACTCCGTATTCGGTCCCCCCCCCATCATTACGCCTTTGCGCTTCTCCCAGTCACTCTTGCCTCCGCCATTCCGTTCTCCGCCGATTTTACCATTCTATTTCTTCCTCCAACTTTTTTTCCTCTTTCTTTTATCTCGTCGCTGCTGTTCCTTCAGTAGAAGCAACATATTCTTCCCCCCGCATTCCCATTCCACTAAGACTTCCCGTGAAGTTATATCCCCCTCGGCCGCCATCGCTCTACTGTGGCAGGCCTGGTTTGACTCGACTTGATTCGTTTAGACCCTCTTTTACACCAACACCCCTGCCGCTCTATGCGGCCTCACCGGAACTCGCGCCTCATCCCTCGGATCGCGACGTGGAATGCCACAAGGAAGAAAAGGGCAAAGATACGACTCTCCTTAGCGCTCTTCCGCCACGCACACTACCTCTTCACCTGACCAGGTAGACCAGTAAAACGACTTGCAACATACGTGAGACGAAGTCGCTTGGACTCCCTCACTGCAGTAACACTACTACCTCCGCTGCCTTTTGACCTCGTGCTGCTTCCCTCGCCTTGGGCATTTCGCGATTCGCCTGGGACCCAGTATCGCTGGCCGGCCTCGGGCCGTATCGATGTCTTAAAAGTCCTGTCATCCCCCACTATCCTGCCCCGCCTTGGCTCATTTTACCCTGGCTTCTGTGCCTGCGCCAGAACCTCAACCCCTCCCCCTACCTAAGAGGAAAAAAAAGTTACAGAGAGCTTCTTGCTCAATGCTGTCCCAGATGAATGGGGTCGGCCTCCCCATCCGACAGGCTCCAAACCGAAACAGGCAGAACGATATCCTGTCGTCCTCTCCTACCTTGGGCAAAAAGCAGAAGCACGCGAGGTCTTCCTACTCAGAATCCTCCCCTATCGTCTCGCGGAACAACTCCTTGACCTTCCGCCCTGCCAAGCGTCAGATGCCTACCCCAGACAAGACTATCGCTGTCATCAACGCCAGCGGCCGCCAGGCTGCGTCGCTGATTCGCGTCGTGACTGTGCTAGGCTACACCGTCCGCGCCCAGATGAGGAACCTGGAAGGTGTAATTGCGACCGAGGTCTCGACTAATCCCAATGTTGAATGTCTCATTGGTGAGCTCTACACGAGGCACAAACCGACCGAAGAGAATAAGGATGTCTCCCGGAATGGACCGCTTTCGGGAGTCGGCGTCAACTACGACCTCATCAATGAGCTCTTCCGTGGCGCTCATCTCGCCTTCATAAACACCACCTACTACGGCAATGAGGTCCAGATCGGCAAGGCTCTCGCCGACGCCGCCAAGAAAGCCGGTATCCAGCATTACATATACTCCTCCATGCCCGACCACGCCCTGCACAACCCTGAATGGCCTTCCTGTCCCCTCTGGTCCTCGAAGTTCAAGGTTGAGCAGTACATTCGCGAGATCGGCCTGCCTGCTACCTTCGTCTACACCGGAATTTACAATAATAATTTTACCTCTCTTCCGTACCCACTCTTCTGCATGGAATTGCAACCGGACGGGTCCTTCCTATGGCAAGCACCGTTCAAAGAAGACGCTAAAATCCCCTGGTTAGACGCTGAGCATGATGTCGGTCCAGCTGTTTATCAGATTTTTAAGGAGGGTCCAAGCAAGTGGGGCCAGCACCGCATCGGCCTCGCTTATGAGATGTTGACGCCAATCGAGGTTTGCGAGGCTTTCTCCCGAGGCGTCGGTCGTCCGGTTCATTATGTTCGTGGACCGATTGAGGTGAGGGTATCTATTCCTGAAGGTTATAGGGACCAGCTGGAAACTTTGGAAAAGCTGTTCACCATTGGCAAGGACGACCCGAAGAGGCAGCCCCCTCCCTACTTCGCAGACGCGGCGATGGAGAAGGACTGTCCGTCTCAGGCATTGTTGCTGTGGGAGGGTCCCCGTGGCATGGAAGAGTACGCTCGCGAAATTTTCCCGCTTGAGGAATATGCCAATGGTCTCCGGTGGATGGAAGAGGATGATGACGAAGATGAGGAAGGAGAAGAAGAAGAAGAAGATACGGATGATTCAAATCCTGGGCATGGGCAAAACGGTGCAAAAATCAATGGAAATGGTCACCGGCGATACGACGGCAATGACGATACCGACGATGGCGAATATTCCGAAGATGCAGACGAGGGATTAGTCATGAGGAACAGCAATGGTTCGAGCAGGAGCGGCTAGTTTCACGATGCTGCCTTCTGGGGAGCCTCAGGGAGCCGCCATGCCAGCAATAGGTATGCATGACTTGGTCGAGGCAGTTGATTGGTTAACCACCCACGCGCTCTTGTTCTACTTGCCGTTTTTCTTCTTCCTTTCCTAAATTGGTTCATCTTTAGACTTCGCCTCCTCCCTTCGTCGGGCATTGTCTGGTCAGGCTGGGGGGGTGCGGATACGTCTCCCTTGACAGTCTGCTTTTTGCCGGCTTCCCCCGCTGCATCTCACCTAGCCACGTTCCCCCCTGTGATATTGTCAATATACAGGGTCCAGGGCACTGACTAGAAGGCATGCATTGGTTGTTAGCCTGCATGGGAGAGAGCACCTGACCAGAAAATAGTTCCCTCAAACACACATTATATCCATATTCAAACACGTTTACACAATAGAGCCCCCCGCACACAACTCCCCTCTCTCTGCCAACACACACACTCTCTCACACACTCACACATACGAACACATACGGACATGCACATGCATGTTGGAGTTTGACTCCTCCAGAAGAGGGACCATCTCGGAAGCAGGAACCACCAGTCGTTTGCCGTCCCAGCGTTCATAAACCGAACTGGAAACGGGAGTGGGGCATCTGTCTTTTACGACCGTACTGTCTGCCCCGTCTTTCAATATCCAGTGATATGAGAAGGACGTTCGGGGACACGGCGAGCAAATGTGTGCTGTCCGGGGTTAATCCTCCAAACATATACCCACTCCCCCCTCAACGCCTCGAAAACTTTTGATCCGCCCTTTGAAGGGTTTCTGCTTTGCTTCGTTATGACAAGAATGGGGTGGTTTGGCGATTTATTCAAGGCTGACGAGGGCGTTAGCGTGTGACCGATAGCAAGGAGAACACGCACAACAACACCGAAACAAAACCCCCCTTTAAAAATACCGTTGGACGACTAACCGCTTTGCCATACAAACGGCGTTTGGTGCTGGGATTTCACGTCGGCCCATGAAGAAGAGACCGAGTTTATCAATTTTGGTTACGCTGACGACTATTGATTTACAAGCGACATTGCCGGAGGGTAACCTCCCTAAACGGGCGAAAAAAGTTGACGGGGCGCGCAAGATCTTCTCTTGTTTTTCTATTTTTACGAGCGACACAGGGAGAGACTGAGGGATAAGCCCGATTCGAAAGGGGCTGGTAGTTCGAGACTCGGCCAGTGATTCGTTGGCCTGCTGGTTTAATACGGCGTCTGGTTGCGATGGATGTCCATCGCAAGCCCGCCGATCCACGCATGTTGCTTTGTGCCAATCTTGCTTGCGACTGTGAATCCTGTGAATGTGCAGCATATGAAGTGAAGTATGTGATGTAACGTATATTGTATGCCTGTACTGTAATCAACAATTGAGCGGCGAGGCTACCTTCTCTAGCCCATGCAACAGAGTAGCTTTTCGTGACCGTTCAAGGTTCCAAGGTTCACGACCTCAGCCGCGACACGGGTATAGGGGCCCGGCTAAGATAGCAAGTTCGGGGAATTAAATTTGTTGCCCGTTGTATTAAAAATTACCATCGTCCGAAATAGAGGTGAGGCGTGGAGCCTGATCTCATATCCAGTCGAACAGACCTAACGTTGCTCCTCCCATCAGAAAACGCCGCATCCGTTCTCCACAACCGAGTCTAGATGTTCCCCTAACCCAATTATTTTTTCTTCATCAAAATAAATGGAAATATATATATATATATATATATATATATAAAGAAGAAGAGAATCGAGGAGCGTCAAGGGCCTCCCTTAAAACTTTCCAGTCAAGAGGTTGCCGATCATCTCCCGGCCCGTAACATACGTTGTCCTCCAAAGCGTGGGGAAGTCAAGGGTGCTTGAGAGGCCATCGGCGAAGCCAAAGAAGAGCATGGGAGGGATCCAGCCGCGGGCGTACTCGAGCGCGAAGCAGCCCTCGGGCATGCGATACTGCTTGACGGTTCCGCGCTGGAGGTGGTGGACGGAGCCGGGAGGGTAGACCTCGGGCTCGAAGGTGCCGGCGGTGTAGGCGAGCTGGGTTCCGGTGAGGATGTTGAAGTAGTCGTCTGCGGTGTGGCGGCCGGTGTGGCCCTCAGTTCCGATGGCAGTGCCGAAGATGATGAGGTATTCGGTGATGCCTTGACGGGGTTGTTAGCGAGAGCTGTGCGCCGAAGGAAAAAGGAAAAGGGGAAAAGAGGAGAAGGGGGGATACATACTGGCGTGAATCACGTACATGGCGCCCATGGCACCGCCGGCATTGTTAAAGATCCACTCCTGGTGGAGGTTGACGTTCTTGGGGTGCTTCTCGTGGAGGTCAGAGACGATGAAGTCGACAATGGCCTTGGTGTCCTCGGGGTGAGCGGCGATGGCGCGCTGGGCGAGCTCGTGGAGCTCCTTGTCGTCGAAGATGCAGAAGCTGTCGTGGTAGCGCTCGGCGAGGGAGACGAGGGGCGTGAAGATGACGAGGGCGATGGCGAGGAACTTCATCCAGCCGGTGATAGAGCAGCCGCCGCAGCCGGTGGAGGAGGACTTGGGGGGAGCCATCGTGTAGGTTAGGATTGAGGTCTGTACAAAGACACGGAAGGAACAACGGGAATTGAAACGAAAGAAAGGGAAATTGAGAAGAAAAGAGCGTGCAGCGAAGTTCTCTTCCTGCGATCGCAAAAATCAAAAAGTCCACAAGGTGAATGGGACCCCCTTGTGTGTTATTCGGTTTTCGCGATGCGGATTCAAGGAAGAAAATCGCACGAGTCCGGGAAGGGAATTTCCGAATGCGAAAGAAAAGTTCAATTGATCAATGAGCGTTCGGGTTCGGGTTCGAGGTTGGGTACGTACCTTGGACCCTGTTGTTGAATTATTTCGGTGCCTGGCTTCTCCCCCAAAAATATTCACCGCCTTCCTGATTCTACAAGCTTTGGGACAGTCTCTTCCATCTTCTGTCTTTGCGCCAAGCTTCAACGTTGATTTTGCCAATATCAAATCTTGAATTTTCAAGGTGCCCGCGGAAACCGAAATTGCGACTCGGCACTTCAACCCCAACAACGAAAAAAAGAGTAATATCCTTATCGCCGGTACCATAGCGAACTCGACGTTCATTCACCCTGCCAAGTGCCAAAGAAAAATAAAGGAAAAAAAACACACCAGCAGCATCCCCCTCCTCCCCCTCCACCATGGCCTCGGACAGCAAAGTCCCCACCACCGCCGTCCCCGGCACGCCCCTCGGCCTCGCAATCCACTACCACGCAGGCCACGGCACACACATCCACGAAGGCCAAATCGTGTCCTCGCTCCTCGGTCGCGTGACGGTGACGCAAGCGCCCAGCAAAGGCCCGGCGCCCCTCAAGCGGCTAACCAAGATAACGTCGCGGACGGCGGAGGAGCTGCCGACGATTTCGGTGGCGCGGCACGAGAGGCGGCGCGAGGTGCTGCCGGACGTGGGGAACGTGGTGCTCTGCCGCGTGGTGAGGCTGGTGCCCAAGCAGGCGATCGTGTCGATTCAGCAGGTTGGGAGCACGGTGTTGGATACGGAGTGGCAGGGGGTTATTCGGGCGCAGGACGTTAGGGCTACGGAGAAGGATAAGGTTAAGATTTATGAGTCGTTTAAGCCTGGTGATGCGGTTAGGGCGCAGGTGGTATGTTTTCGACGTTTAAGCGCTGAGCCCTGCAACTGATCTTTTGTCTCCGACCCTGTTGCTAACTACGTCCTCAACTAGATATCGCTTGGTGACCAAGCAAACTACTACCTATCAACGGCATCCAACGAGCTAGGTGTCATCATGGCCACGAGCGAAGCCGGCAACGACATGGTGCCTGTGAGTTGGAAGGAGTTTAAGGATCCCGTTACCGGCGTCAGCGAGTTGAGGAAGGTTGCGAAGCCGGACTAGAGCTAGAACGCGAGTGATGAAATGCAATGAAAAAAAAAAAAGTAGGAATGACGAAATCAAAAACTTTGAGATGGATGGCATCGGGCAGGCCGAACAGCCGAATTTGCGTGCTCTATCATGGCGAACAAGATCACATCGTCTCATGAGAACTCTCATGCAACATGCAAGACGAACCAGCTACCAGACTGGTAAGAACGATCTAGAAGCTGTTTTGATGTTTCCTTGATGAGAAAAAGAACGATGACGGAGGTTTGATGTGCTGCGAGATGCATCGGTGCTCGCCGATTCGCCCGGATTGACAAATCGAGGTGGACGTATACGACAACAATTCCAAGTGCTATCAGGGGCAGGCACCTAATATACTATATGAAAAGGTGGGTGAACAGCTGATAGAAAGTTCCGGGATTTGACGTGCAATGACTCCGTTCCTTTGAGCGCTCAATGCATAATTCTCGCTGCCGAGATGCGAGTGGGCATGAATGATCGACGGAAGGAGTGAAATAGGTGACGTTTCTGAGCCAGGTGAGCCCGTTTTTCTTTCTCTCCTTTGCCCGGATGTGGTGGCGGAGCATGGACTGGGCGTGCTATGATCGCCACGGTGTATACAAACTGTCAATAATTGTAAACGATTTGGAAGAAAACATGACCCTATCGTGGTTTATGCGCCTCAGTGTTGCGTTTCTTACGTGAATCGCCGTCGTCATTGTCTTTCGACGGCGCGGCTCAGTCGAAAGTGACGGCGATTGAATGTCTTCAGCGAGAATGTATAATCTATATGCATACCTTCGTATATATCGATTGTATTATACAAAGTATGTTATTCCTAGACTGCTATAGATTCGATATATCATTTTCCGCGTCGGTAGGCTTCGATCTCAATGTGAAATATCAACGGCTAATTCGCTTCGGGGCGGTCTTTTTCCCTCCTCGATATCGATATCAAATATCTTCGTCGTTCTTGCCTACAAAACAGGACAATGCGACAATTGTAGGCCTCAATTGTCAATAGAACATGTGCTCACAACTTGGGCCTGACGGGTGGAAAGATGGGACAATTTTTCGACGTCTCTGTGGATATGGATATGCAAATCTGAATCTGGACTCAAACCTCGAGCCTCTCTCATCGACATGCAAGTGTGATCCAAGAACAAGGATTAATCCAAGTCGGTAATGGACCTGTATGTACTTCATACTTGGCGATGAGCAGGGCTGAGCCAGGGGCATCAAAATGGACCAGACTGGAATCTAGTGTATTGCTATTGATAGTGCCAGGCTATTTTTACGCGAGGTACGAAGTAATAATACTTGTACTACGAAGCACTGAGGTACGCCTGGCTGGTAAACAGGGCTGGGGTTAGTGTAGAAGTACGAAGCACATAGCCGGGCCGTTAATGGGCAGGTGTTAAGTAGTTTCCTCTGTCGAACCTCTTCTGTTCTCTTCTTCTCTTCTTCCCTTCTTCCCTTCTTCCCTGGTGTGACGCGCAAATCAATGACGATCCCGCTCCTCGACGGAGGACGAACCAAAGTCGCGTACAACTACTTCACAGCCTCAGCAATACTCATGCTCATTCACTATTGATGCTCACTCGCCTCCCTTCACCTGAATCGATAGATGAACCAGCCCACCCATATCCATGGTAATAATGGTAATACTATGTGGAACAGGGACTGCGCTGCTTTCCTCTTTGATGCCCAGTCTATCCCCAAACTTCCGACTTGTGCTAAGCCTGCTCCGCCCTTCCACCTGTGATGGTCCGTTCTTAATTTCTATTTCTGCACACGGAGAAAAAGGAAAAAAAAAAAAAAAAGTAGAATGCCTGGACCTGGCGCAGAGTCGTATTGATCAATCCGTACTTGTATTAATGCCCGGGAACCCCCCTCGACACGACCCATTCCATTCCACGGCAAATCCTATTCAACCTACTTCGTATTTTCACTCTCAAATGACCCAGAGTGACGTGCAGTGCTTATTCCGAACCACCTCCCTTCTAGCATTCCATTCAGCTTGGCTGGCCCTAGTCAGGAACACACTGCAACGCGATGCGCCTACTGCGACACTAGTTCGGCTCCTGAACTTGGAACTGCGACACACCAATGTTTTGGCCCGATGACATCGCGCCGCACCAGAGACCTGAGTTTATTGACTCTGTAACTGTATCCACCATCTTCATCGTCACCTCACGTCGTAAAACGTGGCACGAATCCCCCGGCAAGGGGCCTACACAGCACGCCCAATTCCTGGAATAAAAGAAAGGGAAAAAAGGAAGAGAACGCCGCGCCATTCCAGCGACTCAATCATACTCGAACAATACAACAATCGCACACTCTCATGTCCACCGCCATGACACTCACAATCGCAAGCCCGCCTCCATCTCCTCCTTCCACGTCCGCCTCGCACAGCACTAGTCCGTGCTGTCCCAACTGCGGCTTTAGCCTCCCCGCAGCCCTTCTTCTCTCCAACCCCGGCCACAGCTCCGGCTCCGGCTCCAGCACTAGTCCCCCAACCGCCGTAACGGTCGCCACCACGGCCACTAGCACTACCGATGATGAACCCGCGGCGCAACCTACCACTACTCCTTCGACGGCCGAGCTCGAACTCGCCAAGGCCCGCCACCACATCGCAGACCTAGAGACCCAAATCAAAGAACTCAACGAAAAGGCCACGGCAGCAATCTACCGCTGGGCCGACTACGAAAACGAACTCTCCCGCCTCCGCGGCTCCCTCTCCCTCCAATCCCCCACCACCCTAACCGCCCCATCAACGAACCCCTCCCCCCTCCCATCTCCTCCACCACCGCCACGCCCGCGCAAGGCCACCATTCCTAACCCCCAACCCGCAACAAGTCCTATCCGCTCCTCCTTCCTCCCCTCGCCGCGCCGCATCTCCTCCCTCCTTGCCCCCCGAAAGTCAACCCCCAACCTCCGCGTCGCCGGCCTCGACGCCTCCTCCGCCTCCCTCGAAGACCTAACGGCCGCCCTGGCGCGCGAACACTCCCTCCGCGAAGAAGCCGAGGCGCGCCTGCGACGCACGAGCGCCGAGGTCGAGGAGCTGAGCGCCGCTTTGTTCGAGCAGGCGAACGAGATGGTTGCCGGGGAGAGGAGGGCGCGGGCGAAGCTGGAGGAGAGGGTTGAGGTGCTAGAGGCGAGGGAGGGGGCGAAGAGGAGGAGGCTGGAGGTTTTGGAGGAGGCGGTGGGGAGGATGCAGAGGGCTAGGGAGGTTTTGGAGGAGCAGAGGGAAAAGGAAAAGGAGCGGGAGGTGGAAATCGAGAGGAGGAGATCGGAGGGTGTGAGGGAGTCCGCTGAGGGGCCGATTAAAGTGGATTTTTCGGCAGCGGCGAATACGTCTACGAAGCGCGTGGACGGCGAGAGAGGTTCAGATCTGACTGGCGCGCATGGGAGCCCGCCCGTGACTGAGCTTGCGGAAAAGAGGGTGTCTGCGACGACAGACCTCTCTCGGGCAACAACAGTCACGATTACCGAAGTCGAGGTCGAGGTCACACAATACGCCGCCTGAGCTCCTAAAAAAAAAAAAAAAAAAAAAAAAAAAAAAAAAAGACGGCACGGTTGGGATATTTACGAAGGGTAATGAACATTATGATAATGAGAAAACTGGAAGAATGGCAAGGATAGACAAAGGATATGGATATAGAGATGGGAAATCAAAAGAGGAATCGCCAGGTATTTCAAAAATGGATATTATTGCTACCCTGCCCTTGCCATTGATGCTTTTGAGTGAGGCCCCCATATGTATATGGCCTGTGATCGGCACGTTTTCTTGTTCCTTCTTCTTTTTTGATATGTACATGTACATTTGATTCGTTGAAATCTGTATCAACATGCAACAGAATCACGGAAAGGGCTTCCTTCGCCTCTAGTCTTGGAATCCATTCCACGATACTTCATCATCGTCTTTCTTCGGGGGCGCAAGTCCCTCCACCTCGACACCATTGCTAGCCGACGCTTGAACCGCAACCTCCTCAGACTCGACAGACTGGGGAACCGTCTCGGCATCCGCCGGCAGCGGCAGAGGAGCATCGGGTCCGGTACTGCTCTCTCTAGCCTTCTCGGCAGCGACTTCGTTGGATACTTGAACAGGGTCCACCACTAAAGGTGCGGCATCTACAGGGGCATTTCCCCTCTCGGCCCAGTTCGCCAGCATTTTGGCCACCTTGGGAGCCCACACCTCCTCTCCCTTTTCGATATCGCTGTACTCGAGGCAATTCGGGCCCCCCACCTCGAACGCGCCCTGTCGAGAACGGCAGAGTTCGGCCATCATCGCCGCCGAGTTGACCTTGACGCCGAGGTCGTGGCAGAAACTCCTGACGTAGAAACCAGATGTGACCGTCATCCGTATCTTGACGGCTGCTGGGCCCTCGCCTTTCCAAGGGGGTGGCGCATTGGGATCAGTAGGTGGTATTAAGTTAGATCCCTTGTTTGAATTCGAATTATCCGAGTTGTTGTTGGAGGGCTGGCCTAGAGCGCCGGACATCAGAACTTCCTTTTCATTCCTGGGGTTCCTGTTGTTCATCTTCTTCTGCCTCTTGGAAGGCGGCCTGTCCCTGACGAGGCTGTCGACGTCGGACTCATGCTTACGCTTGACGGCCTCATGCGCCGCAAGGGCCTCGGCCTCTTCCTTCTCCTCCTCGGGGGTTAGAGACTTTCTGTTTTCCTGTTGTTTCCAAACCCTCTCGGCCAATTGGCGTTCGGCATCCTCGGCCTCTTCCGTAGGCCAACGGTGGCTGTGAGTTCCGGGCTCGTACCACTCGACAAGCTCAAGAGCCTGCACTTCAACCTCGCGCGTCGGAATCTCCCTCGGAATAGGCTTCCCCTCCCTAGCATACTCGTACAACGGCTTACCCTCCATCTTCAGCGCTGAATACAGCGGCGGAATCTGCTTAATCTTCCCCCTAAACGACCCCAGCGCCTCCAGCACCATGTCCTTGGTGATGTGCGCGTAGCTCCGCCGCGTTAATATCCTCCCCACCCGATCGTACGTATCCGTGCTCGCGCCGAACAGGACGATCGTCTCGTAAGTCTTGGTGCAGTCGAGGAAGGACTGCAGCGATTTTGTGCCCGATCCGAGGCCGAGGATGAGGACGCCGCTCGCGAGGGGGTCGAGGGTGCCGCCGTGACCCATCTTCACCCGGAGATCCCTCTTCGCTTTGCTGCGCCTGTTGAAGAGCTTGGGGCCTTCGGCCGCGCGCTTCTCGCGCTCTTGGTTTATCATCGGGGCGAAAAAGGTGGAGGGGTTGAATTGGGTTTGGCAGTCGCGGATTACCTGGGCGGAACTGACGCCGACAGGCTTGTTGATGGCTGTAGGTGAGGGGTGTTAGTTAAGTTCAAATGCGCGCGTCGAGTAAACGGCCAACGGGGGGGAAAGAGAGGGCGACGAACCAAAGACGCCATCCAGGATCGCATCTTTGGCCATTTTCCAACTTCGACGGAACGCAGCGGCCATATACTAGGGCGAGATGCGACCAGGGAAGGGAGGAAAGGGCTGAAGTAAAAAAGGGAAACGAAACAAGCCAATGGCCCGCAGGTTGTATCTAGAGATTAAGGGAAATATTTTTGCCCCCCGGAAACCCTACTCAGAAGGCTTTAGCGACTGCCTGTTCGTTGTCCCTGACCCGAGACCTCGCAAACGTCAGAAAGGTTAATGCAAAAATGGGCAAAAGAATAAGCGAGGAAAAAAAAAAAAAAAAAAAAAAGTCGAAAGGAGGGTCTTATCGATTATCGGTGGGGCTGGTCCGAGCTTATCGATTGGCTTATTTTTACATGTGGTGGGGGAAGTCTAGGCCCTAAATCCAAATTGCTCAGGCCAACTCGGCGGAGATGTTCCGTCGGTGGTTGGTCACTAACTACTGGCCTGGTGAGGCTTGCTGGCAGGCAAGTAGTGTATGTACATATACTTCGTACTTTGTCACTAATCCAGCGCTGGGACTGTGTAATGCTGGGCGGGCAGTACGAAGTACACAATGTACAATGTACCTGGGCACACTGACGTACAGCCGACCTCCAACGTCCTAAAATGCAATTGCATCAGAGACCGCGAGCCCGCTCAAAGAGACGGAAACCACGCGACAAACATCGAACGGGAGCGGGGCCACGCCTTGAAGCTTCTCATTCCTCCTCCCCTCTTCAACCTTTCCCATCTTCCTACCTAGTCCTGGAGATGGGCGTCCACTGCCGGCCAGAATACACTTCGAATCCCGGCGCTAATATCTGTCGCGAAGCCGTCTGAAACGCCTTCACCCCAGCAGTCCTCCTCAACGAACACCCACACGATCACCTGGCATCGAACACCGCGCCCCGTTCACCCCCCCCTTCTACGTCGTCGTTACGATACGAGCCTACCTTCGCCATGTCCAGGAGGACTAGGCTGCAATCAGAGGCCTCGCCCGCACCGCCGCTTTCGGACAACGACTCAAAGAGCAATAGGGCAAAGGAAAGTGAGGTCCTCTTCCCGGTCGATAAGAGCCTACCGGATAACGAGTGGCCGACCTTCCTCCTGAAAGATGCCGCGGTTACTAGCATCCGCGGCAACGAAGCAAACGAGAATTTGCTATTAGTCGAGACGAGGGGGCCGTTCAAAGTCCAGGGTCGTCTCCTCGTCGATTTCGAAGACAAACTCCAGATGAGCGCAAGTAAGAGATACAGCCCTACTCAAGGACCCTCCCTTTTCCCGCAATCGCGCTGGCACTCACCGCCCTTGCCTTGTTGGCTCCCTTGCAGCATGTTAGGTTCCAATTGTAGCTAACGTGCTTCATCTCTTTTTCTCCGACCCCTAGCCCGCGCTCGCCGTCCTCCCCGAAACATAGACATCGAAATTACCGGCGTCCGCATGTCGATAGGCTGGATTGACGGCCCGCGTATCTGGGTAGCCAGCGACTACGGCTTCTTCGAACTCATCCATGCAAGCCACGAGTACGCGCCCATGTTCAACAGCATGATAGAAGCTGTCACTCTGTACTACTCGGTTCAGGCCATCTACGGTGAAGCCGAAGAGGCTGGGGAGAAGTTACAAGGCCTCGACGAAGTCCTTTTCAGAGTAGGCTTCTCCTCCTGAATACCTCCGCCCACCCCTTCGTCCTTGCATGCCGCCAATACTGACACTTGCTTCAGTACATGCTCCACACAGGAGAGGCCATAGTAAGAGAAGAGGCCATCAACAGATGTCACGAGCACGCTCAGTTCCTTGCGTCCCATTTCGAAAAGGAAGAAGAGTTTCATTGGGCTGGGAAGGATTTTACAAAATACATCAAAGGCATCTGGGTGGGTCCTTCCCCCATTCTCCCTCTGGCCCATCCGTTACTGTTGTACCAGCTCGGGAACAGGGAACTAATATCCTGGCAGAGGCATCAAAAGAAGCACCCGGGTACTTTGCCACACCGGCCGCTTCCGTATCTTCAACCTCCCGCCCCGCCTAACGACGAACAACAGGCGCACAAGCCTTCCCGGGCTAGGTCAGTACGGCAAGAATCTACCGCATCTGCCAAATCCCAGAGCCCCGCTACCAAAACAGCTGAAACGCAACGCCCTACCTCTCCTGTTCCAGCAGCGCGGACTGAGACCCCGAAGCTCCCAGCTGCCACGGCGCCAGCCCCCGTCACGTCAAGCGAGAGATCCGAGGCCATCGCTTTAAAGCTGTATCAGGCCATTGTGGAAACAGACGAACTGGACAAGATGGATGCAAAGCAGATTGGCAGGGTCACTCTTCCTCGTGTGGGCGGCAATGTATTTTACAAGTTCAAGTTTTCCGCCTACAAGGGGGTGCCGGAGGCGATGAGATATTACGCTCAGGACCTCGTTCGTCTCATGAATGCCGACAATGCGCTCGCCGCCAAGTGGCGAATGACCCCGTTCTACGCAACTCTTGCGTCAATAGACGTGCCACTACTCCCGGACGAATTACAACACATAAGACCCGAACAAATCGATACTTCTCTGGTTAGGCGCCTCCCGAAAAATGCTAACGGAGATCCACCCGCGCCGTCGAACACGGCTCCAACTGCGAAACCCTCGGGCAAAGCGCCCCCTCCGGCCGGTTACCAGAGCGCATCGGACACCAGTTCGTCCCTAACTAGGCCCCGCCGAGGCCGACTCTCCGGAAAGGTTGCCGGCCTACGCTTGGCGAACCCCAAGAAGCGGCCTCACTCGGACGCGAACAGCCCGGCGTCCAGCGGGAAGGGGACGACAGGTTCCAAGCGCTCACGCATGGCTGTTAATGACTTGGAGGAGGAAGAAGACTACGGGGGCATCGGAGGGGAAGATGCGGACGGTATGAACATAGAGAGCGAGAGCTCCGAATCTTCCGAGGACATGGCCGTGTCCGATGGCGAGCCCGACCAAGTCCCCGCTCGCATAGTCCTTGAAGTCGAGGACCTCCCGTCCACGAGTCCTATGGGGCCCAATGGTACCTGGGTGTGCGAGAACGAAGACTGTGGGCATGTTATTCGTTGCGCGGATGAACCCGAGGGCCAGGAGGCGGTCCGCATGCATCTCCATGAGCATGAGGATAGGAGCCGTAAGGTTCGGTTGGCCATGGCTGAGGGCCGGGCAACCGGTCATCCATCTATTGAGTAAGTTTTGATTCCTGCCTCTTTTGCGTAGGCCGGTCTCGGGGCAAACAAGTCACCATCTGCTAACTTTACATGTCTGCAGTTATCTATTAGAAAAGTTGAAGCAGGTCGGCGGACGGGAGCAGGCGAAACGCGATCCTAATCGACCACAGGCGATCCAGAAGAAGCATGGCCTATTGTTCTAACGGGTGTGATGATGGCCAGCACTTCGTCACTCCACATGCATTGTAGCTATTGTTGGGACGTCTCTTAATGGATTCATCAACTTGGTGGACATGGACCTGATACCCTTAGTTTGAAGGCTGGCATGGCGTTTTGAGAGTGTCTTATTGCTTTTTCTTTCTTCCCCTCTTTTGCCTCCCCCTAGCCCTCTACTTTCTTGCTTTTGCTCTCCCTTTCTTTTGTTTTTTTCCCCTCCTTTTTTGGCTTTTCTTTTCTTCTTTTCGGAGAGTCCTTCGGCGTTTACTCTTTTGGTCAGGCGGTATCTCGGGTTGGTTTGCATGTAGGGAAGGGGCGGACTTAAAAATGGTAGGCAAACGGAAAGGATACGAGAAGGATGTGATATTGAATAAACGACGAGATGCCTTCTCTTGCGCATTAATCGTTTGCACAACACAAACACATAACATTGAAGTCTTTGTTTTCCTTCGTCCTCGTACTTCGTACACTACAAACGGTCTCCACTCCGGCTCGAGCCTCCTTTCAAGCCACACAAAAACAGGGCTGGAGTCTTCTTAGCATCATTAGCTTCCCAATTCGGTCCATTCATCTACAGTTCAGTTCAAAAGGCCCGTTCGGAAATGCTTTTGATTCCTCATCCCAATTCCGATGACCCCATACGAGTACGATGTCTGGTCTGTCAAGAATGCTCCGAACCTCTGTCCGCCGATCGATGAGCTCCCTGTTTCTCATTGATCGAAGCTAAGATTAAAGCTCCGCACCTCACTTCCGCGTCCCCTGAACACCCGCGCGACCCACCCAATGACGACCCCTCTCGGCACCCCAGAGAGGCGCATCCCAGGCGGAGGGTTGTAGCGAATTAGGGGCGCAGATCCTCCCGTCCAGTAACCAGAGAAGGCAGGTCCCTCGATTGCAGCCGTCATCGTCGCAGATACCCTCCCTCGCTTTTCCGCCAAGATCTAGAGGGCGTGGAGGAATGGACGGACTCTTATTCGATAATGTCCATGTCCGCGTCCGGGTTGGGATACCAGAAAGGAAGACCGAGAGAAACCTTCTTTACATGGAGATGGTCGCATTTTTTTTTGGGGACGTATTGAGAATTACTTGCAGTAGGCCTTTTTGTTTCTCTTGATTTTATTGATTTCTCCTCCTTTTTTTTGTTTTTCTTTTCTCGACCGAGGCTAGAATCGTTCTTTTGCATCTTTTTTGCACGAGAGAAAGAAACGTAAACGAAGGCCACATGCAAAATATGAAAAATCGACAATCTTGAACGAGAGGAGAGGACGGATTGCTCGGCAAGCCATTCGCAGCCCTTAAGCAACATGTCGGGATTCTTCTCTACCATTGGGTCGAGATGCTAGATTTCAGCGTCGTATTCGTCGAAGAGCTTCTTTAAGGCTTCTCGCGACACTGCCGGGTGCCGGACGATCGTGAAGAACTGGCTCACACGGGATCATGGTCCGGTGAAGATTTCCGTCGAAGGGCCCGATGCTTAGCTGCACATTTAGCATCGGGATTTGCCTTTTTGTGAACATGTAGGGTTGATCGGGATACAGGGACGTGACCTGTCCAGGTGGTGGGTGGGATCAGAGTCAAGGTGGCAGGGGTGTGAGAGCTGTGAGGGACAATGGAGGGTTTGCCTTAGTCGCCAAGGTCGTGTGGAGTGTTGAAGACGATCCCGTCCCCAAAGAGGAAATGATTTGGTATAAGAGGGAACGGAGACCGTCGACTTATTTATTTCTTTTCTTTTACAGATATTCTCATCAGTGAGCTCGGCGTCCAGAGATCTCGGGAGCTTCGAAGATCCCCTTCCGGATTTTATTGTCTTTCTTAGATATTACTTGTTGTCCTCGTGTTACATCTTTGTGCTTCTACTCTCACGATGCGTTTCCTTCGCGTCGCATGCGTGGCTCTCGGCCTTGGCCGGGCCGTCGCCCTGTCCACCGCGGCTCCGGATGTCGAGCCCCGAGCGGAGTTGCAGTCTCTCGTCGAGAGGGGACTTGCCGAGGATCTCTGGGACGAGATTAAAGACGGCGCGTCTTGCGCTGGCTGTGAGGTAAGTTTTGTTTAAGAGATGAAAGGAGATAAAAAAAAAAAAAATGGTTGTAGACATGGACTTACACTGGCATCGTTCTTAGGCCATCATCATCCTGCTCAAGGGTCTCGCTCTCTTGGGAGACAAGATCTTCGTCAAGACTCTGCAAGAAATCTGCAAGCTGTCCAACGTAAACTAACACCCGCCTTGAGCCTTTTAAATTTCCAAGACCTGTGCTAATCATCCCACCAGGCCGAGGACGACGACGTCTGCGAGGGAGCCATCGGCCTCGAAGGCCCCATCATCGCCCGCTCCATCCGCAACATGAAGGTCCCCAGCCAGACCTCCAAGCTCTTCTGCCTCAACTTCCTCGGCGTCTGCGACTTCCCCGCCGTCACGCCCTTCCAAGTCCCTCTGCCTAGCGAGAAGCCCGCCGGCTTGACGAGGCCCGGCCCGAGCGGAAAGGCGCCGATCAAGATTGTGCATTACTCTGATGTGCACACCGATCATTTGTACACGCCTGGATCGACGGCGAACTGTACGAAGCCCATCTGCTGCAGGTAAGATTCTGTGAGAGAAAAGCCAACCCCCATGTCTGGCGTCGTCACCACGGGGGGCTTCCGTTCTTGATTTGGGATGCGATTTTCTCTTTTGCTAACCAACTCGGGGAACTTGTCTAAAGGCCTTACACCAAGGACGATGCTCCAGGTGTTAGCAACTCCCCGGCCGGTCCCAACGGTGACCATCACTGCGACACGCCTATCACTCTCGAGCAAAGCATGTACGCCGCCATCAACGAGTTTGCGCCCGATGCCGCCTTCTCCATCTGCACCGGCGACATTGTCGACCACACCGTCTGGAACACCTCCAAGGAATTCAACACCATTTCCAGTGAGTAAACCCCCCTTACCTCGTATCTCCCCCGAGAACTGAAAACATACTAACTATTCCAAGTCAACGGCGTCTACAGCCGCATGGCCGCCGCCCTCGGCACCGTCTACGGCGCAGCCGGCAACCACGAAGCCCACCCAACCAACGCTTTTGCTCCGTCGTCCATCAACTCCGACGCCCAATGGGTCTACTCCCTCCTTTCCAATGCCTGGACGCGCTGGATCGGCGCCGACGCCGCCTCCACGACCCAGCGCCAGGGCCGCTACTCCATCCTGCACCCGGGCAGCAAGCTCCGCATCATCAGCCTCAACACCAACATGTACTACGTGCAGAACTACTGGCTGTACCAGCGTGACATGGAGCGGGACCCAGAGTCGCAGATCGCCTGGTTCGCCTCGGAGCTCGACGCCGCCGAGCGCAACAAGGAACGCGTGTATGTTATTGGTCACATGCCCCTTGGTGATCGCGACGCCTTCCATGATCAGAGTAACTACATCGATCAGCTTGTCGCGCGGTACTCTGATACCATCGCCGCCATGTTCTTCGGGCACACCCACGTCGACGAATTCCAAGTCTCCTACGCCGCCTACGGCAACGGCGCCTCCCGCAATGTCAACGACGCCCGCGCCATCTCTTACATCGCGCCCTCTCTCACCCCCACCAGCGGCATGCCCTCCTTCAGGGTCTACTCCGTCGACCCGGACACCTTCGCCGTCCTCGACGCAGTGACCTACATCGCCGACATGTCCAAGCCCGAGTTCCAGACCTCCACGCCCAAGTGGCAGAAATACTACTCGGCCAAGGAAACTTACGGTCCCCTCGTCAACCCCCCCGTCACCGATCCCGCGGAGGAACTCACCCCTGCCTTCTGGCACCGCCTCACCGAGACCTTCGCGGCTAACCAGTCCGCCTTTGACGGCTACGTCCTCCGCAAGTCCCGCGGCTGGAAGGCCGACGACTCGTCTTGCGCCGGTGCCTGCCGCGACAACGAGGTCTGCTACATGAGGGGCGGTCGTGCGGAGAATAACTGCTACGATCCCGAGCCTGGCGTGCATTTCAGTAAGAGGGCGCTGAACCCCGTCGAGGAGAGGGATGACTGCGGTATCTCTGTGTCGAGGGCCACTATTGGTTCTTTGGCTGTTAGGAGGGATTCGCTCCGCTTGTTGAAGAAGAGGGCTTTGGAGAACAATGCTCCCTTGATGCTTTAAGGGGACGGGTGGTGCATGGAGGGGACTGGAGTCGCTGGCGGTGTTGTTTGGACTTATTTCTACATTCTGATCTTGAGCGTCTTTTTTCACTTCACGGCGGGAGTATTTTGGATGAGAACATGAAGCTGTAACGTAATGTTTTATTTACTTGAGGTGCATATATAGATTCAGGTATTGGGGAGAACCTACGCGCTACATATTTGGCTTCACGCTACACCATACGTGTATGATTTGTGACGTGTTCACCAACAGGCTGGACATATGAAATGCTTGGAGTAAATATAAATAGAAAAAAGAAAACAGAATCAACTTGAACTAGAGCCAGCGTTCACATGCTAAACCCACGTGATACCAAAACACTTTGAACCCAACAAGACCGTTTCTGATCATCCCGATTCGCTTCAATAGAGAACAACCGCGCTATATCCTCTGTCGGTTTGGTATGCGGACTTTCATGAGCCTACCAACTGTCGTCCAAAGTGGTCCAACGGAGATGAAGAATTCGTCCCCCATAAGCCATTCCCTGACGACAAATGGCAGGCCCAGTCCCCCGTCCCCATCAGAAAGCAAGGTTCGATTTGACACTATCGCAAGAAAACAGCACTATTGATGCCACTATAACCAATGCCATGCGCGCCCATCTCTTCTTTTCTCCAATATTACTCGCCCAAAACATCGGCGAACTTGTTTGTCATTTCTTGATGGATGTCCGCGTACTGAAGAAGTCGTCAAATGTTAGCAATGGATAAACAGAGGTATTGATGTAACACAAGGAGGGTACGGGCAAAAGAAAACGGGAAAAAAAAAAAAGAGAGGGAAAGATCCTTACTCTCCTGCAGATAACGTCCTTTCCTTCCGTAGGCACCTCAAACTTTAACCGACGCAGCTTATTCTGAAGTTCGCTCGTCGCGGCCGAAATGTCAGACCACTTCTGCTCTTGCCCAATAGCCTTAAGGGACTCATCGTAAAACCCGACAATGAGCTTCATCATCCACTCCGTCTTCCAGAGAGGGCAGAACTGATCGTAGTCCGAGTAACCGTTCTGCTGCAAAAAGTCGTCCTTGATGATCCTGGCAATATCAAGGATGAGCGTGTCCTCGTCGCCGAGACCCGATCGACCGACGAGCTGCACGACCTGATCGAGCTCCTCGGACTTGGTGAGCAGTTGCTTGACGGCGAGACGGAGGCGCGCAAAGTCCGGGTGATCACCCTGGTACCACTTGTCTAGTACGTCGGTATACTTGGAATAGGAGAGCTTGGTGTTGATCGAAGGGAAGTGCTTTCTTTGCGCAAGCTTCTTGTCAAGACCCCAGAAGACCTGGACAATGCTGAGCGTTGCGCTCGTGACGGGATCCGAAAAGTCACCACCAGGAGGACTGACGGCAGCTACGATGCTGACGCTTCCGACACGCTCGGGAGAGCCCAGCGCAACGGCCTTGCCCGCACGTTCGTAGAAACTGGCCAGCTTCGCACCAAGATAGGCTGGGAAGCCTTGATCAGCCGGCATCTCACCCAGACGACCGGAAATTTCGCGGAGAGCCTCGGCCCATCGAGACGAAGAGTCCGCCATCATAGCAACGTTGAGACCCTGGTCACGGAAGTACTCGGCTACCGTGATACCGGTGTAAATCGACGCTTCTCGGGCGGCCACGGGCATGTTGGACGTGTTGGCGATAAGGCAGGTACGCTTCATGATGGGCTCCTTCCTGCCATCGACCTCGATGGTGAGCTCTGGGAAGTCCTTCAAGACTTCAGCCATCTCGTTTCCTCGCTCTCCACATCCTACGTAGACGATCACGTCACTGTTCGAGAACTTGGACACGGACTGACTAATGACAGTCTTGCCGCAACCGAAAGCCCCGGGAATGGCAATGGTACCGCCCTGGACTGCCGGGAACAAGGCGTCGAGCACACGCTGACCGACGATGAAGGGCTGGTCGGGGGTAAGCTTCTCGTTCGTAATTCGCGGAACACGGACGGGCCAGGACTGCATCATGGGATACTCCGAGACTTGGCCCTGGAATTCCACAGTCAAGAGGGGCTCCTCGACGGTATATTCGCCTTTGGGGGCGATCTTAGTGATGACACCGCCGACTTTTCGCGGAGGGAAAAGAATACGGTGGACTTGGATGAAGGAGTTTTCGTATACGGTGCCCCAGACATCGCCACTGGAAATGTGGTCTCCGACCTTTAGCGTAGGAGTAAACTCCCATTTCTTGGTACGGTCGAGGGCGGGCAGGGCGATACCGCGGGGAATATAGATGCTGTTCGTAATCTCCGCAATCTTTGCAAGAGGTCGCTGAATACCATCATAAATGTTGTCGAGTAGGCCAGGTCCAAGTTCGACGGAGAGGGGCTTTCCGGTTCGTCGGACGGGATCTCCAACTCGTAGACCGGCTAGTTTTCGGGTCAGCTTCCTTGTGAGGGCCGAGGCCACCGACGATGGAAGTAAGTAAGTTATCTGCCAGAGGGGTGCTACTTACAAGTCTCCTCGTATACCTGGATAGTAGCTTGGTCTTCGCGAATGCTAATAACTTCGCCGGCCAGTTTCTGGTTGCCAACTTGGACCTATTCGGCAGGCACTGAGGTCAGCAAAAGCAGCCACTGCAGGTGGAATGGACATAACACGATTATTCCCAAGCATGCCGAAGTAGAAGAAAAATGCTAGGGAGGCCGGAAAAAAACCTACCAGTTCGTACATAGCAACACCAAGCATATCCTCAGCAATCACGACAGGTCTATAGTCAACAGGTCCAGCTGTCAGCACGGCGTCCACATATATATATATATATATTATTTAGCGGGCAGGGCAGATTCGATCAGACGCTGCATCCCCAATCACGTCGCAAAGGGAGGGACTGGGCGGAGGGAGAATGTGGCTTGTACTAACCCGGAGACGGAGTAGATAACACCTGGAAAGCATTATTTAGTTAGATACGGCCATTTCGCTCGAATACGGATTTCAGAGAGAAGCGGCCTACCATGCTTGAAACTCTCGGGCCCCGATGATGCAGCCAGGGCCTTTGCTTTGGCCCGCTTCTCGCTATTCTGCGCACCATGTTAGGACATTCGATCGGAGGGCTCCGGATATGTAGCCATGTGGTGAGGGTAGCACAGGCGAGGAGCCACCGCGGTATGGAGGGGTGATTGGAGGGGCTGATAAATCACGTACGGACGCCATCTTGACAGGATCACGGCTCTCGGTTTCGGAGGTTGCGGATAATTCTACGGACGGAGACGGCTCTCCTGATAATATCGGGGTAGTTGTGGGAGAGGCGGCGGGCCGTGTGCGATGTTGGAGAGGAGGTGGTTGTGGAGGAGAATGCGGTCGTTGAGGTGGTGGTGGAGGAGGTGGGATGGAGACCAGGGAAGCTTTGTCGAGAACAAGGCAGGAGGTTATAGCTTCGATGTCTTGGCGGGCCAATGGCTGGGCTCGTTCAGATGTGGTGGCAGGGCCTGGCGCTGGTGGGGATGACGTCTTCCCAGTCTTTGGACTCTTTGGACTAGCAGAATTGGTATAATGATCGAGATTGGGTAAATCGGGGGCGCTCTTGTGAAAATCACACTCGGCGCTAGGCTGCAGCTTTAGGTCTTGGAGTGACTTCAATTGCTGTTCCTGGGGTGGTTTAGGGCCTAATTCAGCAGCTGGGAGGGGCTCAAGCTCTCCGGTAGCTGCTGTTTGAGGGCCTAGAATGGGTGACTCAGCAGGTGTCTCGCCCAAGCTGCCTTCGAATTGTTCTGTTTCCGCTGTTGTCGCCGCTGCTGCATGTGGTGTCTGCACAAGGAGATGTTGATTTGTGTCGCCTTGCTCCGGTGGTGCGGCCTCAAAAGCCAAGTCTCTAATACCCATTACTGTCGTTTGTGGGTGTGACTCTACCATCTGCTTCTGTCCTCCCATCGCAGAATCCGGTATGCTCTCTTCAGCCGGTTCCTCTGCGATCTCGTCTCTTTCCTTGAGAGTTGTAATATCCATATCCACGACTTTACCGGTAGGGCTCATCTCCTCCATCTCCTCGGCAGCAGCCTGCGCCAGCGCGTCTGCTACCAGTTCTGGATTTGGAGGTCGGCTGGATGGTGATAGCACATGATTGGTATTCTGGCCAGATCCAACCAGCAAGTCCACCAGCGACCGTCGCGCCCTCAAGCGGGGCCGGAGACCGATGGGCTGCATGAGACTAGCAGGTGACGATTGCCCCCCAAAAAGGAAGACCAGAAGTGTGACTGGATCAAGCTTCAATCGTCGTGTAACAGACCTTGACCAGTCGCGTCTAAACCCGAGTTTGGCTATTTGACAAACGTGGTAGGTATGGAGGAATTTGCAATTTTCCTTCTTAAAACGAGACACACTGGCCGCCTTATGATGTTATAGAGCAGTGCTTCGTTACAAGGCGAGTAATGTTGCGCGGCGCATCGTCGTGTAATTCTTGTGGAAGGGACATCCTACGAGGGGAGAGATTCATTCCGAAGTCGTCATCACGGGAGACCCGTGTTTTTGATCCCTCGAAACGGAGAAGAATCCAGATGACACGAGAGAGCTGGGCTGGCTTGGCCTAGAATAACACTTAAGTGGGATAAAATACTTGAACAGATCAACATCCTCTCACAAATCCCAGGTTATGGTGACCTTGAGCTGCTGGAACATCCACGTCCACATCCGTGATCCGTGACGACCGCCGCATGACCACGCCTGTTACATCATATTTGATCGTGCCCTAAGCCAAAGCCAGCACTGGGCACTTGTCATGCTACACCGTAAGGCTTATTGATGCTCATAGGCGTTGGGGCTGGCTCGCGGCACTGCATATTATACTCGGGAATTAAAGATTTTTTTGCTTGTTCAATCGATTCCGTCCCTCCTCGTCTTTTACCTTTCCTGATTATGGATCTAGATTATGCCTGCATCAAATGAAATATAGTGCCACATCTTTCCTCCATCTATTTCATAGGGCCTGTTTCCTCCAGCCGTAGACATCGGGACCGCCAGACCGCCAGATTATATGTGATTGATGTAATTTTTCAAGGTTTACCCCGATAAGCTTAAACCCGCCCAACATGGTTTCATGTCTGATCTGGAGCACGGCTGGCTGGCTGTTGTTGTCAGTCGCGACTTTTCATGCTCCAGTCCCTCTCTAGTCCATCGGCGGGGTGGCGATGGATGTTTTCGTGACTACCGAGCCGGACACCCATCGCCATCGCCATCATCGCCAGCACCTTCGTCTCCGTCTCCACCTCCATTCTGTTTCTCCCCATCCTTTGTACATTCGCTCACCCCAACGGCATCAATGATACGTCTACAAAGGATGGACTCGTACTCAACAATTGCAGTACTTACCTAAAGGTACCAAATTAGTGCATTGCTGATGATTCATCATCTATCGTGAGTGCTACAGTACAATTGTACTGAGCACAGCGACCACTTCTTTCACCTACGGTAGCCGAGCTCGGTCACCTTCGCCCTCTCAGGATCAAATCAGCTTCATTCTTTTTAACATTGCACACTCACACACCGCATTTTGCACACTTCTGGTGAGTTGAATTCCCTAATATATATGTCAATTGAATATGTTAACAGAGAAATACCTTGGAAATCCCAGGAGGCTTGTGAAGTCTATTTGTGGTATCTTATCTTGAGTTGTATCCCTGGGCGAGTCAGTTATCTACCTCTCGATTATCTCCCCTTTCAAGATTGAAATTTAAACATTTCACCCAACATGGCGCTTCCGGATGCCCTCTCCGATATGGAGCACCCCTGCCTCCATCCAGAATCCCGAGTCCTGATCATTGCGACGGGAGGAACCATCTGTATGCAGCCAACTCCCGATGGCCTTCAGCCCATGGGCGGCTTCCTAGAGAGCGCCATGGCTCCCAGGCCCTGCTTCAACGACAAGTCGTCTCCTCATGGTAAACTTCCCCTTTTCCTCTATAGACCTAGGGTCGTGAAACCCCCAAGCGGAAAAAAAAAAAAAATAGAGGACTCACGAGACATAATATCTAGTCCAACTGCAGGCTTTCCATAAAGGGAAGGAGCTTTCGTTAGACAGTCTTCGGACCCCTCCCAGCGCATACTCCCGCCACATACGCTACGGCATTCTTGAGTTCAATCCCCTTCTCGATTCGAGCTCGATTTCGTGCCAGGGATGGAAGGCCATCGCCGAGACCGTCAAGGAGAATTACTCTCTCTTTGACGGTTTCGTCATCCTTCATGGAACGGATTCGCTGTCTTATAGCGCATCGGCCCTCTCCTTCATGATGTCCGATCTCGGAAAGCCCGTGATTCTCACCGGGTCACAGGCTCCCATCTTTGCCCTCCAATCCGACGCCGTCGACAATCTCCTGGGATCTCTCATTATCGCGGGAACGTTTGTTATTCCCGAAGTATGCCTATTCTTCCACCACAAGCTCTTCCGAGGCAACCGCACGGCCAAGGTCTCCGCTTCCTCTTTCGAGGCCTTTGAAAGTCCCAATTTTGAGCCCCTAGCTAAGGTCAATGGGCTTGGTATTGACGTCAATTGGACGCTCGTCAACCGACCCAAGAGGTTGTCCGAGTTCCGGATTTCGACCAATCTCGACACCGCTCATGTTGCATGCCTCTGGATATTCCCCGGAATCCAGCCAGAAATGGTCGACTCGGTGCTACGTCTACCTCACCTACGCGGCCTTGTCCTGGCCTCGTTCGGTATGGGGAACACGCCCGGCGGTGTTGACGGGGGCCTAACGAGAGTCATCCGGGAAGCGATCCAGAGAGGCGTAATTGTCGTCAACGTCTCGCAGTGCACGTCGGGGTTCGTATCCCCAATCTACGGGCCCGGCACCGAACTAGGTCGCGCCGGTGTTATCTTCGGCCTAGATCTCACAATTGAAGCGGCCCTGACGAAACTATCCTACCTTCTCGGCATCCAAGGATTGACGCCGGCAGAGATATCGCAGCAAATGTCCCGGTCCCTCCGAGGCGAAATGACCGAGCGATCCTTGCCGGTATTCTCGCACCCCGCAGAATCAATCGACGCAGCCGCCAGCCTCCTCACCGCCGCCGACGCCGCCTTCACCGCCCTCGGATACGCTATTAGGAACGGCGACCTGCCCACCGTCAAGGACATCTTAGCGGGGGACGAGGTGACGATGCTTAAGAAAGTCGACTACGCCGGTAACACGGCCGTTCACCTCGCCGCCCTTGGGCCGAATCCGGATATCATGAGGTTGCTTCTCGAGAAGGGCGCGAGTGTCCATTTGAGGAACTGGGCGGATAATACGCCGCTGTTCCTGGCTGAGCGTGCGGGGAACAAGCAGTGCGCGATGCTGCTTAGGGAGACGGGTGCGCATCTGTGGAGGAACATTGACACGTCGTCTAAGCAGAACGGGGACGATTCGGGAAGGAACTGAGTTTTTTTCCTTGCCATTTGTCTAGACTGGTGGTGCATAATCGATAGAGCTGTCTCAAGGGAATTGTGTTGGACAAGGTCAAGGCTAAGGGCTCCGTTATAGAAGCTGTCTGTTCTCAGCGTAGAGGTGGGAAAGATGTAGAGGAACAGCACGAGGGCAATGATAGAACACACAACTTTTGAGTTCAACTGTTTTGTGTCAGTAGGTCCTGTTGTTCGGTTATAGGAGTGACAACATGGGAATACCCCATGAAAACGAAGAAATTGGGCAGAGGGCAGTGGAAGGCTCGTGATTTGATCCTTAGAGACCCTGAGAAGATAGAGAACCGATCTATATTCGTACTCTCACAGAGCATCAAGATCATCAGAAGTAATGAAATCAAGATAAAACATGAACGAAGTAAACCCAAGCCTTTGAATCCTTACGAACCCCTCATTTATTTTGTGTGCCGGTATCGCTCAGACCATAAAACACACCGTATGTGTAAACTCTTAAGAGACAAAGAAACCTGTAACTCCGTTGAAAATGATCCCCATGCCATCCTCATCATGAAAAAGGAGAAAAGAAAAGAGAATAAAAAAATCGTCAACTTATTCTGACAACTTTCAAATGCCATTTTGGTTTTGTTCTCCCTCGGTGACCATACGCCGGAGTTCCCACTCTCGAGTGAACTCTTGGCTGAGATGGTTGAGATCCCTGAGTAGCTTCTCGAGGACGGAGAGGAGGGCTTCCTTGGGGGTTATGGTGCCGTCTGTTTGGATCCGGATAAAGAGCTCAGGCACGTTAGGGTGAGAAACTGAGTGATTGCGTTAGCCTCTGTTTATGGCTATGATGCGTTCGAATAAGGTACCTTTGTATCCGGCCATCAGGACGTTTCGGTGCTTCTTGAGCTGCTCCGAGACTAGGTTGCCAATGGTGTGGTCTTCTTTCTTGATGACAAAGTCGGAACAGTTGGGAATGGCTTCGAAGTGGTCAGTTTTGGCTCCAAATGGGCCAGAATCCTGGCATAATGGAGAGTTAGATCAAGGACGTACCAGTGAAGGGAACCTCCTCGCATTTCTTCTCCCCTTCTCCAAGGAGGAACAGCTCGAACCTATCTCGTAATTAGACTGCACATTCTTATATCTTATATATAGAAACAATAGACCTGGGAATAGGGCGACGAGAAATGAAGAGGGACAAGCCGCGTCCCAACGCGTCAATCAGGGCAGGCCAGAGCCTTGAGCAGATTCCCAGGATCCGAGCACATATTACACTTACCTATCGGGAGCGTTCATCCTGGCGACTCGGGGGAGTTGTTATAGAGATATTTTAAAAATAGGGACTGGATAATTTATGGGGGCGTCAAATAGAATACTATGGAAACTGATGAGGCTCGGTGGCTTATTGTGAGGTAGTATTAGAGTCGAAAAGGAATAAGGAAGACCTGTAAGGACTAAACCCCCAAATCCTTTTTGGCTCTCGAATAAAATGATGAGGAAGATTTTGTTGTTGTTAGTGAGAGGATCTCGTCGTTGATGGAAGGATTATCTTTATCGTGGTGATGAGATCTGAAGAAGTTGAGAATGCAGGTTTGTTGATTACATAAGCGATTCACCAAGCTCGAAGACTCATTTGGCATTGTCCAGGCTTCATTGAGAAGCTCGAACACAGCTCGAGGACCCTTGGACGAACGAAACATAATATCAACACCGGGAAAAGGCGAAAAGGAATTCTATAAGTATATCTCATTGTATATACAACTCCGTAGTTAATGCCCCGAATTTCCCTCCATCAACTCCGCCAAGCCTACACTATTTCCCCCCTCCTCTCACGCCTCCTACCAGCCTGTAGGGATCTCACATCCGCCAAAAACGAGCTCCGATGGCTCCAAGAGCACGCCGTCGCGGCCTCGCAAGATGCGCCCGTCCCAGGCCGACGACGACGGCGCCACCACCTGGCCACGATGTGTGAGCGCCGGCGTCGGGGCGTTCCGCTCCAGTACATTCTCGGCACCCAACCATTCGGGGACCTCGACATCCAGTGCGCTCCGGGCGTTTTGATTCCACGGCCCGAGACTGAGGCGTACACGGCTCACCTCGCGCACTTATTAAAACAGAAAGATTTCCTAGGTTCCCGTGATAGCCCCCCCACCAAGGATCCTCAGCCTCTTCGAATCATAGACTTTTGCACGGGCACCGGTTGTATCCCTTTACTCCTCTACTCACTCCTAGCCCACCGCTTCCCAAACCTCACCATCCACGGCATCGACATCTCCCCCACCGCCCTCCGCCTCTCCAACCGTAACCTCCGCTCGGCCCTCTCCTCGGCTCAGATCCCCCCTCCAAGCCCTACGCAATCCATCTCCTTCCATCACGGGGACGTCCTGTCCAAGGACTGGATCGACGCGCACCTTTCTGGAAAGAAATACGACGTCCTCATCTCGAACCCGCCCTACGTCTCCTCGGAAGCTTGGAACTTAGCCCGCGAGGGCCTCAGCTACTCGGCGCGCAAGTACGAGCCGAAACTTGCCCTTGTGCCGGGTGATGATGTGCGCTTACCACCAGGGAATTGCTGCAGGCACGAGGACGTGTTTTACGCCGCGTTGTTGGACATCGCGGTTCTTCTTGACCCTGGCGCTGTGGTTTTCGAGTTTGGAGGCGGAGAGCAGGGAAAGAGGGTCCTTCGGATGGCGATGGCGCATCCTTTTGGGAGGAATGCGGATTTTGAATTGTGGAGGGATTACCCCGATTTGGACCCCTTGCACCTGGACGAGGTGGTTGTTGATGAGATAGGGGCTTCCCTTAGAGTGACGGACGATTCAGGTATCGAAAGAGTGGTCCCTGTCATGGGATGTGGGAATATCCGATCGATTCTCATAAGAAAAGAGGCAAGAAGTGATGATCGTGTAAGATAGCGTAATTAACGTGTACATCATAAGTCGTCTACATAAATGATACCCTAACTCTTGCAACGTTTCTAGGGTTTTCATACCCTAGGCCCAGCCCTGGAACCTGGTGCCACGTATTCCGGTCTCCAGCATCTCCGCAAGTAAATCCCACTTGGAAGCCGCTGGGTCGCTTGTTGCTCTTGCAACGGCTCTCAACCCGTCGCTTACAAACTTGAGATGTCTGTCGAAGGCTGAATGTATGCCCAAAACAATATCCTTAAACGACCTCATGTCATGGCTGTCATCAAGCCGACTATGGACACTCGCGTCATCATCGTCATCGTCGTCGTCCGAAGTGTCGGCATTCCGTCTCGAGCTAGCAGTGGTGCGACGGGATGGTGTCGCCCTCAGTGGAGGCCGAGCCGGCGACGATATGACTGATAGACGAGATATTTCCTGCATCTCTTCGCTCTCTTTCAACGCATTGAGAACATACGCCTTCTCTAACTGAATCGTCAAGTCAAGGATGTCGAGAATACCGTCGCGAATGGGCCTCAATTTGCTTCCCAGACAACATTCATCAAGCACACGTTTCGTGAAGGCGAGATGGACCTCCGTCATGGCATCGACATCATGGGATTCTTCAAGATCAGCCCGCAATCTTCCACAATTCGGGGCCAGCACAAGAGTTGTCAAGTAGCTCTGGAAGGTGCTGCAGAACCAGAGTAACTTGGAACGGACGAGATAATAGGTGCTTCGATCGTCCCAGTTCTCTGCGTCGGTCACATCGTTGGCAAGGAGCCGGTGCTTTTTCAGCATGTAATATGCGCGGCGCAGCTGGAGAAGCAACGTGAAAACACTCTTGTATCTCGCAATGCTTTCCTCCGCTAATATCATCTGGACTGGCCACCGGACGGTATAGGATAGGGTGACTTCCGGAAGGAGCTTTCGAACAAAATCCCGTGCCGTGATGGCGGGAATGCGCCGACCACGTGGCTCAATCATGACGGAGATGCGGTGATGGGCCAAGCGGGATGAGTACACTTCCTGTGCAAGCGCAGTCACCGCATACCTGTCGCGCCAGCCTACGTTCAGCGCATCAAGTTTCTTAAAGATGGATGTGCAAAACGAGTCCGCCAAGTAACCGTCTGACATAAAGTACAGGACCTGCATAGCCTCGAGATCTGTCCACAGGCCGCAGGATTCCAAAAGGATGTTTTTCAGGGCGAGCGCAGTGGCTTGGTGCTTGCTCTCAATCCATCTTTCAAAAGCGCTATCGAAGAGCTCGGTAAATGGGGCGAGGTCTGACGAAGAGGCGAACATGGTGTCGAAATCGAAGATGGGGGTCTTGTCTTCTCCGAGACCGCCGTTCCTCACGCGAGTATATTTGCCCAGATGCTTGAGAATCACAATACTTTTCCCAGCGATAAATATTTTGTTGGCAGACGGGGAGAGAAAGGCCGGAGCGTACAGGCTGCCATCCGCGGTACGCCTAAGCCTGAATTGGCTCGCCCAGATCTGATTGAGTGGCACATGAGTTGCGGACTGGGACACAAAGAAGATTTTATCTCCAGGTACCAGCTCGCCCTCCTGCATCCAAAGCCGAATTGGGCGCATGTAGTAACGGAAGCAGTCGAAGAAGATGCGCCCTAAAACTTGGAAGGTGGCCCTTCTTCCGGCGACTTGAGCGATACCGATCTCCTGGAATAGGAGTTCAAGGTACCGAAAAGAGCCTTGATTTGGCTCCTCAAGCTGCTGTAGGATTTCAGAGAGCTTGTTCAGAGGTTCCAGGGGAGCTCGTAGCTCATCTGATACGGCCAACAGGCTGACAATTACGTCCTGTTCGAGGCCTATAAGGCGAGCCTCGATGTCCGTCACCTGGCCATCAAAGGAATGCAAAACCCGCGTGACGCAGTCTTGAAACACCTGTATGTGAGGTGCGGTCTGAAAGCGCCCAGAAAAGGCACGCAAGACGCCCAATTTTCGCCCCGTTTGAGCGAAAGAGGTGATGAGAGACTTGTACGTCTCCCACGAGACGTCGGATATTTGATAGGCAAAATTCGGAACGTAGTCCTTTGAGAATAAGGTCGTGCTGTGACCTCTCAACATGGAGAGGAATTCCCGGAGAACCTGTAACTCGTCGATGGCGACCTTCCGAGACTTGTCCTCCGAGAGTTGGAACGGCGTATGTAACCTCCACTCCTGGGCTTTCGTCAAGGCGTCTAGGGTTGGGCGGTCTTGGCAGTCGACGACCAGGTCCTCTGTAGTCCGCGTTGGGTCTGGGACTTGTTCAGACACGGGCGAGTCGGGTTCGCTACCAGAATCAGACAAGAACTCATCGTAGGCGTCACCGTCGGAATCGTGAAAATCAATGGACGCCCATAAGTCCGGTTCGTTAGCCCATCCATCCTCCTTTGCGATGTCCTCCCATCTCAATTGCGGTTCGGGTTCTGGAGCGGGCGGCCGGAGATCATCAAGGTCTTCAAGCCTCGTGTTCTGAAGAGGGCGATCAGATAGTTCTAGAAGAAGATGGAGAAAGTCGGGGTGCCATTGCGCTTCCACGGTACCCAAGGTGTTTAGGCGTTCGCGTAAGGAATCCGCTAGAGCCTCGCGGTGATGGATTCGAAACGTTTCTTCCAGGCCATTCAATGTTTTCTCGACCTCGAACTGGTTTGTGCGGAGGAAATTATGAGTGAGGAGGCGGCGCACTGCGCGTTCGCGGTATTGGCTGAACTTTTTGGCTTGGGACTGAAAAATAAATGCGAGTCAGAACTCTGGCCACGGACGCAACACGACGGAAATAACGCTAGCTCAGCGGTACTGCCTGGTGTTTCGCCAACGAACCTTTTGGGACACACCGGTGATAGCTTTTACGAGATCACCTGTGAGTGCGGCAAGCTCTGCCTGGAAGGCCATTGCGGATAATTATTGATTGTGTTACCAGTGGAAGTGGGCAGGCGAAGGTCATCTTGGCAATAAAAGCCAATCCATTTCAATACCTAACGCGGACAGGATACTTTTCGAAATCGAATGTGAGAAGGCGCGTGGGACCTGGTTAAAGGTATTTTGGTTGTAGAGGTCGATTTAAAGCTCTGGTCAAACGACAAACGAGGGGCAGCTTAATTGTTGGTGTCCCTTCAACGCGACGCGAATTGCCAGTTTAAGGCTTTGAGAGCAAAGACGACCCATTGTCGCTTGGAGGAAAGAATGGCGCTGACTAACAGAAAATCCCAAGACAATTGTACAACGTGGGAACTGGGATCTCATACAATTGTTGCCAATTGACAAGGCACACTCTTCAATATTCTCGATATGCTTTCAACATGCTCCCTTCAAGGCAACGAGAGGGAGTGTCCGATCGCTTGGTCTGTTGGCGTCAACCTGGTTTCTGTTCTAAATAAGACCTACCTTTGCTTCAGGGACGTCAAATCTTGATAAATATATTTGATATAGGCTGAAGTGTGTGCATCTCAATGTTCATCATTCGCTTTGCGACGCTGTCATAAATTGTTAGGAGATCTAGATGTACGATGTACCAAGTAACTTATTGTTCTTTCCAACAAGGCTTGGGCTCCGCCAATTGCCAATGCGACCCTGGAAAATCGTCGATCGAAGCTTTTCCCCCCTGCTTCTACGTTGTATCCTTCGACGCCCTCTCTGATCTGACCCACGTCCAGCCAAGCCATTCCACTTCGGTTTCTAATTTTTCTGGGTTTCCTACTGTTCGTTGACGATAAATGTTTTAGGGTCAGGAGGCCATTGTTTTCTTGCCTTGCTCTTGTCTTTTTTTCGTTTTATCTTCCCGTGTCTCGTCGTCCAGTGTTTGACAAGCCCGAGATGTCCGCAACGGCCTAGTGCATTCCATTACAATTACATTGCCCCCTTTTTTTCCCATCAGGTCCTCTGATCCTGCAAACTTCTTGTTCCGCCCTCAACGCCACCCGTCTCTCTTCTCTCCAGGAGAAAAGGAAGGATACATCAAGAGCGCATCTCCTCATTTCCCCCCTAACGACCTTTAATCCTCGGAGTGGTTTATTTTCTCTTCGTCTTTCTTTTTGCTACGCTTTGCGCCTTCAATTCCAAAAGCCCGACTTAACGACGTGACTTGGTCCATCTTGGAGATTCTGCCCTAGCTGCCCCTTCCACGCGCTGATATCGCCAGCTCACGCGCAATCCTTTTGAAATGGCTGTAGCCAGGCCAGTACGAGCTCTTGGGCTCGCCGCCATCGTCTTATGGTGCTTCTTTCTCTATCAGATGTTCTCGCCCACCGTCCAGCCGATAGCGCCGTCGACAGACAATCCGAAGCTCGAAAATATGGAGCACGACCCTATGGGGGATCGTACGTCAAGTCCACCCCCTTAAGCCGGCTTTTGAATGAACGATGCAGATCCGACGACAAGATTAACTGTGCACTAACGTCCTTTTTCAATTCTGTATAGCTACTGGAGAGCCCGAGGGAGTCCTACACCGTGCCTCCGACCGCTACGCGCCCGGCATCGAAGACTCCGACAGGATTAGCGCCACACTCCTAGCTCTTGTAAGGAACGAGGAGATGGACGGAATGGTCCAGGCGATGGAAGATCTGGAGCGAACATGGAACCACAAGTTCAACTACCCCTGGACCTTCTTCAATGATGTTGCCTTCTCCGACGAGTTCAAGGCCAAGACCTCTGCTGCCACAAAGGCCGAGTGTAGATACGGTACGTGATGGTGCATAGAGGGGATAAGGAATGTCATTTGCGCCTCCGTTTGACTAACCATTGCGCGCTCGATATAGAGGTTATCCCCAAGGAGCACTGGGAAGTGCCATCGTGGATCAACTCTGACCTCCAAGATGCCTCGGCCAAACTCCTCGAAGATAGCGGTGTCCAGTATGCGAAGATGACTTCTTACCACCAGATGTGTCGGTGGAACAGCGGCATGTTCTACAAGCACCCCGCGCTCAAGGACGTCCAGTACTACTGGCGCGTCGAGCCCAACGTCCACTTCTTCTGCGATGTCGATTACGATGTGTTCCGATTCATGCAGGACAACAACAAGACCTACGGCTTCACGATCAACCTCTACGACGACCCCAAGTCCATCGAAACTCTTTGGCCCGAGACCCTCAAGTTCATCGCTGCGAACCCCGATACCATCCACGAGAACAATGCCATGTCCTGGCTCACCGATAGCATCCGCCGCCCGAACCACAACGCCAAGGCGAACGGCTACTCTACATGCCATTTCTGGAGCAACTTCGAAATTGGCGACATGAATTTCTGGCGGAGCAAGGCGTACGAGGACTACTTCAACCATCTCGACCGAGCCGGTGGTTTCTTCTATGAGCGCTGGGGCGATGCGCCCGTCCACAGTATCGGTCTCGGACTCTTCGAGGACGCCAACCGTATTCACTGGTATGTGTGAACCTTCTCTTTTTTCTTCCATCTAGAATCGCTCTTAGTCAAGCCCGCTTGCTAATCATACTCCCTCTTTCCTAGGTTCCGTGATATCGGCTATCAGCACGTACCCTTCCTCAACTGTCCCAACTCTCCCAAGTGCAAGGGCTGCGAGACTGGCAAGATGTACCAGGGCGAGGACTTCCTCCGTCATGAGGACTGCCGACCCAACTGGTTCAAGTACGTTGGTTCCGGCTGAACAAACACCCCACCGAACTTTGTATGAACCACGAACGGAACTGCACATCGTTTTTATATTTTAATCGCGACTCTTCGGCGAACGAAAGCTGGCCTACAGCCGTCGTCTTCCAGGTCTTGGTTGGCTGACTGCCCGGCATTAATGAAACTTGATTGGGTTGGCATTCGCGGGTGTTCGGCGTTGGATCAGGACCATCTTTTTTTGTTCCCTTCACTTGTTCTCTTCACAGCCGTCGCTTGGCTTGGCTGTGAAGAGAAGATGGTGAAGTTACCCCGAGAAGCTCAAGTGGAGTTACACCAGCGAGCGGGAAATAATAAGCTGTACATGTACGAATGTAGAAATAATACTCTGGCGTGACAGAGTGAGAGAGGAAATAGATTCGAAGAAGCAAACAACCAAACCTGCGCCAGCGTGATTACCATCTAATCCTTGTTTTTGTGAGTAAAGACTGCATGAGTTCCATCTTTTGCCGGTATCCTCCTACCCAGCTCCGTAGGCCGTTACCACACCAGACATGCCTCCCACGCAAAACTGGTCTCCCCATCCGCCCTCCCTCCACGCGACACAACTTATCACATTATTCTGCCTCTTCTCCTTCCCGTCCCTCCCAACAACTCTCTTCCGATTCTGCTGCCCCATCGGACCCCAAGGAACCTGGATCCTCGCAACAACCTTCCCCGAAAGCAAATCCCAAGCCCAAACCCTCCCCTCCCCACTCTCCAGCGTCGCCACATCAGCCCCCAACAACTCATCCCCAGCGACGACATACCTCTCCCTCCCGCCCAACACAGCCTGCACCCTCAACTCCTTATTCAACCAAGCCCCATGCTCAAAAGTCTTCAGACACGTCCCCTTCTCCCTATCCATCAGCCTCAGCTTACTATCCAGCGTGCCCACCAACATGGCCGTCCCGTCCCTCGTGAGATCCAAGCTCGTGACGCTCGCCCCCATCGTGTCGCTCACGCACGTCCCCATGCGTATATCGTACGCCCTCACGACGCCGTCCACGCTGCCCACTATAATCTCGGGACCTCGGACAACTAGACACGTCACGGCGTCCCGAGCCTCGTCGAGCACCTGGATCGGCTTGGCGCTTTGGCTCTTCACGTCCCAGATCCGCACCGACGTGTCGAAGCCCCCGGATACGAGGACGCTGTCCCCCTCGCCGCCGAAACTCACGCAGTTAATCCGCGCCGAGTGACCATGTGGCCCGCCGCCGAATCGCCGGATCGTCTGCGCTGTCGCCACGTCCCAGAGGAATACGAGGCGGTCCCCGCCCGAGGACGCGAATCGCTCATTGTCAGTTGAGACGCTAATGCTGAGCACTTCGTAGCCGTGCGCTGAGTAGGTCTGGATGAGCTTTCCTTGGGGAACCGACGGCTGTGAGCTCCGGGACCCTGGCGTGATGGTGGTAGTGGTGTTGCCGGGGGCTGGGACTGTGGTGCTGGGGTTGTAGAGCCGTATGGACCGGTCCGAAGAGCCTGTGAGGATATACGTCCCCGGCGACGATGAGTATGTCACGGCATGGACAGGACCTGTCAAAACTCGTTAGCGCTCTGTTGTTGTAAAGAATCCTTGAAGCATGGAAACAGACTCACCATTCGCGCCCAGCAATTGGGCCACTGGTTTTTCCGGAAATGACATTTCTTCATATTATCCATCCGGCCGATTACCATCTCATGTCACGCCGGAAAGACAAAATGACAATGAAGCCCCAGGCTCCGTATTTTACCTACTTCACTCTTCCGCGCTGAGAACAGTTGGAGTTGATGTGTGAGTTTTATGAAGACCGAGCTTCGTTAAATTTATAGTATTGAATGCACTGGTTTATCGAGAAAGCGAGGGGGTGACTATTATTGGTCAGGCGGCAACAAATGTCCGACGGCTGTCCCCAACATCTACACCTCCGGAGTCTAATATCATAAACCCCAATCCCTACTTCGTGCCTTACGTCCTATTCATATAACTCGAATGCAAACCTTTGGTATCCCATGTCACCTGTTACCTTCCAACCCCGGCGAACGTTGAGAAGCTCCTAGGAAAAGTCCCCATGTATTTGGGCTGTCTGTATTTGTAAAGCATGAGCAAAGACAGTTTCTGAATCTTCAAACACCATCCATAATATTAATACACTCTCCCATATAGGGAAATCAAGAAATGAGACAGGGCGCCGTCCCGATTCTGGCACCTCTTGATCTTTATCAAGATGGTTCAAAAGCCGACCCCAAATCTAGCGCATCACCTCCACCGCCCAGCTATAGCCCCCCCCAAGCCACGCCTCGTATATCGGGTATTTGTTGTGACATAAGAAGGGAGAACTCGAGCCGAAAAAAAAAGACAAAGGAAAAATGAAAGGACAAGACCACCCAGCGAGGAAACGCCTCGCATCCTTTCCGTTACCCAGATGGTCGTCCCTTTGACATGGCTCCCTTTTGATTCGGCCGTAGACATGACATGCGCCAACCTCCATGATGCTTCAGTGAGCTCTTTAACCAATCCATCTCCAAATTCCAATCATAATACCAATGACCCATAAGAAACCCATTTTGAAAGGAGTTGAACCAGTACGCCGATGCATGCGATATATCGAGTATAAAAGAAACGGGAGCGCAAAGACTTGGGCGTGGAAAATGACAGAAAACGAATAGAAAACAAAACGAAATCGATGATGACTGGGATTCAGCCGCGTGAAAGGGCGGAGTCCCTGTGATTCTTCCTGGAGCTCTGAAATCCAAAAAGGCAGACCGGGTAAAGGATGAAATATGCTCGTTGAGTTCGAGACTTTGATTTCGACAAGGGTGGTAGTGGTAACCGCATCCGCTACCAGCGAACCACTTGATTGATGGTCGCGAGTCGTTTCGCGGGTGGGGTGAAAGAATCAGGGAACCGGGCTCGTCAACTTTATTCCGAGTCACACTGACTCCGCTTGCCTCCGCTGCTGTGGTGAACAGAACACCTGACCTCCTCGCCCGGTAGCTATGCTCGAGAGACAAGTTGGGGTCGTGTACGGTTGCTGTCATCATTTTCCAGAGCGCAACACGTAACTTAGATCCTTAACTCGGCGAAAGAAGGTGTAGGCACGGACCGGGGAGCGAGGCGAACCGATCTGTTCAAGCGGGGTTGGTAGCGGGGTGTACGGCTCCCGCAGCCCGCAGCTCGCAGCCACCCCCGTTGTGGATCGGTCCGCTTGCTTTGCCGAAAACAACGATAAGCAGTGGTCGAGCAGAGCAACAGTCCACCCCGAGATTCGGTTTTGGGGTCATCCCGCGCAGAAATAGGAACAGACTGCAACACCATAGGCGAAAGATATAAACTCGCAAGCTTTCAAGATCTTCTTCGCTATATTACCACCGGAAACGCGGGAATGGACAATAGACGGTGTCATTATCTTCGGAAGTCGCGCCTGGAATTCATACATGTGAGTATTCCTAAAATCCAAAACGACTGCTTTTTTCGATCGACGGATACACTGGCTCAAGGCGCAGGAGATGCTGGGCGTTTCCTGGAGGCAGTAGTGCGGGGATTGGTAACATACGGGTCTGGTTGCCAGGGTCTATGAAGGACGTCCTCGTGGATTCGAGGCAACTCAATGCCTTGAGGCTGCCAGGCTGGTTTGTGAACCTCTGGAGCTTGATGCAATCGCTGGGGCTCAGAAGGAACTGGGGAGTAGCTCCCATAACCAACCCTTATTCTCTTATTGTGGGGTGTATCTTCAGGATCGGTTGGCCGGAACACAGTTCGTGGTGATAGCGAAGCGCTTGACGGTCGTCCGGATCTAGAAGGATCGTTTGGTTTTGAGGACCCTAGCCGTCTTGTGTCTTCCAGTTCAGCAGAAGGAGTCGATGGGGAGGTGTTGTGTCCACCTCGGGGTCTATAACTCCCAAAGAAAGGTTAGAGCAACATGTCCCAGAAGTAGACTACATGGCCTCTTTTCTCGTTCAGGTCCACGCATTGGAATTCAGAGTACTCACGCATTCTTGAACTTGCAGACGCGCCCAAACTTTTCGCACTGGAGACATCGTGGATAATCAGGGTCACACTTAATCTTCTTCTCCCGGCAGGTAACGCAAGCGATAGCTAGCCTCTTCCTTGGCTTGCCAGCCTTCGTTACTCCCCAATGCGCATTAACAGCCTCCCCATCGATGACGGTCTTGCAATGGCTACCATCGTCATAGAAGTAACACATGCCTTCGCCAGGGACCTCAGCGGCACAAACGAAGCGAGGTAGGAAGTGCGTTCCTGTCCAAATCTTCGGGCCAAGTCCGTCCTTCACCGGAACACCCTCCGCGGTTGTTGGGTTTCCTGGGAGGGACGGTACGCTGGTTGGTGGGAGGTGAGAGGCCCTCGGGTCGTGAGTAAAGCTGGGGGTAAGGTCTCGGGACCCGGGATACGACAGTGATGGCCGGGTTGGGGGTGATGGAAGCGGGGGAACCTCTCTTCCTCCGAGGGAGTACTCATGCCGTCGAGGCTCGTGAGCCCTAGACCACGTCGGAGCCGGAGCGCTATCAAAACGCAGCGGCTCGGCGCGTAGATGGTCGTGGCGGGGTGAGTTCGGCCCAGAGAGAGACCTCGTAAGGGAATGAAGAGAAGGAGTCCTTTCCGAGTCGTACCTAGGCTCGTAAGTGCTGCGAGGTTGGGCTGAAGGGTGGGAGGTCACAGTCGCTTCGCCTGCGTAGGGACCAGAGTAGAGTAGCCTGTCTCCATGAGCAGACGGGACACGAGGAGGGCGTTCTAGGATGGGGACCGATGCGAAGGAGCCGTGGAGCTCCTGAGGGGAAGGCAAAGGTCGCGCGGGCGGGTGAGGAAATAAACTGCTCAGCGGAGGCAGCTTGGTGGTAAAGCTGGGCTGTGAAGTTTCTCTCCGAGCCTGACCCTCGTCTATACTCTTCCCAGTAGATGACATGGTCGACACAGAACGTCGGTCATAGCTGGTCAAGGGAGGGGAGATGGGAATGGTGGCTGATTTCCAGGTGTCCGCTGGTGGGGAGGGCCTGGAGGAGTAACTAGATGAGGTTGGGCTCACCAGCTCTGGAGGAGTATCTGGTGCGGCCAAGCGAGGGTGAGGTTCCATGCAGTTTAATACCCCCATTGGAAGAGTCGGATGGATGTGAACTTTTAGAATTGTTGAAGGTGAGAAGGATGACGCATATCAAAGCTGTCTTACAAAGAGCGGCTTGCCCTTGTGGTCGTTGATGCCGGTAAACTACCCGCGTTGATGATCTTCGTTGGGATCCGAACGTTCAAGTGTGGCTGTACGGTTGTGGGCGTACGAAACGGGTATATCACGAAGGTGAAGGTGAAGGGGAAGGTGAAGAGAGAAGACCGGAATGAAGGTATCAGCAACAAGGGGAGGGATCAGGGCGAGGAATGGCAGATAGATATTTGTTCGGATAAGATCCACAGGCGGCGCAGCGGACACACGGCTACCCTGCCCACTTACATGCCAAGGGTTGAGGGTCAGGGGTGGGAGAAGAGAGAGGCTATTACTTCTTGGAGTAGAAGACCCCCGAAGTACACAACATGCAATTGTGGACAGGGGAGTGCAGAGACGAGAGCAAATCCGAAGTACATCTCAGCGACAGGTAGCCTGTAGCAGGGAAGGAGCAGCATGCGCAAAGAATGAAGTGCAATGTACTAGTGCGTTAGTAGCAACAGTAGGTACACTCTTGGAGTGAAGGGGAAGGACCAGATGGGGGAGGGGACGGGGGCGTGGGAGGTAGTGGGAGGTAGTGTGGACACTGTCGGCAGAGAACCCACACCGGGGTCTACGAGTTGGACTAATCGACGTGGTATGGTTGGGGTAGGTACCACTGTACTAGGAGGGTAGGGTAGGGTAGGGTAGGGTAGGGGAGGTAACTACGACTAGGCTCATCCAAGGGCGTATTGCAGTAGTCGTACTCCATCGCGGTGGACCGAAATGGGCTGCAGTGCTTCAAATTCCGGATAATTTAGACGGGGCTATAACGACCAGGAAAGATCAACAAAGGAACGCAAGGATGGTGGGAAATGGTGGTACGGGAGGGCATGTACGTACCGTACCATATTGCACTAATTATTGGCGGCGATGCGTTGGCGGTTCCAAACCGCTGGGCGGCAATCGCATCCCAGGTCCCGTGTGGGTGTGGACGAAGTATTATGCACGCCTCAGCAGTCATAAACTAGTCTAGTATAGTACAGGACAATTGGATAGTGGACCTACCAAGGGAATATTACCAGTACGAAGTGAATGGGCTTTCTTCCTCAGCTTGGCTTAGCAGCAAAACACACTGGAGAAGGATGCCACACCTCCACCCAGGCAGATCAATTGATGTTGGAAGGAGGAGGAGGAAGGGGTGGGGAGTGGTCTGAACTAGAGCAAGTGCTCCCTCCCTCTACTGCACTCCTTGGACGATGAAGTAAGGATAGGGGCGGGTGCAAGATTGAGGGATCAAGATGGAGGATGAGGACAGGAATGGGGTCTAAAGTGCCACCAGACGCTATTATCATTACACGTGGGAAGTCTCCATTTTAAACTAATAGATGGAGACTAGGGGGAGGGGACTCGCACTCGGACACTTCAAGCACGGCATATTAGGATCGCGAGAAGAGAACGGATTATTGATAACCTCGTGCGGTTCAAGACGGCTAGCCTTCATCGCCGCTAC